ACTTGTGACATACTCTCAGAATACCTACAGTATCTTTGGATCATTTGGGTTTAACTCAGATTTTGTTACATAGAAGAAACTATGATAAAAATACTGAAACTTGAATGCTGTTTGTCAGTTACAGATGTGTTATGAATCTTCTCTCATTACTGAAGAGGTAAGGACAGATTTTCAATCTCTGTTGTTTTTTAGCTGCTACTTTACAGTTTATTACTTTAGAGCATTATTTATCAACAAATGTTGAGAAATAATTGTCTTGAATGCTATGTTTGTTAGTTACAGCCGGTTCGTCGTCTACTTTCTGCCGCCAATAAAGAGGTAAGAAGGACGGATTTCAGTATCTGTTGTTTCTTAGCTACTTCTTCTTGTGGTTCTGATGTTACAAACTTTGAATTTTTATTTCCCTCTGAGATTATAAAATCCTTCTTCTTTTATGAAGAATTTTTGAATATTTTCTGATAACTGATAATCATTTTGTGCTTTAAATAAGATGCAGACTGTTTGTAAATTCACCAAATGAGGAAGTTTTTACAATTTAGTTACTGGATTTGTGTGGTCCACGTAGCCAACGTTATTAATAACTCTGAATGTTCTGTTTTGCAGTTTAACTAATGGTTGTAATGAATTTGCATAATTATTGCCCCATATCTCTGCACAGTAACTGAGGTAGGCTAAAACTAATGAATAGTGCACAATATTTAATGCTTTCTGTTCAACCAATTGCTTGGATTTATTCAATATAAAAACTCTGATATTTTTTTGGATATGTTGAATATGTAGTTTCCAATTAACCTTATCATCAATAATCACACCAAGAGTTGTTCCCAAACTCTTTCTATATTTATTACCTTAATATCTATTTTTGTTTCAGAACTTGGTTTGCAATTCCCAAATAATTTAAAACTAAATCATTTCAGTTTTAATCAAATTTAGCGACAACTTATTACCATCAAACCACATCTTCAGTTTGTTCATTTCTTTGTTTACATTATTTAGCAGTTCCTCCATATCATTTCCAACAAAAAACATATTTGTGTAATCTGCAAATAATACACTTTTCATATTTTCACAAGCTTTACACATATCATTTATGTACATGATAAAAACAAAAAACTTTGGGCCAAGCATTGATCATTGGGTTTCACCACAAGCAATGTCCAAACATTTGGAACTGATTTCTCCCAACTGTACATATTGTTTTCTATCTCTATAATAGCTTTTTACTAGAGATGTGCCGATCAGGTTTTTTCCTGCCAATTCCGATTCCAATCACCCATGAGGGCCGATCACCGATACCATAATTATTATTTTTTTAATCATAAACACTACCGGTTACATTATGTGGAAAAAGGAACCATGAATTCACCTTAATTTAGACAAAAACTTGTTTTTAATAACTTTTTCCAGGAAGGAAACAAAACAAAACAGGCATTGTGCAAATTGTACTGCTATTGATAGTACTTATGGGGTTCCATTAGTATCAAAATGGAACCCCATAATTCAACACATTCCCCTTAACTCCATATCTTTCTAATTCATTTTTAGTAAATCATGATTTATTGTGTCAAACGCTTTTTTTTAAATCAAGGATCAATCCAGAAACAATTTTTTATTGTCAATTGTGGATTTTATGTTTTCTTTAGTCTCTAAAATAGCCAGTGTTGTAGATCTTTTGGACCTGAATCCATACTGATTTTCACTGATTTATTTATACTTTAATATAAAAGATTCTAGCCTATTGTTAAATATTTTTTTATATTTTAGAATAAATTACTGCCAAAATCCATAGAACAAAATTCTTGTTACTCATAAGTTCATAAGTTCTTAGTGTGAAATTGATTTTGCAACTGAGTTCAGTTCTGTCAGTTACGTCCATGATATTGTGTTCCTGTGTGATTGTGTTACCTCCTTTGTCGTGTCACTCCATTCACACATATTTATCCAGTTCCTCCAGAGATCTAATCAACACTTTTGATTATTAGGTATTCCTAATAATTTAATAAATATTTTTGCAAATACTGGAACTTGAATGTTATGTTTCTCTATTACAGATGCCGGCTTATTCAAAGTCCGTCACCACTGAAGAGCCTGAGGTAACGAGTTAACGCCACTGTTGTTTTATCTACTTCTTTACAGTTTGTTACTTTACACCACTATTTCTCAGTCCCTTAAAGGCACATTCAGCAAACCAACAGATGTTTTATGCTTTATATGCAGTTTATTTGTGACTTGTGACTCAGACTGTTTGCTGTTCTAAAAAGAAAGTTGGGGTGCAGCAACTGCAGTTCTGGCCAGTCATCGGTATTTAAAAAGCAGGACTGATTTTGGCCTGTACTGATTTGTTTCTGTACTAAATATACAAAAGGTTGCAAAGTCGGCAACAATAGGCTATTGTTAAATGCATCCATCTCTCAGACCCTCGTGGTGGTAGAAAAGATGGGTGGATAAGTTTGGTTTCACATACAAGTTTGGCCAATCGTCCTTCACTTTTCCCTTCATTTGGATACATTTTCACAGTGGGGTCCAAATCTATGAGGTCTGCATTTACTTGCAACATGCTTAGTGTCTTTAAATCTTTCAGATTTATCTGCATTTTATATAGAAAGAAGAATTGGTAAAAGTACTGGGACTTGAATGTTGTGTTTCTTTGTTCCAGATGAGCTTCAGTTCCTGCCTCCCCAAACCAGCAACAAGCTGCATTGTCAGCAATATTTCTTTGTCTGCAAAAATTGATATTGAGAAAATAATCATGCAACCTCAGGTAAATGTAGAAGTGGAGAAGTTGTCTTATCCAGTAATTAAACATAGTGGACATTTAGATCCTGCTAATCTAAATGTGGACGTTGTTGATGTTTCTCTGATCATTTTTGGTTTTTTCTTTGACCTTTCTGTTAAATCCAAACCAGCAGTTATTAAATAAAGACTCTTAAATGACAGCAAGGTTTATGGAAATGATTAAGTTTATTGTCTAAGCAGGCCAACTATAAATAAGTGCATTACTTCTGTATACAAACCGATGTGATGCAAAAAAAAAAAGTGCTTCTATTGCAGTTTTGCAATATACACAAATTTTTATAGTACGTTATCTTAGCACAAAAACTTTTTATGAAAAAATGTTTTTTAGAAATTGGTGTTTTACGTAGAGCAAATGTATTTTCAGAATTGCACAATTTTATCCTCAATGACAATGCAGCTACTGACAGTTTAATCTCCTGATTTATCACCAAATAAAGTCCCATGAGGAGTGAGTGGTCATGTCCCCATGGCCACTCACTCCTCAGGCCATGGAGACATTAATCTCCCTGCAACATGCTGAGTATCTGAATTTTTCTGATATACCTCAGACTTAAAAAAAAACACAACAAAAAAACGATTGATAAAAATCCTGGAAGTAGAATGTTATGTTTGTCTTTTACAGAGATGGACTTAGATTTCTATGATGGTGTTGTCCAGCCTGCTCCTCCTGAGCTAAGAAGGAGTTTCCATCTCTGTTGTTATTTTAGTGATTTCGTTACAGTTTAAGTTAGGCCCTTATTTCTAAGTCCCTTAAAGGGCACATACACGGTCTCGTTGGGTTTTTATTGTTTATCTAAATTTTTTTACATAGATGGAATGACTGATAAAAATGCTGGTATTTGAATGTTATGTTTGTCTTTTACAGGCGGAGATTATTTCCTGTAAAAGATTAACGCTCACACCGCTGTCTGGGACGTTCCAATCTGGTGGTTTCGCAGGCGATCTGTCTGAATCAAAAACCCCATCAGCATCACACATGTTGTTAGTATCCCTCCACCACTTCTCTTGTATTTTATTTTTCTTGGGAATCTGTTTTCAGCTCCAACACCCCCAGTGGAGCTCTGCAACCTCTCCTTTCTGTTAAGTGCAAATCCTTTCATGATTGTAAATTCAGTCCAAAACCAACAGTCGGTCGTTTGATTGGCTCAGCAACGTCATCCATCCTTTCAGTTCTCAAACACACAAATCTGAATGAATGGATGAATTAACATGTTACTTTATTAATCTCATAAGGAAACTCAAACCATTCTATCTTTATGAGCACTGAGCTGATATTTTTCATCTTATTACCTGGAATTGAGTCTTTTGTGTTGTGTGATGTTGGTCCAGAGGTCCAGACCCAGAAGAGCAGAAACTGAAGTGGACAAAGATCTTCCAGCTGCAGCAGGCGGTAAGATGTTTTGCTCCGTTGTTTAAATTGGTCCAAAGCTCAGAGAAAAAAAATCTCCATCATAATAAAATAGTTGTTGGTATTTTATTAGGGGATAAAAACTATGGTGCAAATTGCTTCCTAAAAACTTAACCTCATCTCAACAACATTGCATATTGTTATTTAATATAAATCTAATTTGAAATTTGCATTCACACCAGCCTGTTTAGTCTGCGTTAATCCAATTCCAGTTAGTTTGTCCAGAAAGTCCCAAAAAATGAACTCTGGTCTACCTAAAAAAGCTAGGACTCGGTTTGAGAACTCTGGTGCAATTTGAATGCATATATGAACGCCAAACGGACCAGCAACAGCTCTGAACGCAGGAAGCGGACTACACCACAGAGCACTCTGAATAAACACAACCAAAGTAAAGGTGTGTGTGTGATGTTAACAGAAGAAATGGCTCGTGGTCTTTTGCCAGCAACAAAAGAGAAATCCTACAACCACTAAAATCTGACTCTACTCAATTTTTGTTTGCTTTTTCTGATGAAGGAAAATGCACTTAGTCAGAGATTTTTGTGTCATTTCTTTCAGTGGATCTTGGTGCAGTGCCACCACAGTTAGTTTGTATCATTTGGTAAAGTATGAAGGTTAACCCAACCAGCTGAAAATGTAACAAATGTTGCTGTTTTGGTTCCCAGACTATCAGCTGTGAAAACATCCTAAAGGTCCATCCCATAACCCAGCAATGACTCAGCAGCTCCACTCTTCTTCCTAACGCCTTTTCAACTCAAAGATATTTGTTCCTGCACTTCTATATTAATACATTTTGATATCATTTCAGTCAGGTGATCCTTGTAACTTTGAAGTCATTCTGCTGTAAATTTGCTTCTGGACAGATTCTAGAGTCAGATAGTTGTTGCTTTGTGCTGCTTGGTTTACAACCACCCTCCTGTACTCTGGTCTCATCTGCCCAGACATTGTTATTACAGGAGTATTTGTTGTTTTAAAAGACCAGAAGTTTCTTCAAATTTTCCTAACAAACGAAACTTTTTCTGCCCTGTTATTAATATTCAATATCCTGAAGGGTCTGCAGTGGGATATTTATTGACCTGACAAAGGTGTTGGATAAAATCAAAAAATGTTGCCACATAAAGTTATCTTGATAACAGACGGCAATTTGTATGAATTGATCAGTCTTAATATGCTTCACTGTTACCTGTGGTGCCCCATAGGGCTCAGTACTGGGTATAAGATTGTTTATTATGTATGTTAATGTCCTGCTTTTGTGACAGCTGCACTTTTCTCTATATATGTCATGGAAGCAGAGATAATTGACTAAGTTTTGTTGATTTTATTGAGTAAAAATATTTAGTAGTAGTTCTTGTGTTAACTTGTATCAATCTTCTGTGTGCTGCAGGACGGATACTGGGAGTTAACTGTTGAGCTGGGAAAACTGATCAAAGTCAACATGGATGTGTTTGTTAACGTGTTCCTGAAGAACAAAGGCATTCATTCTCTGGGTGAGCGTTCATCATTAGTCTCTGTGTAAAAGTAGCACAATCTTAAAGTTTATACTGATTTTTATGTTGTTAAGAGCTGTTAACGTTAAGATGTTCATTGATCTGATATTTTACTATTTATATTCCAGAGAAAGATTAAAATAAACCTGGTGGTTTTAAATCTCAGTCGTCTAGGTTTGCTTGACTCCAGTGTTGAAACTGAACCGTGTGGATGTTTATGTTAAAGGTGTGAAGGCATTTGCAGGCATCCAGAGGCTGGTGGCGACTCTGCTGGTTCTGCAGCTGATGAGGGAGGAGAAGCTGGAGGAAGGAAAACTGCTGCAGAGTCTGTTTCACCTGATGGAGCCGACCGGGTCCAGGTCAGAACCGCAACAGAACACACAGACACATGAGGAGAACCCGGCCACACAGACATGAACTCTCACATGAAAATTTAGTTCAGTCGGTCGTAAAAATGATTTTTAAATGACTAATCTGAACCGTCCCAGCAGTGCAGTGCTCTTAGCTTAGCAGAACACGAATGAAAACACTGGTATGCTAAGCTACCAAGTCCAAGTGGAAAGTAAATCTTTTCTGCAGACCCAGAGGTCCGTCTGTAAGGAGCACCAGGAACTTTGATCCAAACTAGATCACCATGGGAGGAACATGAACACCAGACACTGAAACAAGTTCTGGAACATGTTGCAGCGTTTCCTCCAGAAAACGTGCTAAGCCCGGTGGGTGTGGCACCGAGGCGGTCCAATAGCGACCCACTGTGTTTTTGTATTAAAAGATGTTAACAGGAAATGTAAATTATTACTGGATAATTACACGTTACTGGAAGAAATTCCTGACATACTTAAACCCAAAACTATAGTCTTAAAAACAACAAATTAAAAAAACACAATTAAAATAAATACCAATTATTTGCATTTCTGTTTCATCCAAATTCAGTCAGCGCCTCCTTAAAGCCCCTTAAGACCCAACAAATACAATGCTTGTTGATGAGTAAAGGCCCCCAGGACTTTAGGGCCCCATAAATGTTAATATTTTAACACAAACCACAGATACAGAAATTTTACACTTGTTTATTCAGAATGGCAATGCTGTTAAATTTGATTTAATGGTTTTAGCAAAGATAAATAAAAAAATTAAACTAAAAATTTTAAGGAGCTAGCAAGTTTACTTTGTAAAAGTCCAAAAAACAATCTTCATAGTTAGATTGTTTTGTTACCGTAGCAACAGTCTGATGCTTTGAGATTAATTCTTTGAGTTTGAGCTCTGTTTGTTCACAAATATATCTCAGTAAACTACAGTTATCACTGATAATCAAACAGAGATGTATAAAGGAAATGTGCGCAGCCATGCATGTGCAGTTTTATACGTCTATATTTTTTTGTACGCTACACTTTTCAAAATTTGTCCTTATGCCGATTTTTAGTGAGAAAGCTGTGAATTCTTTCATACATGAGGTTCCTGGTGAATGAGTCGGTGCCACACAGCACAATTAAAACATGGGGATGTTTTCTCATATTTAAAACGCTTTGGGTGCCACACCAACCTGGAGAGGTTGATCGGCTAAAGCCATTCCTCTCCCTACATTTGGGTAGAACATATTTACAGACGGTATTTTTTAACTTCAATGCAAAAGGCATATGTTTTTGGCTTCATTACTAATTAGAGCAGAGATGTGAATGTTTCCTCCAGGTCAGTATTCCTGACTGATTAACCTGAATGTTTTCCCCTGCAGGTCTGAGCGCTGGCATCAGGTGAAGAAGGCAGTGGACTGGGTGCGCTGGGCCGACCGACAGTATCTGTACGCCTGCAGCCGGCTGGAGCTCGGTTCAAGCTGGGAGCCTTCCATTCGCCGGCTGCTGAGCCTCATCACTGAGCAGGCTGAAGCTGAATAAGACGACTTCATCGCTGGAGACTCACAGAGAAGTTGCTGCAGTGCTTTCTGAGAGTTATATAACCATCAGCATGTTTTTTTTTCCATTGCTTTTTATCTGCTTCACTTGGTATTGTGTACAAAGAGCTGAGAAGATCCTGCATTGAATATTTTCTTTAAATGACATGAAGAAACATTAAGGCAGGAGAGAAAGGAAATCTTCACATTTCATCCCCATAAACTATACAAAATTAATCAAATTACACTCACACAAATAAAATTACGAACAAAACTTTTAAAAATCATATTGTAATTGCACTTTTTTCTTAAAAACTAATGATTAAATTTTGTTTGTTTGGGATTCTAGTTGAGATAACTCGAGATCATCCCATTTCCTCATGCTGGACATTTTGGTTCAACAATAACAATACATGAAATTACCTGTAAAATAAGTCACATAAAGTAACATCTAGTCCTAACCCATAGAATCGGGCTTCAATAAGATCAATGGGGTTGTGTTTTTATGTTATTGTACTTTGCTTTTTATATATAAAAAAGCAAACATAATCTTTATCTATTTGCAGTAACAGTCAATCTAAAGCAACATTTTTCACTATGGCAATAAACTTTATTCATATATCATATCAACAAAATCATCCAACGTCTTTAAACCTGTTTCTCATGTTGGTGATGGGTTTTTGAATTTTTCTTTTAAATTACGTTTGGGTGATGTCGTCGATGACGATCTGAGAATAAAATTGACAAACCCAAAGTTCTGATCATGTATTTGTTTTAATCATCACCTTGTAATTTTTGATGAACCTATGCGAATTTACTGTTAAGGTACAAAATCCAGATATTAAAGCAACCAATGCCAATATAAAACACAAATATGTTAATTAAAGATCCCCATCTATAAATGGGGATCTTTAATTAACATATTTGTGCAATAAAATTCCTGGAGGTTCCTGTCATTTAAACAGGCTCAAATTTCCCAAATTTGGAAAATTTCCAAAGTGAGTGGATGGATCCAAATCCTGCCTTGAAACTTAATTTTATTTTAGATCTAGATAAATTCCTGTTTCAATAGAAAGTGATGCTCAAGAAATAATTTTAAAGCCAACAATTGCTACTTCAGTAATGCATCCATTATTTGCCATGAACAGGAAAATAAAGCATGTGAGCATGTAAATGGTCATGGTTAAAAAAAGTTGTTATATTATGGTTCAGGCTGAAAAACACAAAGTACAGTATGTGTCTTATGTTACAAATTAAAAAGCAGTCAGACTATATTATGAATGACGGTGAAAAGCCATCATTCTCCATTGAATCATGGTAAAAAAATAAAATAAAAAAATCATACTATGGGTCATGGTAAAGTTTATAAAATGTTCTCTCTGCTGCCTTCATGTCCCTAAAACGTCCTGGAGGAAAACCAACCAAATGTATGGTTGTATATGTAGTTTTACTTAACACTTATCACATACGTCTAACATAGCAATCAATTAATTGTACTTTTATGTCTTTTAGTCACTTTGCCTACCATTGTATTGTGTTATATTATTAATGCTGTGGCAGAGAACAATAAAGGACCAAATAACCAGACAGAAACATCCTGTAGTGCTGATGATCATGCTTTATTAAATCAATAATTGCAGAAAAACTCAAGGAGGCTGCAAAACACTGAAAGCTACAGCTAACTTCAATCCAACAAAGTGCAGGAAGACACCAAAGGACACGGAGCGCATCAGGCGTCGTTTGTGGCTCCTGGTCGTCTCATTGGCGCCACCCTGTGGACCGACGGGTGAACCTCTACAAACTAACACACAAGCACACTGCAGACCTCCGAGAGGCAGCTCTGCCTCTGAAAACAAGCGCCGGCAGGACTCTGGCCAGGTTGATGGAACGACGGAAGAGTCTGAGCCGACGGTCGTTTTCCAGAATCAGAGCACAAAACAAAAAGAAGAAACACTTTGGACTCAAGCAGTGCAGGCCGCTCGCACTGTGAGCCTGTCATAGAAAAGGCAGTATGACATAATCAGTCGGCGCACGAGGTCCAGTCGCCCTGCTTGCATGAGGGTAGATGCAAACAGCACTCAGGATCTCATGTTCCTGTTACAAACTAAAGCGCCGCTCCCTTCGCAGCGGCGCGCTCAAAGTTTTGTCTCCGGTTCATAACATCAACAGGGAGCCTCTCTACCTGTTGAGGCAAACTTAAAGACTTCAACTTATCGTTGAGGCACAGAGTTTAGTTTCCCAGTTTAGCAGGGTATTCGTTCCAACGGAAACTTTCTCCTGTTAAACTATATTTAGTTTCTTTAAGTTTCAGTTAATATTATTGTCATAAATAACAATGCATACATTTCCCATAACCGGTAAACTCGGCTATATACATTATGTACATGTCAAAGAAAAATGGATCAAACATCCTAAGTCATAGTTATCCAATATGGCACATTTTACAACTTTAGACTTTAGTCTAGTTTGGCATAAATTAACGTCAGGTTTGGTACAAAAATAGTTCCTATTTACAAGAATATTCCAGATCCTTATCAAGTAGACTACTGTGTTTCATCAATAAATAAAAAGTCATGAAAGAAGGGAAAAGGGGACATTTGAAATATCAGATTTACACCGATCGAATGCTGATGTGAACGGTTGCTGAGTCCGATCCAAGCTCATTGGACAGTCTGAGGGTGTAGGCGCCGGCGTCCTCCTCCTTCACCCCTGTGATGATGAGGGTGGTCAGGTCCTCCGTGGTCTCGATGTGGAATCGTCCACCCGTGGACACGTCGATCGTCTTGCCTGAGCGGGACCACTCTATGTGCTTGGTGTCGCCGGAGAACGCACAAGCGACTGTCAGGACTTTGCCAGGTTCGATGCTGATGTCCTCTGGCAAAGCTTCGATTCTAGGAGCAGAACCTGAAAGCAGCAGAGTAATTTAAACTTAACTAGACAGTTACATGAAGACAAAATAAATTCAGATATTTACATACTTTTAAATTAAACATATTATGCTTTATTGAACAAGTTAGGAACAAGTTAAGATGTTCATTACATCTTAACTTGTCAATTAAGATGATTTTTGCATAAAAATCATTCTTAGATCATGAGATTTTTTAAAGCGACTTAAAAAATCCAAATAATCTGCTGCTGGTCATTACCCCCAAACTCAACGTTTACACTTGCATGTGAAAATGGATGCAAACGTGTGAAATTATTCAACCGTACATCTTTGAAAAGCAGAAGTGGAGCCTCCTGCACAACCAACAAGAATCCAGCAAGTGGTTTCTGGATGGTAAGTCAACAACAAAAGTCTTCTCTTTTCCAGCAGTCATTGTACAGCACATTAGAACAGCCAAATAATGTGCTGGAGCCCTGCCGGGACTGCTAGTTGCAACTGTTTGGGCTTGTCTGTGGCTGCTGATTATCTAGCAGAGGTTTTCTTCAAATGTCTCATTTTCCAGACACCAAAAAACATTAACTTATTACCAAAAACAGTGGGTTTTTTTTTTGTTTGTTTTGTTTTACGTGCTTGGAATGTTCAGAAGTAGTAGCGATGAAAATGGAAGCAAAACAATTTGTAAAATGTGAATTTTGCATAACTGGTTTCCTTAAGCAGTTGAGAAAAGCTGACATGATGTCTTGGTTTTGTACAGCACTCAAATTAATCCAGAACACTGAAAAGAACTAGAAAAACCAAAAGAAATACGGCAATATATCAAGAACTCTGGACCAAATTTAGATTTAGATGCATAGATTTTTATGCATCATCATTTTTGGAGTCATTAGACTTAAAAGCAAAAACCGACGCTCTGAGACTTCAAGATCCAAGACACTTATTTGAGTGTAATAAAAAAAATCATTTCACTTTATTAAACCTTTTTAAGTCAAGTTTCATAGAATGAACCTTTATTCTGAGGGAGATCAAAAAGACCACTTATCTCTCATTTGGGCCACTAAGGTGCCTTGAAGGTTAATGTCAGATATGGTAATGAAATGGCTTTTGATATGGTGTAAGTAAATTCCCTGGTTTTAATTGAAGCAGGAACACAAAAACACTTGATTTGCTGAACAATCTTAGCACTTTTGTCAGTGGGATTCTGAAGAAATGACTGACTTAGCAGCTAAAGACTTTAACAAAGGTTGAAGTCTCGTACCGATTGCTCTCATTGAGGTTCCCTCCATGTGGGATGTCATTTCTGTGAGACTGCTGGAGCTCATGGCGTATGTCTCAGATGTCATGGAGGACATGCTGGACATTGACATGGTCTCAAACTTCATCTCAGCTGCCATGCTGCTGAAGGAGCTGGACTCCATCATGGATGACATCATTGTCTGGTGGGCAGAGGAGGAAAAGGCCGAAGACTCCTCCATCGTGTGGATTTCTTTCTTTGTCATCATGGACGAGGCCTTTGACTCCTGGTGACTCACCATCACTGACCCTGTTGAAAATTAGTTGGAACATGAAATACAGAAACCTCATCAATCATCTCTAAATTAACATTCTGAACAAAAAAATCTTTTGCTGGAGGAAGATCTCACCTTTAAGCGCCACTTGCTGCTCTCGGTAAGCTGTGACTTTCTTGTATATGGACTGAAACACTTGACCAGTGAAGGAGAAGGAGGATTTGGACACTCCTCCATCTGAGGTCATCTCACAGGTGTACTCTCCCTGGTCACTCTCTGCCAGCTCATGAATCAGAAGACTGCAGGATCCTTCAGAGTAGTGCATCTCAAAGCGACTGCTCTGTGAAAGCCTCCTGCCGCTAACGTACCACACCACCTCCCTGACGCTGCTTTCACAGACGCAGGACATCTTGACTGAGCCCTCGCAGGCCTCAGCTGTTAGCTGGCTGAGGACTTTGGGAGGTTTCGGGGTCGGGGATTTCACAGTGGGAGGAGACACAACCCTCTTGGGGGACATAATTGGAGGAGGTGATTTTACCCTCGGAGGTGATTTGATTCCCTCAGGCTCAGGTGACTTCAATCCCCTTGGAGATTTGATACCTGGGGGTTCTGGAGACTTGATGCCTCTTGGTGTTTTGATTCCTGCGGGTTCTGGTGACTTGAGACCTCTTGGTGTTTTGATACCTGCAGGCTCTGGTGATTTAACACCACGGGGAGATTTTGCCTCTTCAGGTTCTGGTGACTTCACACCTCCAGGAGTTTTGGCTGGTGTTGGTGACTTTAGTCTGGGTTCGGGAGATTTTAGCCCACGTGGTGACTTGATTCCCTCTGGTTCAGGAGATTTTACACCAGGAGTTGGTGATTTTAAGCTGCGTGCTGGAGAGGGAGCTGATGGCTCCGGAGATTTGATGCTCTTAGCAGATTTTACTTCCTCTGGTTCAGGAGACTTTACACTTGGTGTGGGTGACTTAACTTCAGGGGCAGGAGATGTTACAGCTGGTGACTTTACACTTGGTTCTGGTGACTTTATACTAGGTGCTGAGGAAGGAGCAGGGGATGCCGCTGAGGGCTCAGGTGACTTAACACTGGGTGCTGGTGACTTCACAGGTGGCTCAGTGGTTTTGACAGCTTTGATTTCCTCCTTAGGAGGTGGCCTGCGGATTGTCAGAGTAAAATGAGCCTCCTGTCTACCTGCTGAGTTCTCAACGACCACAGTGTAACTGCCCTCATCAGATGTGGTCACAGATGATATCTCTAGGCTGGACTTGTACTGAGTTGTGGTGACATGGATACGAAGAGATGATACAATTGTCTTGCTCTCGTGTATCCATGTCACAGTTGGTGCAGGCTCCCCATCAATGTCACAAGAGAACCGGGCTGTCTCTCCCTCTGCAACAGTCACAGACTGTGGCTTGGTGAGGATTTTGGCAGGAAGAGAAGGTTTTTCCTTGGGCAACGTAAGTTGCTCAGGAACAGGAGCAGTCGAGGATGTTTTCAGTTTATCTTCAGATGTTGCATGCTTTCCAGTTAAAGAAAACTTCTCTGAAGAATATGAGGAACTAGAGGAAAGATATTCAGTGGAGGCATACTTGATAGATGAGTCATACCTCTCAGCAGAGGAGAATCGCTCTCCAGAAGAGAATCTCTCGGCCGAGGCACCAATTCTTTCCCGTGTGACAACCTCACGTGTTTCTGTTAGCTTTGACTTGCTCTCTTCCACCTCCAGGTAGGTTTGCGAGGTATAGCCAGACTTAAAGTGCGTGGTGTGATAGTGATCAATGCGTGTGACTTCAGGAACAAATGCTTTAGGAGTGTCCTCATCCTTGCGGCGGGAGGAGAATGTAGTGTATCCGCCTCCTGACACCTCCAGCGTGGCGTAGTCAGACGCCTCACCCTTTGAATTGGAGCACACACAGCGGTATGTGCCACTGTCTTCTTCTTGGCAGTCCAGGATAGTGATGGTCAGAACGCCACTCATGTTTGTAAAGATGTATTTCTCACCATGTTCAGAGATTTCTGCTCCATTGTGGAACCATGCAACTTCAGCCTCTGGTTTTGCTTGGATGTTCAGGGTGAATTTTGTGTCCTGACCAGTTGGGATGCGATGAGAGCGCATCCTGACAGTTACACGAGGAGCGTGATCAAGGCTGAAAGGTGCTTGACTCACAACCTGGTATTTCCTCTCAGACTTCAGAGCAGCTTTCCTGGCTTCATAACGGGACATGATGTCAAAGCGTGCCGACCGCTCAAACCTAGAGGAGGAGCGGGAAGACCTCTCCACTGACCTAATAGGACTGGGAGAACGAGGACGGGTCCGCTCTGGAGTAGGAGATCTCCTCCCCACAATCTCTCCCTCTGTTTCCACAGGTCTAGCATGTGGTGGTCGGATTAGCTCTGAGACTGGTCGCATCAGCTCAATGTAGGTAGGAGACAGTGACCTTCTCCTTCTCGTGTACTGAGAAATAGTACGTTTCTTCTTTGTCTCAACCTCAGCGGCTTCATGTCTGACTTCCTGCCTCCTTTCCTCATGTTCAACGACACGTCGTTGAACTTGGATGGGGCTACCAGGAGGAGAGGCAGAAAAGCCGAGCTCAAGTTCATCTTCCAGCATCATTGTCTCCTCCTCAGCTCTCTTCCTTGTTAGGTAGTCATCCACAGGCATCATCAGCTCTTCATCACTCAGATCTCCCAGAGACCTCCTTCTGGATCTAAAGGAGACTTCAGACTCAGGAGATGGTGAACGTCGGGCAGGTCTAACAGTCTCCAAATCATCCATTGTCAATTTGGGAATGCGCCATCTTGGTCTGTATTGGTCAGTGATTCTGGGGAGAGGCATCACGTAGAACTGCTCCCACCTGGACAGACGAATACGTCTCTGCCTCTTTTGCACAATCCTTTCTGTTCTCTCTGACACCTCATACTGATCTCGTATCTTGCGATACCACTTCATGTCAGACAGAGGTACAAACTGCTTAATGGCTTTGTCTTCATCCAAAGCTTTAGGATCATGAACCACAGGCTCAGGAATTTCATAGGGCATGAAAATCCTTCTCTCTTCCTCTAGCTTCTTGGTCTCTGTCTTCTCCTCTGTGATGTCAAATTCGCCTTCAATGTTCTTGGTGCTTACTGCGGGTTTGTAGACCTCTGCAGCAAATTTGAGGGCCTCCTGTGCTGTTGGGTTTAGAGGTACGAGTTCCTCAGTAGCTGCAATGTGCTGAGCCATTTTGTTGGTTTTCTCTATTTGTTTCTGTACATGTCTGAGTTTCTCCTCTTCGCTCTTGTACTCTCTTCTAGTGTAAGTGAGACGGTCCACTTTCAGAGTGGCCTGGCAGCTTGCAGAGCCAGCAGAGTTGGTTGCTGTGACTTTGTACACTCCATCATCCTCAAGCAGAGTCTCCCTGATGTGAAGGACATGATAATCAATGTCCTGTTCTATGACAACAACTTTGGGACCAAACTGTAGAGGAAGGCCGTCTTTTTCCCATTTAAGAGAAGGAGTGGGAACTCCTGACACCCTGAGTTCAAAGCGGACACTGTCTCCCTCTGTGCACTCAACATTAGCCAGGAGACGTTTGAACATGGGCCTCATTGTATCCTCAAGCACAGGATGAGGTATCACAGTGAGACGAGCCTTGCAGCTGTCTTCTCCAAACCTGTTGTGGGCCATGACTGTGTATTCAGCATCATCACCAATATCAAGGTTGTGAATCATGAGTTGATACAGGCCCTTATCACTTGTGAAGGTGTACTTCCTGTCATCCTCTTTGATTTGTTCTCCATTTTTAAGCCAGGTTACATGAGGCTCTGGGTGCACAGTGATAGTGACACCAAAGCGCACATCCTCACCAATATATGCTGTGCGGTTGTAAAGTGGCAAAGTGAACTCAGGTGGTCTCTGGAGAAGTTTAGTTTTGTCAACCCTCCTCCTCAGCTTCCTGATGGTGCGGCTCATGTAGTGCTCTCTGATGCTCCTCACAGTTTCTACAAAGAGTTCTCCATAGGCACTGTCCTCTCCATCATCACTCACCACCTTGCATCTGTAGACACCATCATCAGACTCTTCAATGTCCTTCACGTAAATACTGGCAAAGCCGTTGCTGTAGGAAATCTCATACTTGGGGCTTGGATGTAACTGACGGTTACCTAAGTACCATGTTACCTGAGTACTCTTGTCAAAGTTCACAATACTACAGGTAAATCTAACATGGCCACCTTCCTCAGCTGAGGCATGCATGACAGGCCCGGCACGCAAGCCATGGTACTCAGTTCCAATCTTAACTTTACCAACTTCCAGACCTCGCTGGTTTCTGAAGGCACCTCCAAACGCCACACGAGCTGCTGAAACTATGGTATCAGTCTTCTTTACTAGTGACTGATAGTATCTTCTGTGTCTCAGTGTCCTGATGATCTTGTTGCTGACATGCTCAATCTTCATCTTGAGCCATGGATGTTCTAGAGCTTCATGAGCAGTCATACGGAGCTTCCTGTCCTTGACTAGGAGTCTATCTATAAAGTCCATTGCCTCTAAGCTGATGTCCTTGAATGCTTCCCTGTCAAAGACGTACTCACAGTTTGAGATGTTCTCAATCATCTTTGTCATAGACTCTGCGGCAAATGGATTAAGGCCGCTGAGTAGAACATATGCCAAAACACCAATAGACCACATATCGGTGGCTGTTGTGACCAGATCATGGCGGTGAACCTCTGGGGCATAATACTCTGGAGCTGAAAACAGCATTCTGATGTTTTCTCCAGGAACCAACAGTCGAGACTGTCCCATTTCAATAATTTTTATATTGAGACTTCTCCTTGTGGTATAAACAATGTTATCTGGGCGGATATCAAAGTGGCCAAAGTTTCGGCTGTGTAAGAACTTGACAGCAGAGCAAACCTGTCTCAGGTAGCGGACAATCTCCTGTTCTGTGAGCTCAAAGTTGCTGGTACCAAGCCGCTCAAAGATATCAACTCCAGAGATGAATTCAAAGATCAGGATAATCTCCTCCATGCTTTCAAAGTATTCATGGAGGTAGATGATATTCTTATGTCTTCCAACATTAAGAGCCTCTATTTCCCTGAGGACTAACTCGCGATCAGTTCCTTTCACTTTGATGAACTTGGCCATGAAAGTCTTCTTAGTGGCAATCTCCACACAGCGGTGGACCACTCCAAACTGGGAGCGAGCAAGCTCCTCTGAGATGATGTATTTGGAAGACAGCTCCTTCACCTTGTAGAACACAGCTTCCTCCTTGGTGATCTCTCTGTCTTCATCCACTTCCTCGTCATAGTTCCTGATCACAGATTTGTCTTCCTTGGTGGTAATGGGCTCAGTTGGAGCAGATGGAAGGCTGACACCAAACTGGTTCTCTGCAATAACACGGAACTGATATTTGGTCTTTCCAAATATGTTGATAATGGTGATACTGCAGTCTGTTGTATGACCAGCACGAATCCACCTATCAGCAGTGGTTGGGCATTTCTCTACAATGTAGTTAATAATCTCACTGCCACCATCACTGGCAGGGGGCTCCCAGGTCAGTGTAATAGAGTCCCGTGCAATGTCGCTGACCACAAGTCCCTTTGGAGCATCAGGGATGTCAGCCACATTCACCTCAATAGTTTGCTTGTCTGATCCGAATCTGTTCTTTGCAGTAATTGCATAATAGCCAGTATCCTTCCTCTGTACTCCCTTCAGGAACACCAGGGAGGTGAAGGATCTTGTGGTGATAACTTGATGATAAGCAGAGCTTGAGAGGACCTCCTGACCCTTCTGCCAAGTGACCGCTGGCTCAGGCTTTCCTGAGATGGGGATCTTGATTGTGACGTGATCACCGCGCACAGCTTGTACAGCTCCCATTCCCTGGAGCTCTTTAGGCAGGTGTATTTTTGCAGGCACTGAAATGAAAGAATCAGAAAATTACATTTCACTAGAATGTAAAAAAAATAAGATAACTTAGAATATAACCTAATGGAGATGTTTGGCATAAATACCTTCCACATCCAGGTTGGCTATTGTAGAGATAGATCCTGACGGGTTAGTTGCTCTGACTTGGTACACTGAGGCATCATTCTCATCAGCTGCAGTGATGACCAGCTGATAGTAGCCACCCTTGAACTCAAGGACTTTTATTTTTGTTCCATCTGCCAGGATCTCCTTACCACTGCGATACCATTTGACAACAGGCTTTGGATGGCCCACAACCTTGTTATAGGAAAAGATAATCAGAGTAAATTAACCTGCTGAAGAAAAATCAAATATAGGTTATCACATAAAAAAGTTCTTCTAGTTTCTAAATACCTTGGTGACAAAGGTGGCGTTGCTGTGGTATTTGACAGTCATGTCTCTGATCTCCTCTCTGAATGCAGGAGCACGAGGAGCCTGCTCAGACTTGGGAATGACCGGCAGAGAGATCTCAGACCAGTCGCTCTCACCGCCAATGTTTTGGCATTTCACACGGAACTCGTACTCAAAGCCCTCAATCAAGCCAGTGACTTCATAGCTGGTCTCCGTAAATGTCTTTGTTGTTACAGACATCCATTTGTTCTGCTTCTTCTCGCGTTTCTCAAGGAAGTAGCTGGTGATTTTCGCTCCTCCATCGCTAGTTGGAGGCTTCCAGCAAACGACACAAGAGTCTTTGGTAGAACTGATAATGAATGGCTGCTGTGGGATTCCAGGTTTATCTGTGAGAAAAACAACACAGGGCTGTTATTCTGTCTTTGTGCTAACTAGAACTCTAGGTAGAAAATTAAATTTACGGGGGTTACCATATGGAGCCTTGATGATGACCACTGATGGAATCTCCAGAGGCTCACTGACGCCATACTGGTTCTGTGCTGAGACTCTGAAGTAGTATCCAGAGCCCTCAGTCAGGTTGGGGACACGGCAGGTGGTGCCAGAGACAGAGGAAGACACCAGGTGCCACTGTTCTCCCTCTTTGGCTTCGCATTTCTCTACAATGTAGTTGGTGATTACAGACCCTCCATCATCTTTAGGAACCTTCCAGCTGATCACAACTGAGTTCCTGAGCAGGGATTCAACAACAACAGGACCCTCAGGGATGCAAGGTTTGTCTGGGGAAAAAATAGTAAAGCAACATCAGGAACGGCTCATGGTGTTAATGTAAAAAAAAAAAAAACTGTCAGGTAATAAAGCATGCAAATATTCTTTGTTCATTTGAATTTTTATTTGAAGTTGTTTTAAAAAAGACTTTCAGTGATGTAAGCCAATACCTTGGATTTCAACACGCAGAGAGGTGTCAACAGTTCCAAACACATTGCTGAGCTGAACCTTGTAGCGACCAGCGTTGGTTTTTCGTTGGGCATTCCTCACAACAAGGTGGGTATAGCTTTCTGTGTTTTCAATGATCACGTTCTCAGATGAATTTAGAGGTTTTTTGCCGTAGAACCACATGATCTGGGGGATTGGACGACCAATGTAGACGACGTGGAGCCGGAGGCTGGTACCAGCCCCAGCATAGTACTTTTCTTTCAGAGGGAAGCCAGGGTGGAATTGGGGAGCTGCCTGCAAGCGTAGTTTGCCACTGGTCTCTATCTCTCCAGCCTCGTTGATTGCCCTGCAGGTGTACACGCCTTCGTCTTCTTGCTCCTCTGTCAGAATTGTGAGGGAGTGGTTACGACCATCTGAGCTCATCTTGTACTTGCGGCTCTGGATCAGTTCTCTGCCGTAGCGATACCACTTGATCTCAGGCAAAGGTCTGCCAATGATTCCACAAGTTAGAGTGCCAGACTCGCCAAGCTTGGTGGTTACATCTTGGACCTCTTCCTTCAAAGCTGGAGCTTCACCAACTGCAGAAAAAATATGATTCATATTTACTCCAACCTTAAATGTTAAATTAACATTTCATTAGGTGTAGTATAACTAGCTCACCGCTCAATTTGGTCTTGATGCCCATGGGTGTGCGACGAGGTCGACTGAGTCCAGCCTCATTTTCAGCAAAGATTCTGAATTCATACTCTGTGGCCTCCATCAAGCCCCCCATGGTGAACTGCCGATCCTTGGAGCGCTCCTTGTTGCATTTCTTCCAAGCGCTTTCTCCAGCCTCCCTGAACTCAATCCAATAACCCAGGATCTCCTTTCCGCCATCATGTTCTGGCCTGAGCCAATGAATGGTGATGCTGTCCTTGGTAATAGAGATGATGTCAATATCTCCTGGTTGGGTGGGCTTGTCTACAGGAAGAGACAGCAAGACATTAACAATAATAGAAAAAATATCAAATGAAACCTTGCTAAAAATTCTAGCAAGGTTACATCACTTCATTCATGGGAATATAAGTATTAAATAATACAACACACCAAATGGATCTTTGCAGACCACCGATTCTGAAGCAGGACCGGGTTCACTCTGCCCAATGTCATTTTGAGCCACCACTCTAAACATGTACTCTGCGTTGGGTATAAGTCCGGTGACATTGAACATGGTGGTAGTGATGTGGGTCTTGTTGTGACGAACCCACTTCTCTGTGGAAACCTCCCTTCTTTCCACGTAGTATCCTGTGACACGAGAGCCACCATCATCCCGGGGCCGGGCCCAAGACAGAGACACCGTGGTCTTGGTGACGTCCATGATCTCTGGTGGATTACTGGGAGGTTCGGGTGGACCTGCAGTTATAGGTATTGTCAGTAAAACATGTATTTTGAATCACAACAGAGCAGCTTAGATTTGAAAGTTGAAGACAATTTCAGAAATAGTACTCACAAAGAGGTGTCTTTGGCAGAACAGCTCCATCTGACTTAAGGGATCTGCTAACACCAAACTGGTTCTCAGCAAACACCCTGAAGTGGTACTCTACATTCTCCTTCAAGCCCTTGACCACCAGGGAGGTCTCAGTTACCCGGGCATCCACTGTGTACCAGGCGGCCTTTGGTACTTCCCGCCTTTCTACTATGTAGCCCAGGATGTCAGAGCCACCATCATCTGAAGGCGGTCTCCAGCTGACGCGAACTGATCTAGCCTGGATGTCATCAAATTCTAGAGGACCTTCTGGGGCATCAGGTCGACCAATCACCTTCACCTGATGGCGAAAAGCATAAACATTATTACTTTTTTTAGTTAGTCTCTTTTTCTTCCTGACATTTCCTTGAGGTGTTGTATCTCACCTTGATGTACACAGCTTTCCTACCACATTTGTTCTCCAGCACCAAATCATAGGTACCGGTGTCGTCTTTGTGTGCCTCTTTGATGACCAGCTCAGTGATGTCATCATGGGTGGCAATCATGGCACGATGTGAGATGTCACGACCATCCTTTGTCCACTTAGCTGTGGGTATTGGTTTGCCTTTGATGGGAACAGACAAATGGACGACTCCACCTTGCCGCACCACATATTCTTCCTCGTATACACGATCAAGCTCAAAGTCAGGATAATCTGGGAAAGACACAAAAAGCAGCTTTGCTTATTAAATTGTTCATTCAACATATAAATGCATGTACTGTGTAAAATTCTTGTCTTACCAAGCATTTCTTGGACTTTAACCACTCCAGAAATCTCTGCAGGCTCTCCGGCACCACCTGCATTGCAGGCAATGACTCTGAACCTGTACTCTGCACCCTGGGGCATGTGTGTTAGGGTGTACTCGCACATCTTGGTGGGTGTAGTATTGCACAGAGTCCATTCAACCTGGTCCACCTTTTGCATCTCAATGAGATATCCAGTAACAACAGAACCACCCTCTTCCTCAGGCGGCAGCCAGGCCAGAGAGACCGATGTCCGTGTGCTGTCTGTGACTCTGGGTTTAACTGGAGGACCTGGAGGTTCTATTTAGCAACACAGAAAGATTTACTAAATAAACTGACCTCCTTTCTTGTAAAACTAAATGAACTAAGCTTTGCATCACTTACCAATGGGATCCATGGCAACAGCTACGGCAGAACTTTCACTGGGTTTGCCAGTGCCTCTGGAGTTGATGGCAGTGATTCTGAACTCATATTCCAGGCCCTCAATCAGCCCGGAAGAACGATATCTGGTCATAGTGACTGGATTCTTATTGATTCTCAACCATCTGTCAGATCGGGCCTCTTTACGTTCTATTATGTAGCCAGCAATGGTGGAGCCACCGTTGTCCACAGGTGGTTGCCAGGTCACGGTCATACCTTCATGGGTGACATCAATCACCTCTGGCCTGCTTGGGGGTCCAGGGATGGCTGCACGGGGAGAAAAGGTGGAAATTTTACTGAACTGTGGGACAAAAAGTATCTTTCTGACCAAATAATCAAAGAAATTCATCTGGCCAAGCATGATTGTAGATCTGCATGTCTAAAATTATCAAACTGGTAAGATCACAAGAACAGGGAATATGAAGATGACTCTGAGAACTCACTCTTGGCGCTCTTGCACTCCACCACTTCAGACTGCAGGAAGCCACCAAAACCAAAGCGATTCATGGCAGCAACACGGAACACATACTCAGTTCCTTCATTAAGCCTGGTGAACTTGAAACAAGGTCTGGTCACAGATTCAGAGATGGTGGACCAGCCTGGGTGGTGGGCTTCACGCTGCTCCACCACGTAGCCACTGACATTGGCACCACCGTCTTTCTCTGGAGGCTCCCAGCTAACTGTTACCGAGACACCATCAACCTCCTCGATTTTTATGGGACCGACTGGGATACCAGGTTTGTCTGCGCAGAAATGACAATACAGACAATTTATGTTCAGAAATGTTACTTCAATGCTGACATCAATCAGATATTTATTTGTATGAAGTGTTCTTACCCAGGATGATGACCTTGATAACCTCCGTTGCCATGCCGATAGCATTCTTCACCTCCAAAGTGTAATCTCCAGTGTCATCGATGGTGGTGTCACGGATGACAAGGTGTGTGTATTTCCCGTTGCTGTCGATCTTGATGCGGTCCAAGCTGTCCTTCAGCTTGGCACCACCGAAGTACCAGGAGCAAACCGGCACTGGTTTGGCTTTAATCGGGATGTTCAGGTCAATAGATTTGCCCCGGTGCACATGAACGATCTTCTGAGGGATGCTGGTCAAGTCAATCTTTGGCATCACTGAAAAATAAAATATTTAATTGGTTAAATTCTGGCTTTCTGAAAGGAAGTATAATGTGTTGTAGGTCAAGGCTTCCCAAACAGCATTAGTTTCTGGCCTGGTCAATCCCACAAAATATATAAAGGAACATTTAATTTTATTTATTTGCTTTTCACTCCCATTTGCTCAATTTTTACATTCATTCAGCACATAGCCTACTTCATACCTACTGATTTTAGTTGGGAATGAGTTTGGTGGTGGAGCACTTTATCAGCTAATATATTATGACTTTATTAATGTGATGCTGAATATATTACCAGATAAAACATTTCCACCATAATCCCCTCTTTTAATAAGAAAATATGTAACATATGTTTTAAGGAAATATGTAAGTTTTTTTTATTAATTCCATCAATCTGTATTTAATCTCCAGAGTTTAGGTTTTTGCAGAAGTGTCCTCTGGTTGCTGGACAGTTACTTTGGTCTTTTGCTTGTCACAAACCCAGGTTATTTTATAATAATGAGTGAAAAAAAGTTAGATTAGTAATAAAATGAAAATTTATGATTAAAATGTTATTTAGTTTTTAAATTTTTTTCTCATATTTTTCTAACACTTTCTGAAGCCCCTAGTGGCCTCTGAGGTCAACAGATTTGTTCCAGGTTGTTGACGCTGTGACGACTCACCCTTGATCTCCTGGATTATGACTGGTGTCATAATGTCCATGGGCTCACTGACTCCCCTGCTGTTGGTGGCACGGATCCTGAACAGGTACTGGTCGTTCTCTGTAAGCGACTGGATTGTGTGCTGGGACTGAGAGGCCTTAACTGTCGCCACGGCACTCCACCTGTCTGACCCCACCTTGCAAGCCTCTATGATGTAACCTGTCAGCCTGCTGCCGCCATCATGCAGTGGTCTTTCCCAATGGAGGGTCACAGTGGACTTGGTGACATCCACAACGCTGAGGTCCGTGGGCACTGATGGTACTTCACACACCAACACAGGCTCAGCTGTCTCACAAGGCTCGCCGACACCATAGATGTTCTCAGGTAGGACTCTGAAGAAGTAGTGCACGCCTTCCTCCAATCCTGTGATCCTGTACAGAGTCTTCCTGCACTCAGTGGTCACAGTTTTGTATGACTTCATGTTGGCTTCTCTCTTCTCTACGATGTAGTTGCTGACATGAGCGCCACCGTCCAGGCTTGGGACGTCCCAGGTGATCACAACCGACTCCTTGGTGTAGTCTTTCACCCTGACTGAACCAGGAGGACCAGGGGTGTCTGAAGAAAAGAGACACATCAAGAAAATGAAGATTTATGTCTTGAAGAATTACTTGAGTAAAAACTAACTGGACAGAACTTACCGTAGACCTTGACCAGGATAATGCACGTCTTCTTTCCTGATGGATTCTCGGCTTCCACAACATATTTTCCAGAATCATAGCGATTAACTTTCTCCACCAGGAGAAAGGTGTGACTGTCGGTGGTCTCAATGAAGCCTCGGCTCTGCAGCTCCACACCGGTCTTTCTCCAGGCAACAACTGGTGCCGGTCGGCCGGTGATGGACACGAACAGGCGGAGGGTACCGCCAGCACGCAGACAAACCGTCTTCTTCAAGTCTTCGGCCAGTTCCAGGTCAGGCATTTCTGAAGATGGAAACAATAGGAGATCATGAAAAAAATCCTACTTACTTGCATATATTTTTGATGACTGCTCAATATTTTATGTTGTAATTTTGCCCTTATTCAAAAATTTTGACATCTTCAAAAGTAATAAATAATTTGTAATTTCTTTAATTATTTTTCCTTGTTATGAAGGTGTTATTTAAAAGAAAACCATTTTTCAATCTTTCTGAAGACATTTTTCTTAGAAAAAATATCTTGACTCAAGAGATGAACTAATATCTCTACTCAGAAAAGAACTAAGTTCCATAATTTCCTTGAAATTTCAGTTTCAAATCTCTGACCCAAGATATATTTTTAAATAAACTATTTTTTAATATTTTTCCAGCAGCTTAATGTACTGTTTTAGTCCAACTTCTTATCTATTTTTTAAGCGAGAATAACAATCGGACAAGTAATGAGTTTATATTGCAGGGATGTCCAAAGAAAAACAATTTAAGAATCTGAAAAGAGCTGAAGAATTGCTAAGATCACTTTAAACCTGCATTATGAAACTTTTTAAAAACTTTGTTAAAAATGTCACAATATCGTGACAGTATGGTATGAGACTATTACTAATGAACTCACCAACTTTCTCCAGTGGTTCGATCTCTCCACTCGGTTCACTGAACTCCCCGGTGCCGTTGCCGTTGATGGCCGCCACCCTGAACCTGTACTTCTTATTGGCTGCCAGGCCACCGGCCACGTACTCATTGGTCTTTATGGGCTTAGCAGTGGCGCGGTACCACTGCTCCGAGTCTTCCTCTAAGATCTCTATGACGTAGCCTGTGACATCGGAGCCGCCGTCGTACATGGGCCTGGTCCAGGTCAAGCTAATGCTGTGCTTGGTTGTGTCCACTATGCGAGGTGTTGATGGAGCAGCCGGGGTGTCTGAAGGGGATGAATATAAATAGATTATTAACATACTTTCATGTTTTAATATCTGGAAACTCTGTAGTAAAGAAGTAAAAAGACTCACATGTGGGATCTTTACAGACAATGTATTCTGAGGCGTCGCTCGGCTGGCTCTCTCCAGCGTTGTTGACAGCTGTGACTCTGAACTGGTACTCGCCTCCCTCTATCAGGCCAGTGATTTTCAGACGGATGTCATAAATTGTGTAAGTTCTGTTCACCCGAGTCCATCTGATTCAACAGAGCAGATCAATTGTTCAATGTTTTTTTCTGAGACAGTTAAAGCTGATATTTGTAGACAGAACATGTTTTAACCTTGTGCTGCTTTTCTCTCGTTTTTCCACTATGTAGTTCTTGATCTCACTGCCTCCGTCGCTCTCAGGCTTCAGCCACTCGATGATGATGTGCTCCTTACCCACCGCTGTGGCCTCTGGGGCGCCCGGCGGGGATGGGACAGCTGGGAAACAGGTGTCAGGTTAGAGAATAATTCTGTTTCCCAGGAGTAAAACATACCACAAACAACACCAACCAACCTAACCAAAGTTATTAAAGTTAACTGAAACTGAAACTGTTTTCATTCAGGAGAAAACTATAACTAACTGGAACTATTTACACACATATAAAAACAAAACATACTGAAATTATAGATATAATATCCTTCATTTCCATGTTTATAAATCCATTTATTAGCCTTTCGGACTGATGTGAAATAGATTTTTTCCACAGCTATGAGGAAATTACGGCACTTCATGCTTCTTCTGGCAGTTCTTGCATTAGTTCACGAAATTGTGACACAAAAGTTGGGAAAAAACGCAAGAGTCAGGCGGTTGTTCAACAATAATTCAATACATATTTTGAAAATAGTATATTCTGTTGAGTATTCATTACCCAATTTAAATTCTGCACCTAAAAATTAAGTATGGGTTTTAAGTATGAAAAAACTAAAACTACTACTATGGCTTATAAAAACTAAACTAAAAATAAATAATATTGCATAATAATAATAATAATAATAATAATAATAATAATAATAATAATAATAATAATAATAATAAATAAGATAGCAAACGCATTAATTAAACAAAATTTGACCAAAAGTCACAACAAAATAAAATTAAACTATAATGAAAAACTAAAAACTATTATAACCTCTGAAACCTAGGTTGAGAAATAGTCTGAATGTGAAATATTTGACAAAGAGAAGCGGTTTCATACTGTAGGCGTTTCTGGCGATGATCGGCTCGGACTCCAGAGGAACTCCGGGTCCAAACTTGTTGACTCCTCTGACTCTGAAGACGTATTCGTTGTTCTTGATCAACCTGGAGCTGACACATGACAGCGACTTGCACTCTGCCTCCATGATGACCCAGTTGAGCCGGCTGGTTTCACGTCGCTCCACAATGTAGTGGGTGACGATGTCTCCGCCGTCCTCCAGAGGGATCTTCCAGGAAACCGTACACTTCTCCTCAGTGACTCTGCTGATCACGATCTTGTCAGCAGGTTGTCCAGGAGTGTCTGCGAGGAAAACAAATCAAGAGTTGGACATTTTTGTGACATGTTCATGTTCTGACCCAAGCCTAAATGTTGAAACATGGCTACTCACCCAGAACCTTCACGTTGACCGAAGCGGTCTTAATGCCATTGGGGTTCTTGACGGTGAGGATGTATCTACCCGTATCGTATCTGTCGCAGTTTTTGATGACGGCCATGGCTCTTGTTGACGTGTATGTCAGAGAGTATTTCTCTCCCAACTCCAAAATCTTGTCACCCTTGGACCAGTACACTGTGGGTTCTGGTTTGCCTCCCACAGCACCGTCCAGGACAAGGTCGGAGCCAGCCATAATAGTGATGACCTCCCGTGTCAATTTGCTGTCAAGTTCTGCTCTAGGAGGAGCTGCAGTAAGTAAAACATAAAATTTTAAGCTGTGATAAAAATTTGACTGCAAAATGGATTTCAGTTAAATTGTTGTGTGTTAAGAAATTGGGTTGTAACAATAAATCCACCTAAAAATACAACAATTTAGAAAAAACTTCCAGGAAAATCATTTCACGATTGTCTTGCTTTCGCACATAAAGCAAGAGTTTTGCAAATTATAAACTGTTACTCATGTTTTATCAAGCAGTATTGCTATGGCATTGTCCTCTAAGACAGTGGAAATTGCAGAAAAGCAGTTTGTTTTGATGACTAACTAGCATTGTTAGCAGCTGTTAGCAAGTTGCTGTATTCTCACAGTTCTTACAAATCTCATCTTCTGATCAGTGTCTTTTTTCTTTAAAGTCCTCAACATGCTGCATTCAGACGATTTAAAAGAGGTGAAGGCTTCTTTAATGTTTATGTAATCAAATAATGTTGACCAACCTAACAACACTTTTATTAGCTGACTCATTCAGCTAACATTATTGGGCAACAACCAAAGAATTGCTTCGTTTTATACTTCAAAATGAGTCTCAAAAATAGAGAAATATGTAAAACACTCAGCTCCACCTGAGACTCATAATAATAACAACTTGCATTTAATTTTCAACCATTATAAATAGTGATTCTCAAGAGCAGCTTCAGTTTGATGAGAAATATCACAAGAACTTCACTGCTGTGACAAATTGTTTTAAAGCTGCTAAAATACAGTAAATGTTATGGTAAACAGAACTTTATAAAAAAAACATCTAGAAATTTAAATATAAAGAAAAATAAGGAGAAACATGTGAACGTACAGTACTCATCCTTGCATGTGATTGGACCAGTGGTCTCAGAAGGCATGCTGTGGACCCCGGCTGCATTCTTGGCGATAACACGATACTCAAAGGTTTCTCCCTCTCCCAGGTTTGTGACTGTGAAGTAGTTCTCTGTGATCGTGGTGTAGTTGCACTTGAGCCAGCGGTTGTCGTCCCACTCATCTGTGCTGTAGACCTTCTTCTCCACAATGTAGCCGACAATCTTATTGCCACCATCGTTGATCGGTATAGTCCAGCACAGCGAAACAGAGGAGCGGCTGATGTCGGTAATCTCAGGTTTACCAGGCGGATCTACAACAAGCAAGTTAAGACTTTATCAAATACTGCAGCAGGATTTTATTCAATTACATATTGGAACTACCAGTGGTTCCTTACCAACAGGGTTGAGCGCCACCACTGGTCTGGAGGCTTCACTGGCCTTGCTCAGTCCAGCGAGGTTCATGGCGTACACTCTGAACTGATACTCCAGACCCTCGATCAGGTTGGACACCTTGTAATGACACTCAAGGCAGGGCAGTTTGTTCTCCCTCACCCACAAGATTGTGTTCCTCTCTTTCTTCTCAATCCAGTATCCTGTCACCTGGCTGCCACCATCAGAATATGGCACATCCCACTTAATGCCAATGACATTTGCTGACACAAATACCACATCAGGGCGAGTTGGAGGACTTGGAGGAACTGCAAATGTAAACAGGTGGAGATTATTAAGAGCCAAAAAGTGCCAGGATGTGTGATATTGTCTTACTGAAGCAGAACCTACTGAATGGATGCTCGATCACAACAGCTGCAGACTCAATGGACTTGCTGACTCCAAACTTGTTCTCGGCACACACTCTGAATGTGTATTCCATGTATTTGGTGAGATGAGTCACTTTGATTGTCGTTCTCTGCACACTGGAGTTTACTACCTGCCATGAAGCATGGCCAGACTCGCGTTTCTCAACAATGTAGTTGGTTATTTCGGTGCCGCCATCATCAGCTGGCTCTGACCATGACAGTGTGCAAGACTCTGATGAGACTCCAGAAATCTTGACTGGGCCAGTTGGTGGGCTAGGTCTGCCGACGACGACCACAGTCACTGTGAAAGTCATCACACCGGCAGCATTCTCCAGGATCAGGTAATACTTGCCGCTGTCACTTCTCTTGCTGTCTCTCACTATCAGTGTGGTTCTCTCCTTTGTGGTCCTGATCAAGACTCTGTCAGTCTCCTTCAGCTTCATTTCCTCCAGTTTCCATGTGACCTTGGGCGCAGGTCTGCCGCTTATTGGGATATCAATTGTGATAGTATTGGAAAGCTTAACAGTAATGAGCTGGTTAGTGATACTGCTGAGATCAGCAGTTGGCTCAATGAGAGGCTCCTTAATGACCACAGAGCTGAAAGTACCTTGAGGCTCACTGACTCCAGCATCATTTTTGGCCTTGACCCTAAAGTCATACTCAGAGTTTTCAATCAGACCTTCTACCAGCATCTTCGGCAATTTAGTCTCTCCATAAACAATCCACCGGTCACTACCCTTGGCTCTGAATTCAACAATGTACCCTCGGATGCGGCTGCCTCCATCATGGTCAGGTTTAAGCCACACTAGGGAGGCTGTGGAACTAGTGGTATCGACAACATCTAATCTTTTGGGTGGTGCCGGCTCTTCTGTGGCAACAACAGGTTCAGTCATTTCCTTCGGTTCACCTTGACCATACTGGTTAACAGCAGTCACTCTGAACAAGTATGGTACACCAATGTCTAGACCAGTTATCCTTATCATTTGGCGTGAGCTCTTGCTGCTGACCTCCTGCCAAGCAAGGCGGCTTGCCTCACGTTTATCTACTATGTAGTGATGGATGCGGGATCCACCATCATTGGATGGAGCATCCCACATCATTGTCAAAGCACCACGTGTAACATCTTTGAAGGAGATTGCTCCTGGAGGTCCTGGAGTATCTAAGACTTTGATTGTGAATGTGATAGACTTTCGTCCACTGTTATTTTCCAGGGAGAGGGTGTATTTCCCTGCCTCATACCTTGTGCAACCTTCTATAGTCAAAGTGGAGGAGCTGTCTGTGGTGTTGACATCCGCCATGACAGGAAGTTCACCATCTACTCTAGACCAGGTGGCCAGGGGAGCGGGCTTTCCTCTGAAAGCAACGCTGAGAGTGACTATTCCTCCGTTCTTCACAGTGTGAGTTTGTTTGAAGTTTGCATCGATGTCAAATTCTGGAGATGTAAGTCTATCCAGAGCCTGAACAGGGTGTGGCATAACTGAGGCTTCACCCTCTCCTGATCCATTCACTGCACTGACTCTGAACTTGTAAAGCTCTCCAGCTATCAGGCCCTTTGCAGTGTATCTATTGTGGATACAAATCTGACTATTGACTCTGTGCCACTCCTCCAGACTGGCCTTACACATGTCAATGTTATAGCCAATAATTTCCAAGCCACCATCAAATACTGGTTTTGTCCATTCCAGAGTGACAGTGGACTTAGTGGAGTCAATCACCTGTTAAAGAAAGAAAGTTTATTTATCCCTTTGCTCATTTTTGCTCAGGTAACCTTTGTTTTACACATCAGTTTAAAATTAATTCATTCAAACTGCTTTATGATCCTTCACAGAATAGCTTTGTAATTCCTGTTAAAGATCAGCATTAAAACTGAACATGTATACCATTACAAGTAGAAGGTTTGGATGTGGATACGGTTCTCAAACAGTCCTACCTTGATTACACTTGGAGCACTAGGAGCACTGGTTGGCTCTCTGCATTTGAAGAGCCTGGAGGTGCTGCTGGCTGGTCCGATTCCAGCTCCATTTTCAGCCATGACGCGGAACTCGTACTCATTGCCCTCGGTCAGGCGGGTGACACGGTGCCTTAGCTCTGTTATGGGCCTCTTGGAAGACACCCTTACCCAGCGAAGGCTCTTCTTCTCTCTTCTTTCCAGAATGTAATGCTTGATCTCATTACCTCCATCTGATCTGGGCCTGGTCCAGCACATAGTGATACTATCTCCAGTTATGTGAGTTGCATCTGGCGTACCAGGAGCATCTGGCACAGCTAAGGGGAAAGCACAGCAAAACTCTAAGTTGAAAAAAATGCTTCTTTGGATCAGGTGGGAAATTTGGGGTTTTACTTCCTGACGTAGGAATAATCATTTAAAGGTTTACTTACTGTATTGCATGCGTGCAATAACGGCATCAGAATCCAGTGGCTTGCCGACCCCAAATTTGTTGACAGCAGAGATTCTGAACTGGTACTCATTTCCCTTGATGAGGTTGGTGACATTATATGAGCAAGCTTCACATTTGGATGTAACCAACGCCCAGGAAATTCTGGATGTTTCCCGTTTTTCCACTACATAGTGGGTGATTGCAGCACAGCCATCATTTTCTGGTGGGTTCCACCATACAGTGCACTTTTCAGCAGTGATGCCGGTAAAGCGGATGGGACCCTCAACAGGTCCAGGAGTATCTGTGTAGACACAGGGGTTCAGAGGTCTTAGTGTGAAAAAGTATCTAATTCATTTTTAATTAACTCATTGGCCACTTTTAGAGACCTGATAGTGAAACATAAATGTATTGGTTTACCAACCTTGCACTCTGACATTAACATCTGCTTTCCTACTCCCAGAGCTATTTTTGGCTTCCACAGTATAAATTCCACGGTGGTTCCTGTCTGCATCACGGATAAACAGGCTGCTGGTGCCAATGCCTGTGGTAATCTCAATGTCAATCATTGTTCGCTTGTCAATTTCTTTGCCGTCTTTGTACCACAAAACCTGAGGAACTGGGCGCCCAGTGATGGTGCAATTGAGCTTAACATTTTCTCCAGCCTTCAGAGTGACCACCTGGTCAGGAGACCACTCGATTTCAGGAGTAACTGATGACAAAAAAACATTAAAAACCAAAATTAACATCAGTTTATATGGGATAAATTGGTAAATTACTTGATTAATTTAAGAAAAACACATACTGCTCTCATCCTTGGTCATGATATATCCAGAAGAGTTAGATGGTGGGCTGACTGTACCGACAGCATTTCTTGCAATCACTCTGAACTCAAATCTGTCTCCAGGGGACAGACCAGTCACAGTGAACTGAGTATCACTTATATCAATAAAGTTGCATCGTAGCCATTTTCCTCTGCCTTGGCGCCGTTCTACATTGTAAGCCACAATTTTGCTTCCACCGTCTCTCTTTGGAACTTCCCATTGCAGGGTGACTGAATCCCTGGTTGTATCAATGCAGACAGGAGTGCCAGGTGGGTCTGTGGAAAGTGAGAACAAACCCGTTAATGTGTAATATTTGGGTTTAATTTAATGGATATTGTTAATCCTTTAAAAAAACATTTTTCCAGTTAAATTGTCACATTCACAGTTTTTAAATGCAATTACATTAAACTTACCAACTGGGGATATGGCAAGAGCATGTTTGCTCTGCTCGCTGACAGGGCTTAGTCCAGCATTGTTTTCAGCATAAACTCTGAAAGAGTACTCCAGACCTTCCATGAGACCAATGATCCTGTACTCTTTGTTGGAAATGATTGTGGAATTCACCTTCTGCCACAAGAGGCTGTTCCTGTCCTTCTTCTCAACATGATAACCCAAGATAGGAGAACCTCCATCAAAGCCTGGGGCATCCCACTTAATGGTCATACCATCACTGGTGACGTTGAAGGCAACTGGCTTTCCTGGTGGACCTGGAGGTTTATACTGGTGCTGAGCAATAACATCTGAGGAGCTGAGTGGTTCGCTGACTCCATACTTGTTCTCAGCACGGACTCTGAATTGGTATTGAGCTCCTTTGACTAGGTTAGGAATCTTGAAGCTGGTCCTTACAACACTTGAGCAGACCATTTTCCAGTTGGCCTGGGAGGTTTCACGTTTCTCCACACTGTAGCATGTAATCTCACCACCACCATCCTCCTTTGGCTCATCCCAGGAAATGATGATACTCTGAGCCTTTATCTCATCAAAGCGAATAGGACCAACAGGAGCTGTGGGTGGTCCAAGAGTGATCACATTGATGTCAAAGTAGTTTTTGACCACTCTGTTGTCCAGAACTAAAGTGTACTGGCCAGCATTCTCCTTCTTGGCTCCTCTAACTGTGACTGCAGTCTTGTTGTCAGTGGTCCTAAAGCGAATCTTCTCGCTCTCCTTTAGTGGAAGGTTATCCTTCAGCCAGCTGATTGCAGGTCTTGGTTTTCCCTTAAATGGTAGCTCAATGTGGATGTTTTGCCCAATACGAACAGCCAGCTCTCCATTTGGATAATCACTGAGACTGGCTTCTGGAAGAATAATAAAATCTATCACAGGGATTGGACCAATCTGAGAGAAATCACTTCTTCCTTTCTCGTTCTTGGCAAACACTCTGAAATCCATGATGGCATTCTCCCTGAGTCCGGTCACCTCACATGTGCAACGTTTGCATGTTGCACCTAAACTCCAGTTGACTTCATCCTGGCTTCTCTTTTCAACTATGTACTCTGTGATGTGGCTGCCTCCATCATGGTCAGGTCGGGTCCACTGCAGTGTAACAGAGGTCTTTGTAGAGTCCAACATTGCCAGGTTTTTAACAGCTCCAGGAGTCTCTGTTGCTCTGACAGCTTCAGTGGACTCACAGAAGTCACCCACGCCAAACTCATTTTCAGCTGACACACGGAAGAAGTAAGCAACATCCTCTTCCAGGCCTGTCACCTTGTAAGATGTGTTGGGGCATTCTGCACTGATCACCTGGTAGGCCTTCATGGTTGAGGCTTTCTTCTCAACAATGTAATTTGTGACAGGCGAGCCACCATCAACAAGAGGAGCCTCCCAGCTTAGGGTCAGCTTTCCTCTTGTTACGTTCTTGATTATTAGCTTCTGGCAGGATGATGGACTATCTAGAACCCTGAGGGAAACGGTGATTATCTTGGGTTCACCTACACCATTCTCTATCTCCAGCACGTACTTTCCACAGTCATCACGAGTGACCTTTGGAATACGGAGTGTGGTGGATCTCTCAGTGCTGTTGATGGTGTAGCGGTTATCACCAGCCATGTTGCGATCGCTACGTCGCCAGGTGACATTGGGAGCTGGTCGTCCCTTCAATGGGATAAACACTTCCACATCGCGGCCGGCTTTAGCTGTGTATTGAGTTGTCATAGGAACATCTAAGTCCAAATCAGCCTCCTCTGTTAAACAGAAAAAAATAATAGCACTAATAAATAAAATAAGTTCTAAACCACCAGGGGAAAAAAATGTCCACATTTCATTTCATTTTCAATATTTTTTTCTCAATTATAAATAAAATCCAAACCTAATATATCTTTGGCTTGCACTGGCTGGTACATCTTGATGTCCTCTCCTTTTCCCTTGCTGTTCACAGCAGATACTCTGAAAAAGTAGTAAGTGGCAGGTTTCAAGTGGGACACCACATACTCGCAACCCTTAACCTGTGGGTTGGTGATAACCCATTCTTTCTCTCCTGCATTCATCTGTTCCAGTAAGTAGTGTGTGATTTCACTGCCACCATCATAGACAGGCTTCTCCCAGCCAAGAGTGATGGAGGTCTTTGTGGAGTCGACCACACGGAGCTTTGAGGGTTCACCAGGCAGATCTAGGGAGGCCAAATAAGGTGAATATTTTTAGTAGCTGCATATAAACCCACCTTAGGTTATAAAGGTTAACATTCAGAAACAACATGAAATCTTCTGGCATACCAATGGGGTCATAGGCCTTGTAAAGATCAGAGGCATCAGAGTAGTTTCCTGCTCCAGCCTTGTTTATAGCACAAACTCTGAATTGGTACTCATTGTTTTCAGCTAAGTTGCTGACTTTCTGTCTGGTGTCTCTGATTGTTCCCTTCACCACCTGGAAAAAACAGGATACTGTTATGGATAATCATAAAGATATCCACTGCAATTAATAGTTTGGCTTCTTATAAGCATGAAATTAGTAAATATTAATCTATGAACCAACCTTGAACCACTGAAGACTCTTCTTCTCTCTTTTCTCGAGGTAATAACCGTCAATATCACTGCCTCCATCCAGTGCAGGTCTTTCCCAGATCACAGTCATTGTAGACTTGGTGATCATAGTAACCTTAGGCTTGGATGGTTCACTGGGAGGAACTGAATAAAATGAAAAAATACAGCTCACATAAGTCTGTTTAGTCTATTATACTGTGTTAAATGAGTAAAAATGTCCTGTGTTTTGTTACCGAACGGGTTCTTTGCAATAATGGGCTCAGACTCCAGGGGGTCTCCAATGCCATATTTGTTGACTCCACGGACTCTGAAGATGTACTCATTACCCTGGATGAGTCTGGGCACATTCACGATGCAGTCTACGAGTTTCTCAGACACAATAGACCACATAACTCTGCTGGTCTCTCTCTTCTCTACGATGTAATGAGTTACCATGGCACCGCCCTCATCGGCAGGTGGAGACCACATGATGGTGATGTTGTCGGCCATCACTTTCTTAAACTGAATTTCACCAGCAGGAGGTCCTGGCTTGTCTGATAAAGGAACAAATATATACAAAAAAATTAGGTATTCATTATGTCTTTCAATGCAAATATGTTGTAATAACATTATCATCTGAATACCTTGAATGAGCAGCCTGACAATGGCACATGAAGATCCCAGGGAGTTCTTCACTTTGACCTCATACGTCCCCGAGTTCAGACGAGTAGTGTCCCTCAGGAATATGCTGGTGGACTCAAATGTGTGTTTGAAAGTGAGCTGAGCAGTAGGTTTGAGCTCTCGTCCATCCTTCAACCACTCAATCGTGGGGGTAGGTTTGGCTGTGATATTGAATTTAAGTTCCACATCGGAGCCTGCGCTGTATTTGACCTCATTAAGGTACTCCTGGGGAATTTCAATTTCTGGGGCACCTGACAGAAGCAAAGATGTTTTTGTTGAATTTCTGACGTAGCTAGGAATCATGCATAACAAGAGCACAGTAGCAATTTGTACAGATAATCATAAACTTACTAGGGGTAAAAACACAAAAATACAGTAAAATTGACCAATGGATTATATTGTATTTAACTGAAACAACTATAAGTAAATCCAGGATCAAAAATAATTCCTACCATAGGTGTCCACACAGGTGGCTGGTCCAGCTGTCCTAGATGGGTTGCTGACTGAACCAACTGCATTCTTGGCCATGACCCTGAATTCATACGTTTCATTCTGGGTAAGTCCAGCCACAGTGAAATGTGTGTCTGTGATATTGGTGAGGTTAGCTTTGGACCACTTAGGACTAACACCTTCTCTCTTCTCAATAATGTAACCAGTAATAGGGGATCCACCATCATAGTTGGGTTTCTCCCAGGCAAGGCTGATAGAGGTTTTGGTGATGTCACTGATTCTTAGGTTGATGGGTGGCTCTGCAGAAATGACCAGGGAAGATTAATTAACAGACATTTTCACCATAATTTGATTATGTTTATCTTTAAAAATGTTTCACTTGGTACTCACCACAGGCATCTATAGCCAACACAGCATCTGAAGCCTTACTGAAATCACTGAGGCCAGCAGCATTCTCCGCTGCCACCTTAAACTCATAAATAAGTCCTGCATTAACGGTAGTGACCTTATAGTGTGTAGCACGGATCACAGTTTTGTTAACTAGCTGCCACATGATGCTGTTCCTATCTTTCATCTGGAGATGGTAGCCAAAGACATGGCTGCCTCCATCTGACTTGGGCTCCTTCCAGGCTAATGCGATGCTCTCCCTAGTTACAGCAGTAACTTCTGGAGTTGATGGAGCATCTGGAACAGCTGGTAGATAAAAATCAAAGTTACAAGGTTTGTGCATGTTCATTATTAAACTTGAGTATTAAATGTTACATTTGTAAATGAAAGCCAAATAGAACCCTTACTGTATGGAAGGCTGACTGTGACTGCTGGAGAGTCAATATGTTCACTGATTCCATATTTGTTCTCAGCCCTGATTCTGAACTGATACTCCAGGCCATTGGTAAGTTTCATAATCTTTATGGTGCAACGAGCCACAGCAGATGAGACGTCAATCCAGTTTGCTGTAGTTGTTTCTCTCTTCTGGATGATATAGTTAGTGATGGGGCTGCCACCATCATATGCAGGTGGGAGCCACCTGAGGCTTGCGCTGTCTTCTGTGACATCAAACAGTTCTACGGGTCCAAGTGGAACACTTGGGCGATCCAGAACCACAATATTGACAAAGGACTTGGTGGTCCCACTGGAGTTGGAGGCAGTTATATCATAGCGTCCCGAGTCTCCAGCAACGCTTTCACGCAAGATGATTTTGATGCTGTCAGGAGTGACTTCAGAATTGAACCTCATTGTTGACTTAAGTACTACATTATCCTTGGAAAGAGTGACTTTGGGCAGGGGTCTGCCCGTCAGAGGAATTTCACACTTCAGAGTTGAGCCAGCTCTAACATACACAGTGTTGTGGGGAATGTCCTTCATGTTAACTTCGGGAGATTCTAGGGAAACATGAAGATCACAGGTTTTACAATGTCTTTTGATTTTTGACTAGACTGTATCAAAATAAGTACAAGTATGGAAAACAAGTTAAGACTCGAAAATATTTTCTTCTGGGTCACAGTAGTGAATTTGAATATGTATATATTTTGTAACTTACCTAGCTGGTCTTTGATCATAACAGGGGTGAACATTTCCTTAGCATCACTAAATCCAGCAAGGTTCTCAGCTCTGACCCTGAAGTAGTATTCAGCTTTCTCCCTTAGGCCAGACACAGTAAAGTGGATAAACTTGGTGACACCACATTTAACCCACTTCTCCTGACCCTTCTCCAGTGCCTCAACCAGGTATCCAGTAATTCTGCTGCCTCCATCATGTTCAGGTTTAGCCCATGCCAATGACACACTCTCCTTGGTGACATCAGTTACTCCAAGCTTTGGTGGTGGGCTTGGTTTTTCTGGAAAAAAGAGGACATAATTTATTGCATTGACAAAGCTCTTATATTTTTTGTGTAAACTACAGATAGCATAACATAAATGTTTATACCTGTGATCTTGGTTCCCTCTTTGGTCTCAGCTGGTACACCAACACCATAGTCATTCTCGCCTGTCACTCTGAAATAGTAAACTTCTCCTTCCTTTAGGTTTGACACCTTGTAAGTCAGTCTGTGGCATGTATCAGTCAACTTAGTCCAACCTTTTTTGCTTGCCTCTCGGAAATCAACAAGATAATTCTTTACTGGTCCTCCCCCTTCATTCTCTGGAGTGTCCCAAGTTACAGTAGCAGATGACTTAGTCACATCCTTGACTTCCACATATGCAGGAGGTCCAGGCGAGTCAAGAACTCTAACATTGAGGGTCAGTGATGAGGTTCCAGCAATACTGGACAAAGTGACAGTGTATTTTCCAGAGTCATTGCGTGTTGCTTTCTCTAAGGTGATTGAGGTGAAGGTGTCTGTGGTGTCAATGACAGCACGTACTCTAAGATCAATATCAGGCTTTGTCCAACTGACAGTGGGAATAGGCTTGCCCCTGAAGGGTACCGTCATTGTAAATGAGCTGCCGTCTTTCACAATAAGAGTCTTCCTCATCTCATTGCTTATTTCAAAGACTGGCTCTTCTTCTTTTTCTTTAGCAGTCTGTTTGTCTGATTCAGGACTAGGCTCACTTGCTCCAATTTTGTTAATGGATCTGACAACAAATACATATTCAGCTCCAGGAGTCAGTCCCACCACTGTAAACTCCGTATTCTTGGTGTTCTGGACTCCAACGAACCATTCATCATCTAATGACTTTCTGTATTCTACTCGGTAACCAGTTATAGGTGCTCCACCATCAAACAGTGGTTTATTCCATGCTAGTGTTACTGTGGTCTTTGTTGAGTCAATGATCCTGGGCTTAGCAGGAGGTGAGGGGAGGAACTGTGGGTCTTCAGCCTTGGTGAGTGGGCAAGGGGTGCTAGGTGCACTAAGTCCAGCAGCATTCTCTGCAAACACTCTGTACTCATATTCACTTCCCTCACGAAGATTAGAAGCTTTGACTCTGAGGTCATAGACAGGTTTCTTATTGACACGGCACCAACGGAGGCCAGTCTTCTCTCGCTTTTCTATTACATAGCCACAGATACTGCTGCCACCATCAGAAACTGGTCTTTCCCAACAGATTGTCATGGCCTCACTAGTGACTGAGGTGACCTGGACATTAGTGGGGGCTGCAGCTACAGTGAATGGATCCAAAGCTTTTACTGCCTCACTCTCCAGAGCCTCACCATCTCCATATTTGTTAACTCCTCTGACCCTGAAAATGTACTCATTTCCTTTGAGCAGCTTAGTAACTTTGCAGGTAGTTGCCTTCATGTCACCATAAACAAGAGTCCAAGCAAGGCGGCTTGTCTCACGTTTCTCCACTATATAGTGCATGATTTCAGCTCCTCCATTCTCTTGAGGTGGACCCCATGTTATAGTGCACTTCTCTGCTGTAATGCCAGACACTGCTAAAGGTCCTGAAGCTGGTCCAGGCCTGTCCAAAACCTTACAGTTGATAGCTACAGACCTGGTTCCAGCTACATTGTGCAAAGTCAAGACGTACTGTCCAGAATCCCTCCTGATAACATCTCTGACAATCAGAGTGGTGGTGAAGTTTGTGGAAGTGATTTCACACCTGGCCTTGGCCTCAATATCTTTTCCATCCTTAGACCATGAAACCACTGGGATTGGACGACCTGTAATTTCAGCATCAATTCTAATTATTTCTCCAGCCTTAATGACAACCAGTTGCCTGAATTTATCCTCTAAGATGATGCTTGGAGGGTCTACATCGTCTTTGATGGTGACAGGACCAGTGCATTCTGAAGGGGCACTCAACATCTCTGCAGAATTCTTTGCAATAACATGGAAGTCATATTGTGCATCTTCTGTAAGACCTGTGACATCAAAGTAAGTCTCTTGTAAATTGGTAAAGTTACATTTTAGCCAGCGACCATTAGGGAGCTCTTTGCGCTCCACTATGTATCCAACAATTTTCACTCCACCATCATATTCAGGTGGATCCCAGAAGAGAGAAACAGAGTTTCTGGTAATATTTGTGACTTTAAGGTTATGTGGAGATTCACATGGGTCCCTGGCTGCAACTGGTTCACAAGCTTTAGTGCAAGGACCAATGCCAGCAATATTCTCAGCATAGACTCTAAACTGGTATGACAGGCCTTCTTCAATGCCCGTCATCTTAAATTGGTTTTCAGTCACCAGACCTCTACTGACTTTGGTCCACAAAATGCTGCTTTGGTCTTTGGATTCAACATGATAACCAATGACAGGGCTTCCACCATCACTGGCAGGTCTGCCCCATACCACAAGCATACCAGTCTTGGTGGCATGGGCAACATGAAGATTAGTTGGAGGGCCAGGTGGCTCAAATGGATATTGTGCAACAACAGGAGCAGAATCAATTGCTGGACTCTTGCCATAACGGTTCTCAGCTGCAATGCGGAACTGGTACTCTGTGCCCTGAGTGAGACGGGAAACCTTTATGGATGTCCTGGCTACTGTAGCTGAGACAATTTGCCATGTGGTAGAGGTAGTGTCTCTCTTCTCCACAACATAGTTGTTAATCTGGCACCCACCATCATAGGTTGGAGCATCCCAGGACAGAGAGATAAAGTCGGCACTCACCTCCTCCACCCTAATGTTGCTGGGTGGACCTGGTTTATCCAGAATTATTACAGAAATTTCAGCTGTCTTTGTGCCAATTGAATTAGTTAAAGTGATCTCATATTTTCCAACATCATCTTTGGTGGCATCTTTGATTATGATCTTTGATGAGGTCTTTGAATTCAGAACATTTACCCTGGTAGTCTGCTTTAGTGCACTGCCATCCTTCTTCCAGGACACCTCAGGTTGAGGTCTGCCTTTGAGAGGAACATCAATCTTCAAGTCATCTCCTGCTTTTACACTGTATGTATGGAAAAGCAAGTTGATGGTGGGCTCCACTGTGATGTCTTTTACTAGCACAGGCATAGCCAGAGGTTTGGGATCACTCCTACCCTTATCATTCACAGCAGTTACTCTGAAGGAGTATTCCTCACCAGTAGTAAGTCCCTCAATAGTAGCTTCTAGTGCTTTGGCGTCACTGCACACTGTCCATTTTTCATCTCCCTTAGGCTGCATCTCTACTATGTAGCTTGTAATTTTGCTGCCTCCATCATGATCTGGTTTTTCCCATGAAAGGGTGACAGTGTGACGAGTCACATCAACCACAGTTACTTTACCCGGAGGCAAAGGTGCCTCTGAAACTTTGACTTGATCTGTTGTAGCTGACAGACCAACTCCTAGCTCATTTACAGCCAACACACGGAAAAAGTATCTACCTCCCTCCTGCAGGTCAGAAATAATGTATGAGTTCCTTACACAATTCGTGCTAACACTGGTGAAAGCCATTCGCTTCTGCTCTCTCTTCTCCACAATATAGTGTGATATCTTTGCTCCACCATCAATCAGAGGAGGCTCCCAGGAAAGAGAGACAGAATGTCTCTTTACATCCTTAACTTGTAGGTTTGTTGGAGCACTGGGTGAATCCAAAACTCTAACATTGATAAAAGCTGATTTAGAGCCACTAATGTTCTCAAGGGTTAGTACATATTTGCCAGTGTCAAATCTGTCAACATTTTCAATCACAAGCATTGTGTATGAGCTTGTGACTTCAATCTGAGCACGCTCATTTAGAGTGCCATCGGCCTTTGACCACTTGACCTCAGGCTCAGGTTTTCCTCTGATAGTCACAAAAAGACGTAGTGTTGCAGTGGCACGAACATTGACCATCTTTCTCAGGTCAGCATCTAGTTCAATTTCAGGTGCCTGCAACTTTTCTGCCGCAATCACAGACCCTGGGAGGTCCACATGATCCCCTACTCCCTCACAGTTCATGGCACATACACGGAAATTGTATTCTGCATTCTCTTTTAACTTCTTTACAGTGTAGTGAGTGTCTTGGACACCAGTATGAGGTGTGCAAACAATCCATTCGTCATCTAATGCCTCCTTCATTTCAACAACATATCCAGTAATCTGTGCTCCACCATCATAGATAGGTCTTGACCAGGAAAGGGAGACTGTAGTGCTGGAATGGTCAGTGACTTTGGGGTTATTTGGAGGTCCTGGTGGATAAGTGGCATCGCATGCTTTGATGTACTGTGTCGGTGTGCTAGGCTTTCCAACACCTGCAGCGTTTTCAGCTGAGACACGGAATTCATAGGAATGGCCCTCTGTGAGACCAGCACACCTAAATCTCAAGTCAGTCAGTCTCTTCTTGTTGCACTTGGTCCACCTGACGCCATCCTTATCACGTTTTTCAAGTACATATCCTTCAATCTCAGCTCCTCCATTATTCTCTGGCCTCTCCCAAGTAAGCACAATGGAATCCCTAGTAATAGCACTGGCTTCAGGAGTGGAGGGTGCGCTGGGAGTGGTGAATGGATTACGAGCCACAACAGGCTCAGATTCTAAAGGTTCACCAACTCCATATTTATTCACAGCAGTAACTCTGAAGATGTATTCATTTCCAGGGAGCAGTTTTGTAATTTTGTAGCTGATTGCCTGGATCTTTGGCTCAACCACGGTCCATGACAAACGACTGGTTTCCCTCTTTTCAATAATATAGTGAGAGATGCTAGCTCCACCATCATGTGAAGGATGGCTCCAGTGCAGATAACATTTTTCAGCTGTCACTCCTTTCACTTCTAATGGTCCATCTGGAGGACCAGGTCTGTCCAAAACCTTTACGTTAACTGGGATCATTTTGACTCCACCCACATTAACAAGCTTGAGAACAAAGTGGCCACCATCAACTCGTATGCAGTCTTTAACTGTCAGGATGGTGCGGGTTAGTGTGGTCTTGATTTCCATTCTTGGGGTAGCTTTGTCAATTTCCTTTCCATCCTTTAACCATGTGACCTCAGGCACAGGCTTACCAGTGTAATCAGCATCAATGATAAATGTCTCATCAGCATGAACAACTGTGAGATCTTTGAACTTAGAATCCATGATGGCATCTGGAGCCTCAATTTCATCTTTAGCTGTTATTTCTCCTGTGCTTTCAGATGGGCAACTAGAAATACCAGCAGCATTCCTAGCAATGATTCTAAACTCATAAACACGATCCTCAGTGAGACCAGTGAGAGTGTATTGGGTATCAATGATGTTGGTAAAGCTTGCTTTCATCCAGCGTTTATCTGGGTGCTTCCTCCTCTCAATCAAATACCCAGTGATTGCACTGCCTCCATCGTACTGGGGTTTGGTCCATTGAAGTGTGATATGGTTTCTGGTGATTTCAATAGCCTCAGGAGTGCCTGGTGGGTCACATGGATCCCTGGCTACTGTGCTCTCTGAGACTTTGCTAGCTGGGCTGAGGCCAGCAATGTTCTCAGCATAAACTCTAAATTCATACTCTATACCCTCTTCCAATTCTGTGGTTTTGAATCGTGCATCTGGAATAAGAAGCTTGTTTAGTTTGACCCATAAAAGGCTGTTCTTCTCCTTTCTCTCTAGGTGATAGCCTATAATTGGACTACCCCCATTGTTGGTGGGGGGTTTCCATTCAACAACCATGCTCTCTTTGGTTGCAGATGTAACAACTGGTATTCCAGGGGCAGCAGGTTCACTGAATGGATACTTAGCAACCACACCAGGAGAGACAATAGCTGAACTCTTTCCATATCTATTCTCAGCTGAGACTCTAAATTGATATTCAGTGCCAGTCTTCAAATTGCTGACTTTTATGGTTGTCCTGGCTATTGTAGCAGAAACAATTTGCCACACAGTAGTAGTGGTGTCTCTCTTCTCTACGATGTAGTTGTTGATCTGACAACCTCCAGTATACTCTGGTGGTTCCCAGGACAGAGTAACAAAATTTGAACTCACTTCATCAATCTTCACAGGGCCTGTAGGAGGTCCAGGTTTGTCAAGAATTATAACAGTAATCTCCTCTGTAGCTGTTCCAATGCTGCTGGTTGCTGTAATAGTGTACTTGCCAGTATCTTCTTTATTGGCATCTTTGATTACCAACTTTGTAGATGATGGTGTGCTTGATACATTTATTCTAGTTGTCTCTTTAAGAAGTTGTCCTTCCTTTTTCCATTCAACCTTTGGAACAGGACGTCCAAGTACTGAAATCTCAATTTTCAGATCCTCACCTTGTTGTAAGCTGTAAGTATTGAATCTCATCTTGAATCCAGGCTCAACAGTAACATCTTTAGCAGTAACTGCTGCAGCCAGAGACCTTGGGTCACTCTTTCCTTTTTCGTTGAAGGCTGATACTCTAAAAAGGTACTCATGTCCTGCACTTAGACCAGTAACAGTACCCTCGCAGGTCTTAGTTGTGGCAGCCACAACCCACTCTTCTGACCCCACAGGCTGCATCTCAATGTAGTATCCAATTATCCTGCTACCTCCATCATGGACTGGTTTCTCCCACGAGAGTGAGGCTGTGGTTTTTGTGACTTCAGTCAAATTAACTTTACCCACAGATAAAGGTGGCTCAGATGTTTTAACAGATTCTTTTGTTTCAACTGGCTGTCCAACACCAAATTCATTTTCTGCTAAGACTCTAAAGTAATAAATTGTTCCCTCAGTCAGACCTGTGATACGGTAACTTGTCTTTGTACATTTATTGTCTACATTAGAGTACACCTTCCTGGTTGACTCACGCTTCTCAACCAAGTAATTCTTTATTCTTGAGCCACCATCAATTACAGGGGGTTCCCAAGTCAAAGTGACGCTCTCCCTCTTTATGTCTTTAACTTTAAGATTTAATGGAGCCCCTGGAGTGTCCAGAACTTTAACAGAGACAAAAGCTGATTTGCTGCCAGCACTGTTTGCTACACTGAGGATGTATTTTCCAGCATCATATTTGTCACAAATGTCAATAGAAAGCTGTGTGAAATGTTCAGCAGTCTCAATCTGTGCTTTACTGGGCAGCTCACCATCCTCTTTAGCCCAGCTAACGTCAGGAGTCGGGCGACCCTTAAAAGGAACGCAGATTCTCATTGAGCCTCCTGCACGAACAACTATTCCTTTCCTGAGCTCTGAATCCAAAATCATCTCTGGAGGGTCAATTTTATCCACAGGGATTACAACTCCCAGAATTTCTGTGGGCTCACCAACACCAATTTTATTCATAGCACAGACACGCACCTTGTATTCTTGATGTTCTATCAGGTTTTTGATGGTAAACTTGGTGAGATTCACTCCAGTGGGTGGTGTACAAATAGTCCATTCCTCCTCTTCTGCCTTGGTTATTTCAACAGCATATCCTTGAATTTCACAACCCCCGTCATATATTGGCCTGTGCCAAGCTAAGCTGATGGAGTCTTTTGTTGTGTCAACTACATGGGCATTAGTGGGAATGCCTGGTTCAAAAGTAGGGTCACAAGCTTTGAGATAGGGTGTAGGTGGGCTTGGCTGGCCCACCCCAGCTGCATTTTCAGCAGATACCCTGAACTCATAATCATGGTCCTCAGTGAGACCTGTTACTCTAAAACGCAAATCAGTCACTCTACGTTTATTGCACTTGGTCCATCTCACTCCAGCTCTGTCTCTCTTTTCAATAATGTAACCAGCAATGTCACTTCCTCCTGTAGACTGTGGGCGGTTCCAGCAAACAGTCATTGAATCCCTAGTAATGTTAGTGATTTCTAGTTCACGAGGTGAACCAGGAGGAACAAATGGATTTCTCATGATAACTGGCTCAGATTCCAGAGGTTCCCCAACTCCATATTTGTTGACAGCCAAAACTCTGAAGATGTACTCATTGCCTTTCAATAGTTTGGTAACCTTAAACATTGTAGCTCCACAATCACTGGAGACCACAGTCCAAGCCAAGCGGCTAGTTTCTCTCTTTTGAATGATGTAGTGAGAAATGCTAGCTCCTCCGTCATGCCTGGGTGGCAGCCATGACAGTGAGCATTTCTCCTCAGTAACATTACTGACTGTGAGGGGTCCCTCGGATGGGCCTGGTCTATCAAGAACCTTCACAGTGAACGGGACAGTCTTAGTTCCGGCAACATTAGTCAGAACCAAAGTATACTGTCCACCATCCACTCTGATGGAGTCCTTTACTACAAGTAACGCTTTAAAATCAGTATTTTTAATTTCAGCTCTTGCTGAGTTTTCAACTTCAACACTTCCTTTGAACCACTGGGCTGTTGGGATGGGCTTTCCTTCTACACTAGCCTCCAGACTAAAAGTCTCTCCAGCATTAAGGACAATAGTCTGATTGTATATCGGATCAGTTTCACACTTGGGTGGCTCAACTTCATCCTTAGCTGTTATGGATCCTGTGTTCTCAGAGGGCTTGCTGACAGCACCAGCGGCATTCCTTGCAATCACTCTGAAGTCATATTTACTGTCTTCTGTAAGGCCAGTAACTGTAAATTCATTTTCAATAATGTTTGTGAAACTAGCCTTCATCCATTTTCCCTCTGGAAGGTCACGCTTCTCTATTAAATAGCCAGTTACAATGCTTCCACCATCATATTGCGGGGGTGTCCATCTCAGCATCACCGAATGTCTGGTTACAATTACAGCCTCTGGACGGCCAGGAGGATCACATGGGTCACGGGCTACATATACCTCAGAGACGTTGCTGCATTTTCCAATGCCAACTATATTCTCAGCATATACTCTATACTCATACTCAATGCCCTCCTCAAGAGGAGTAGACTTGAATTTACAATCTTGAATGAGCATTTTGTTGATCTTTGTCCACAGGATACTATTCTTCTCTTTCCTCTCCAAATGATAACCCAAAATAGCACTGCCTCCATCAGATGGAGGTTTATGCCACTCGACCACCATGTAATCTTTAGTGTATGCAGAAACAAATGGTGTTCCTGGTGGTCCAGGTTCTTGGAATGGATATTGTGCTACAACAGGCACTGAATCAATTGCATAACTCTTTCCATATCTGTTTTCAGCAAAGATTCTAAACTGGTATTCACTACCAGTCTTGAGATTGGCAACCTTTAAGGTTGTTCTAGCCACAGTGGCAGACACAACAACCCAATTAGTTGTAGTTGTGTCTCTCTTTTCCACTACATAGTTGGAGATTGGACAGCCACCTGTGTATGAAGGAGGTTCCCAATTAAGAGTGACACTCTCAGCACTAACATCATCAATCTTGATTGGACCTGTTGGTGGTCCTGGTTTATCCAGGGTGATAACTTCAATAGTGGCATCCTTGGAACCCAAGGCATTAGCAATAGTCACAGTGTACATACCACCATCCTCTCTGGTGGCATCCTTTATGGTTAGAGTGGTGTGATGTGCTGAGTCACTGACATTAACTCTGGTGGTCTGCTTAAGTGCCACTCCATCCTTAGTCCAGGTAATGGTTGGCTTTGGATGACCAGCAACTGGAACCTCTATCTTGAGGTCATTTCCCACCTGAACACTGTAGGAACTTGATTTGGGTCTCACAGAAGGCTCAATGATTAGGTCCTTGGCTACAACTGATTGAGCCAGTTGTCTTGGGTCACTTTTACCTTTCTCATTTACAGCAACAACTCTGAACTGATATTCCTCTCCCTTGAGAAGGTTGCTCACTACTGTCTCCAGGCCTTTTACACTAGCACACACAGTCCATGCATCACTGTCCTTAGGAGCCATTTCAATTTCATAATAACTGATCCTACTACCACCATCATGTTCAGATTTCTCCCACCTTAGAGTAACAGTACTGTGAGTGACGTCAAGAACACTAACCTTACCGGGTGGCTGAGGCTTCTCAGATATTTTAATTGGCTCCATAGTTTTAGCTTGGAGACCCACACCATATTCATTCTCAGCCAAAACCCTAAAAAAGAAGATTCCACCCTCTGGAAGAGGTTCAACTTTCCATGACATCTTGTTACATGTTGTAATGGTAGTATAAACCTTTCTTGTGCTTTCACGCTTCTCAACAATATAATGCTTAATCTTTGAACCACCATCCAGAAGTGGAGGTTCCCATGAAAGAGTGACAGAGTTCTTAGTAATCTCTTTTACTGTTAAGTTAGTTGGTGGACTAGGAGAATCCAGGACTCTTACACTGATGAACACTGATTTAACTCCACTGGCATTCTCTGCAGTCAGTGTGTACTTGCCACTGTCAAACCGGTCAACATTCTCAATGGTAAGTGAAGCATAGCTTCCTGTGTTGTCAATTTGGGCAGTCTCTTTAATCTCACCTTCAACCTTTCCCCATTTCAGCTCAGGAGCTGGGCGCCCTTTCACGGGTACAAACAACCTCAGTGTGCAAGCTGATCTGATGTTGATCATTTTTCTCATATCAGCATCTAGTTCAAGGTCAGGAGTCTCAAGCTTCTCTTCAAGAAGGATTTTACCAGGCACATCAGCATGTTCACCAACACCAATTTTGTTGATTGCACAAACTCTAAACTGGTACTCATGCTTTTCCAGAAGCTTTTTCACTGTGAATTTAGTGTCTGTTATTCCAGTGGGTGGAGTGCACATAAACCACTCATCAGCTGCTACATCATATGCTTCAACAATGTAAGCTTTGATCTCACTTCCCCCGTCATATATGGGCTTACCCCATGTAAGAGATACAGTAGACCTAGAGGTGTCTACTACCTTGGGGTTGTTGGGTGGGCCTGGTTTGAAAACAGGATCCAGTGCTTTGTAGTAAACTGTTGGTGTACTAGGTGTACCAATTCCAGCAGCATTCTCAGCAGCTACTCTGAATTCATAGCTATGGTTTTCTATGAGTCCTGTCACTCTGAAACGCAACTCTGTCACACTGCGCTTGTTGCACCTTGTCCATCTCACACCATCCTTATCACATTTCTCAATGACATACCCCTGAATGGAATTGCCACCATCATTATTTGGTCTCTCCCAGGTTACCACCATAGAGTCCTTAGTAATTGAAGAAACATCTATGTCAGTTGGGGGACTTGGTGTGACAAATGGATTTTTGGCAATCATTGGCTCAGATTCCAAAGGCTCGCCAATACCATATTTGTTGACAGGGATCACTCTGAAGATGTATTCATTACCAGGAAGAAGTTTGGTGATTTTTAGATTTAGAGTCTGAACCTTTTGCTCAACTACAGTCCATACCAGCCTGCTGGTTTCCCTTCTCTCAACAATATAATGGGAGATATCACTACCTCCATCTTGCAAGGGAGGTTTCCAGGAAATTGAGCATTTCTCATTAGTGACACCATAAATAGAGATAGGGCCCTCAGGTGGACCTGGTCTGTCCAATACCTTGACATTAATGTTAATAGCTTTTTCTCCACCAACATTCTTTACCAGCAATGTGTACTGTCCTCCATCAACACGAATAGCTTCCTTAACAGTTAGACAAGTTGAAAAATCGGTATTATGGATTTCTAAACGAGCTGCTTCTGCCATCTCAGTGCCTTCTTTCAGCCAGTGTACAGTGGGCACAGGCTTACCATAAACAGCAGCCTCAAGTTTAAATGTCTCTCCGGCATTTACAACCACAACCTGAGAGTATTTAGCTTCCAGGTCAATTTTTGGTGGATCAATCTCATCCTTGGCAGTGATGGATCCAGAAGAATCAGATGGTTGGCTAAAGACACCAGCTGCATTTTTGGCAATGACACGGAATTCATAAGTTTGATCCTCAGTAAGTCCTGTGACAACAAATTCAGTTTCAATAATGTTGGCAAAACTTGCCTTCAACCAACGCCCACTTGCCTCCTTTTTCTCAACAACATAACCAGTGATTTTGATGCCACCATCAAATTCAGGTTTGGTCCATCTCAGTGTCACTTGGCTTCTTGTTACAATGACAGCCTCTGGTTTTCCGGGTCTGTCACAAGGATCCCTAGCTACTTGGATTTCACTTACCTTGCTAGGTTTGCTAAGACCAACAATATTCTCAGCATACACTCTAAACTCGTATTCAATGCCCTCTTCAAGTCCAACCACTTTAAATCTGGTCTCTGGGATGATCTGCTTGTTTTGTTTCACCCAGAGAATGCTGTTTCTCTCTTTAAGTTCTAAGTGGTAGCCCAGAATTTTGCTACCACCATCATTACTGGGATTCTCCCACACAACAGTCATGGTCTCTTTGGTGGCTGACTTTACCACAACAGATCGTGGTGAACTGGGCACCTCAAATGGATACTGAGCAACAATGCTATCAGAAAGGAGAAAAGATGACTTGCCATATCTATTTTCTGCAGCAATTCTAAATTGATACTCTGAACCAGTCTTCAGGCGAGCCGCTTTGATGGTTGTTCTAGCTACAGTAGCAGACACAATCTGCCAGTTTGTAGTTGAGGTATCTCTCTTCTCTACAATGTAATTGTTGATTGAGCAACCTCCATCATATTGTGGTGGATCCCAAGACAAGATAACGCTGTCTGCTGTGACCTCATCCAACTTGATCGGGCCAGTTGGAGGACCAGGTTTGTCCAAGACAACAACACTGATATCTGTTGTAGCCTCCCCAGCTGTATTGTTTAGTTTTATAGTATATTTGCCCACATCGTCTCTGCAAGCCTCCTTAATGATAAGAAGAAGGTTTTTGTCTGTGGCCTCAGCATTAACTCTTGTTGTTTCTTTGAGAATGACATCATCCTTCAGCCAAGTTGCTGTAGCTTTAGGACAGGCAACATATGGTACATCAATCTTGAGATCATCTCCTGCCAGCACACTGAATGTGCTGAAAATCAGTTTGAAAGCTGGTGGTATTACTAAATCTTTAGCCACCACAGGTACATTGAGAGACCGGGGGTCACTAACACCCTTTTCATTGAATGCAGAGATTCGGAACATATACTCCTCTCCATATGTAAGTCCAGTTACCTGGGCCTGGTTTGTCTTTACCACCATCACTTGTGTCCATTTCTCACTTCCTTTACATTGCATCTCAACATTATAGCCTGTAATTCTGCTTCCTCCATCATGGTCTGGTTTTTCCCAAGTTAGTGTGACACTTGTTCCAGTAACTTCACGGAGAGATACTTTGCCTGGTGGCAGAGGCTTTTCTGATGCCTTAATTGGTTCAATGGTTTCAACTGGCAGACCGATACCAAATTCGTTTTCAGCGACTATTCTAAAGAAGTACAATTTTCCTTCTTCCAGGTCTCCCACTTTCCAACTAGACTTATGGCAGCTGGCACATACGGTTGAGTAGGCTTTCCTGGTTGACTCACGCTTCTCCACAATGTAGCTGCGGACTCTGGAGCCCCCATCTATGAGAGGTGCATCCCAAACCAGGGAAACTGAATCTCTTGTGACCTCCTTAACAATGAGATTCTGAGGTGGTCCAGGAGTATCTAGTACTCTAACATTAACAAAAGCTGTTTTACTTCCTGAGGCATTCTCTACTGTCACCAAGTATTTACCTCCATCAAACCTGTCAACATTGTCTATCTGAAGAGTTGTAAATGATGGGGTAATTTCAATGTTAGCCTTGTCCAGGGATTCTCCATGCTCTCTTGACCATTTTACTTCTGGTGCTGGTCTTCCTTTGATGGGGACAAAAAGTCTGAGTGTGCTACAGGCTCTGATGGAAACAACTTTACGTAGCTCTGCTCCAAGTTCAACTTCAGGCGGAATTAATCTGTCTTCAGCCTTAGGGGTTCCAGGTACAGCTGCAGGTTCTCCCACCCCTTCAGAATTTGTTGCACAGATGTTGATTTTATACTCCTGGTTTTCTTTCAGACTAGTAATGGTAAAAGATGTGGCTGTCCATCCTTTTTTAGGAGTATGGATTGTCCACTCATCCTCCTCAGGCAGGCAAGTCTCCACAATGTAACCAGTAATTTCAGAACCACCATCATAAACAGGTTTATTCCAGGCGACGGTAATGGATGATTTAGAGGTGTCAAGCACTCTTGGGTTTCCTGGAGGTCCAGGCTGAAAGATTGTGTCAACAGCCTTGTAGAATGGACTAGAAGGGCTGGGCTGACTGAGACCAGCATTATTTTCAGCAAAAACTCTAAATTCATACTCGTGACCTTGTGTGAGACCAGAGACCTTGAATCGCAAATCTGTCACAGTCCTCTTGTTACATTTCACCCAACGCAGACCTGTCTTATCCCTTCTTTCAATTATGTATGTGTTAATTCTACTGCCTCCATCATGTTCAGGACGCTCCCAGCAAACAACCATTGAGTCTTTGGTGATAGTTGTGACCTCAGGCTGCGTTGGTGGGTCACTGGGACCATATGGGTTCACACAAGTCACAGGCTCTGATTCAAGGGGTTCACCTACGCCATACTTATTCACAGCCATTACTCTGAAAATATACTCATTTCCTTTAAGAAGCTTTGTGACCTTAAACCTGTTTGCTTGAAGGTCTGTGGCCACATTTGTCCATGCCAACCTACTGGTCTCACGCCTCTGTATGATGAAGTATTCAATTTTGGCACCACCATCATGTGTTGGATGCACCCAGTTAAGGACACATTTTTCTGCAGCAACATCCGTAACTGAAAGGGAATCTGGTGGTCCAGGTCTGTCGAGTACCTTAACATTAAAAGTGAACTTTGCAAATCCACCAGGATTGCTTGCAGTCAGGGTAAAAGCACCACCATCTCTCCTTAGAGAATCTTTGCTGATTAAGGTTGTGTGGAAGTCAGATGTCTTTATTTCTATTTTAGCTGTGTCCTCCAGCTCCTTTCCTTCCTTGGTCCATACTAGAGAAGGAATTGGCCTGCCAGTTACACTGGCTTCCAACTTGAATGGTTCTCCTGCCATTACTACAACATTACTGCTATATGAGGCATCAATATCAAGCCTGGGTTCTTCAATGTCATCTCTGCATGTGATAGCTTCTGATGGCTGTGATGGAGCACTAACAGCACCAGCTGAGTTTCGAGCAAGCACACGGAACTCATAGGTGGCATCTTCAGTCAGGCCACTGACTGTGAACATGGTTTCTAGAATGTTGTTGAAATTTGTTTTAAGCCAGCGTCCATTAGGCATCTTCTTCCTCTCCACTGTGTATCCCGTAATAGAAAATCCTCCGTCACCTTCTGGTTTGGTCCATGACAATGTCACCTCATGTCTTGTGATATTCAATGCCACAGGCCTACCTGGTGGGTCAACTGGGTCCAAAGCATACGTAGCCTCACAGGGTTTGCTAGGTTTGCTGAGACCAGCCATGTTTTCAGCAATAACACGGTGTTCATATCCAATGCCATCAACAAGGCCTGATGATTTAAAGATGTTTCCAACAACAAGAGCTTTGCTGATCCTCTGCCACAGGATACTGTTTTTCTCTTTTCTGTCCACATGATACCCAAGAATAGGACTGCCTCCATCAGAAGATGGCTCATTCCAACTAAGAGTCATTGAATCTTTGTTGAAAGCTGTAACTACCGGAATGCCAGGCTGGCCTGGCACATCAAACGGATAGGCAGCCAACACTGGTTCAGATAGAACACATGGTCCAACGCCATATCTGTTCTGAGCCTTAATACGGAACTGATACTGGGTTCCAGTATTGAGTCGTGCTGCTTTGAATGTGGTGCGAATAACTGTAGCTGCCAACTCCACCCATGAAGTACCGGTAGTCTCACGCATCTCAACAATATAATTATTTATAGGAACACCTCCATCATTCTCTGGTGGTTCCCAGGACATGATAACATAATCACACGAGACCTCATCCAGCTTGACAGGACCAGTAGGAGGACCTGGAATGTCGTGGACCAGGACTGTGATGGTTTCTGTCAGTGTGCCCAGCATATTCTTTCCAGTCATGGAATACTGGCCTTCATCAGTTCTTTTGATCTCACTGATGTTTAGGATTGTTGATGTTGCTGTAGTTTCAGTGTTGATTCTTTGTGTTTCCTTAAGTGCCATGTCTCCTTTCTTCCATGACACAACAGGCCTGGGTTTTCCCAGTACTGGAATCTCCACCTTTACACGGTCCCCTGCTTTGGCAATTACGGTTTTCTGGTAGACTCCTCTCAGGTCAAAAGATGGAGGAGAAGTTTGCTCTTTAATCACAGCTGGCCGGCTCTCACGAGGATCACTCCTGCCTGATGCATTGACAGCCATTATACGGAAGGTGTATTCAGCTCCCTCAATCAGATCTGTCACAGTATAATCTAGAGCCTTAATGGTGGTTATGTGGACCCATTGATCAGTGTCTTTCTTTTGAGCCTCAATGACATATCCTGTAATCAAGCTACCGCCATCATGAAGAGGCTTGGTCCATGCAAGGCTTGCACTGTCATTGGTCAAATCAGTAACGTACAAGTTATCTGGTGCAGAGGGGGCCTGAGATACTCTTATGGGCTCAGGAGTTTCAGCAGGTTCACCTACACCAAGGTCATTTTCAGCAGAAACACGGAAGTAGTAGTAAGCTCCCTCCACAAGGTCTTGAAATTTAAAAGAACACTTTTGCCATGTGGTGCTAAGCACGGTATAAGCCTTCTTTGTAGCATCTCTCTTTTCAATGACATAGTTATGAATCTTGGACCCTCCATCAATAATAGGGATTTCCCACTGGAGAGTTATGCTGTTTTTAGTGATCTCTCTTGGTTTAAGGTTGACTGGAGGTCCAGGTGTGTCCAGAACTTTCACGTTGACAAAGCCTGACTTCTTACCAGCAACATTCTCCAAAGAGAGCTGGTATTTTCCTGCGTCGTACCTAGTGCAGTCAGGAATAACCAGTAGAGTGTAGGACTCTGTTGTATCAATGTGTGCACGTGCTTTCAGGTTGGTATTTTCTTTGCTCCAAGTGACTTCAGGAACAGGACAGCCCTTGATAGGAACAAATAGACGAATTGAAGCACGGCATCTGACAACCAGAGTTTTCCTGAGCTCTGCATCCAACTCAAAGTCTGGCATTGTTTCCTGGTAAACTAGTTCAGTCACTTTCTCGACCTCTGCAGGCTCACCGACTCCCTCAGAGTTTACAGCACTAACTCTGAAGTGGTATTTGCCTCCTTTTTGAAGTTTACCAATGACATATTCAGTAACTTTAACTGGATATTGTGTCTCTGTCTCCCAGTCATCATAACCCTCCTTTTTATACTCAACAATGTAACCTTCTACTTCAAGACCACCATCATAATGAGGACGGCCCCAAGCAAAGGCTGCTGTAGTTTTTGTGGTGTCTGTAATTCTAGGGTTGGATGGAGGACCAGGTGGATCTGAAAAAAAAAAAGTAAAAAAAAGAGGTTAGTAAAGTTAATTAAAGCATTTTCAGAAGAAATTCTAAATTCTTACATAAATTCTTTGATAATGCTATATTCCTGCTTGCTTAAAGGTTGGTTGCAAAGTCTTCTTTACTTACATACAATATCCTTGGTCATTACAGGGCGTGATGGCTCACTTGGCTGCCCAAATCCAGCTTTATTCTCAGCAGTGACTCTAAACTCGTACTCTACTCCCTCACTCAGGCCTTGCACCTTGAAGCGAAGGTCAGGAACTGTCCTCTTGCAGGCTCTCACCCATCTCATTCCTCTCCTTTCTTTCCTTTCTACACAATATCCTCTAATGTCACTTCCTCCGTCCTGTACAGGTCTCTTCCATGAAATGGTAACAGCATTCCGACTAACATTATCTACCTCTGGAGCTGAGGGTGGACCTGGTGGACCTAAGAAAAAAAAAATAGCCATGAAAAAATATATATATTTCCAACATTTCAATGTCAGTATTTTTTAACTTTATTCTTAAACAAGGTAAACTTACCAAAGCTGTCAGCCATTTTGACCGGACCAGACAGGCTGGAGTCTCCTGTGCCATACTGGTTTACAGCGCATACTCTAAAGATGTACTCATTGCCTTTGATCAGTTTGGTGGCTACATGTCTACAGTCCATAATATTTTCTGCAACTTTGGTCCACTGCAAGCGGCTAGTCTCTCTCTTCTCAAGGATGTAGGACTTGATAGAGGAGCCTCCATCTTCTTCAGGTGGGAGCCAGGTCAGGGTACACTTCTCAGCTGAAATGTTACTGACTTCAATAGGGCCTGGTGGTCCAGGAACATCTAGGACCTTTACTTTAATGTGTTCTTCCTTAATACCAAATGGGTTACTGGCATTAATTGTGTACTCTCCGGTATTCTTCCGGCTTGCATACTTGATAGAAAGGGTTGAAGAGGTTGGAGTGCTAGTTACAGTGACAATGTCAGAGTTCTTGAATTCACGACCTCCCTTGGACCAGAAAGCAGTTGGGGGAGGTTTGCCCACAATCTTTGCAGCTGAGATGACAATTGTGTCTCCTGCCTTGACGGACACAACCTCCTTCATCTCTTGGTCAAGAGTGATAGATGGAGGCTCTGTTAAGAAACAGGAAGATGTTGAACAATAATTGTACATTTAAAACTGATTTTTAAAACCTGAAGTTGCATAAGTCTTAAATTTTAAACTACATACCATACTCATCCTTGCAGGTCAGTGATTCGGTTGTCTCTGAAGGAACACTGACAGCACCAGCAGCATTCTTGGCCCTGATTCTAAACTGATACTGAGCTCCTTCTGTCAGGTCTGTAATGGTGAAAGCACAGCTCTGGATGTTCACGTGATTGGCCTTCATCCATGCCTTTCCACCAGCCTCAAGTTTCTCCACCATGTAGCCAGTCAGCTTATAGCCACCATCATATTTAGGAGCAGTCCACATTAGAGTGACTGTGTTCCTGGTAACATTTATCACATCTGGTTTACCAGGTGGATCTGAAAAAAAAAAAAATCAAAGACATGAAATAAAACAAAGCCACTGCAATTTAATTCAGGCATTTACAATAAAAACAGAAAGGTTCCTATGTATAATATATAACTTTAAGAAAATGGTTTGGACTCACCAATAGGATCAAGGGCGACAACAGCCTCAGTGACTTTGCTTGCCTTTCCAAGGCCGGCCATATTCATAGCCATCACCCTGAACTCATACTCTAGTCCTTCAACGAGACCCGTAACTCTACACTCCTTTACTCTCAAAGGAGTCTTACTAGCTCGCTTCCACATCAGGCTGTTTCTCTCCTTAAACTCAAGGTGATACCCTGAAAAACCCCCAAAAAGATATAATAAATCATGACTGATGACACTCGATTACTTACTTACAGAGATGAATAACAGTATTTTACCGGTGATTGGGGAGCCACCGGTGTCTTTTGGATCAGCCCAAGTCAGAATGGCTGACTCATGTCGAATGCTCAGAATCTCAGGAGGAGCTGGCGCCTCAGGTACATCTTGAGGAAAGATAAAAGATCAGTTAATTCACTAAAATCTTTACACATAAAAACATAAGACCTACTTACTGTAACAAAACATTTCAAGATTACTTCATAATACCAATTACTTTTGCCATCAGAAAAATTTAAACACTACATTTTCAGGCTGTACCTTTCAACATTAATCAAATTAATTTGACTTTTATTCAAATGCTGCCTGTCAGACTACACTGATGTCTGAATATTGCCCTGAGGTCACTGATCCAAATGTAAGTATACTGTATATCATATAACATGGAAAGAGCATCAACACAAGCTGAGGCTTATTATAATTATTAATCTCAGGATTTGATCATGTCTGTATCTACAGATATTTAAATCAATGTATCAGAATTGGATTGGAACTGAATAATCCTCAGTCCAACCAGAATCGAACAATTCTGGATCAGAGAATATCCATTTTAACTATATGAAAGATATCTTACCTGTCAACCCATTTACAAAAACTAGACTGACATTTACAGTAATTAAAAAGAGAAATCAAAGGACTTTACAAGTAAAGTTCTAAAGATCAGAGTTGTACTCACTGAAAGGATGCTGGGCGATGACTGGGTCAGATCTCAGGAACTCTCCGATGCCGTACTTATTCTCAGCACACACTCTGAAGATGTACTCTATTCCATCGTGGAGTCTGATCACCCTCATGGTGGTCTTCTGGATGGCTGAAGCCACTGTGGCCCATTTGTTATCTGTTGTCCTCCTCTTCTCAACGATGTAATTGGACACCTCCGCACCTCCATCGTCTTTGGGCGGTGCCCACTCCAAGGTGATGCCATCAGCAGTTATCTCGTCAAACTTGATGGGTCCAGTGCATATTCCAGGCTTTCCGACAACCTTCAACTGGAACTTGCAGTCCTTGGAGCCTGCACTATTCCTGACATTGACGGTGTAGGTACCTGCATCTCCTCTCTGGCAGTCTCTGACCAGTAGAGTGGTAATGCCCTGGGAAGCCTCAACACATATACGGCCAGTGTCGCCAAGTCCCATGTCGCCCTTCTTCCAGGTGGCGGTAGGGTAAGGCACTCCAGTGACAGGGATGTTGATGCGCATGGTGGTGCCCTCCTTCACCACGCAGCAACCATCATGCAGACTGCTCAAGTTGCAGTCAGGCAGCACTGAAATGTTACCAATTGGTGTTAAAAACTTTTCTATAAGAAATTATTTTTTGGCATTGAAAATCATGTAAGTGCATTTAAAGGGGCAGTATTATGCATTTTCAGTCACATAGTGCTACTTTAGAGTACAATCAAGTAACCATGATTGTACTATAAAAATGATATTCATATCAAACATGACAGAAGAAATTTTACTTAGTGATTTTGTAAGGCGGCGGTAGGAGTTCGCCCTGTAATTGGTGGGTTGCCTGCTTGATTCCCACTCCCACTTTGTCATGCCTTATCAGGTAATTTCATTTAACGCCTTGAAATTGGGCTTCTGTTTCTTTAAGAAACTCCTTCTTTTTCTGACACTCCGCCTTCAGGAAGTCGTCACAACATCTCTCCTCTTTTAAAGCTTTAACAATGTTTTTACCAGCATTTCACTGAGAAGCAGCTCCTACAATGAGATCAATTAGGTGTTTGGTAATTGCTGCTGCTGCTAGTCTGAAGGAGCTGAATGGAGGAGCTCAGAAACTGTAACACTAAGGAGGAGCTGCACCTCAAAGGTGAGGCTATGTCCACCCAGGTGTTTTACACAGCTGATTGGTTGCCACAGTGATTAAAGGATTTCTCAAACATGAATGAATGAACCAAGGCAACACTCCAGCTGTTTGTGAAGAGGGAATAACAATATAACATGATGTAAAGTTTCAAAAAGTCAACTTTACATAATACTGCCCCTTTAAAAATGTGTATGACATGAAGGCTAATCAGGTGGATTCCTTACCGAACTGGTCCTTGGCAACAGCAGTGAGCTCAGTTGGTGGTCCCTCTCCAGACTCGTTGAGGGCCTTGACCCGGAATAAATACTGCTTGCCGTCTGCCAGCTCACTGATGGTGTGACTGGTGTTCTTGCCCTTCATAATCTCCTTCCACTTCTCCTCTCCTTCGCTCTGCTCCAGGATGTAAGCGGTAATGAAGCTTCCTCCATCACTGATGGGTTTCTTCCAGCTCAGTGTGATAGAGTCTTTGGTGGTCTTTTGGGCTCTGAAGTCTGTCACTGGACCAGGTTGTTCTGCAAAAGTGGATTTAGAAAAGGTTAAAGCGTATTTTCTGATAAGAACAAATGGATATTAGTTCCAGTGCATAACTCTTAAGAAACGTGAATACAAAGAAACCTCCAAATGTGAAGACATATGAATGAATTTTCTTTTAGATCTGAATGGAACATTAAAGTCTCAAACTCTTTGGGTGTTTTCTACATGATACCGGTAGATCTCACTCAATTTGGGAAAAAAATTGCAGCTTAATATTTATTATTAAGCTGATGTGGTTCACTTTCACACTGCACTGTGTCAGATGAACCAAACTAATTGAAAGACCTGTTCACCCAGTCGCCTGTGGTGGCAGTGCACCAAGAACTGCTAAAAGAAATGACACAAAAACCTCCGAAGAAGGTACATCTTTGAAAAGCAGAAGTGGAACCTCCTGCACAGCCAACAAGAATGCAACAAGTGGTTGTTGAATGGTAAGCCAACAACAAAACACTCGTCCTGTACAGCACATACAGCGGTAAAACCAGCTGACCAATCATGATGGAGCTCAGCTTGGGTTACTAGGTGATAGACAGAACTCCGCTGGGGTTGCTAGGTAACAAGTTCAAAATGGAAGTATAAAAATGTCAAAATGTGAATTTTGTATAATACGTCCCCCCTTTAATGGCTTAATTATCCTTTATATTACTAAAGTTAATTCCACATCCAAATTTTTAATGTACGTTTCTGACTGAATAATTTGGGATTCAGAGGGTCGACTGTAATCGCTTCTCTGAAATATAATAAATCGCTACCTGAGGCCCGGACGCTGCCTGCCGTCTCGCAGCCCTCTCCGATGCCATAAGCGTTTTCAGCCAGAACTCTGAAGCAGTACGCTTGACCCGGCTCCAGATTGGTGATCCTGAAGGAGGTCTTGTGGCACTCGGCGGAGACGCAGGTCCACGCCTTCCTCTCAGCCAAACGTTTCTCCACAACATAGCTTTTCACTGGACTTCCACCATCGATCAGCGGCGGCTCCCAGCTTATCCAGGCGTGGGTCCTGGAGGTCTCCTTCACAGTCAGGTTGGCAGGTGGTCCAGGTGAGTCTGAGGGGGAGGAGCAGCAGAAAACTTTAGTCAACTGATCAGGATATCAAAGAACAAATAGAAAGGTAAATGGTAATTTTAATTTACATTAGGCTATATGCATTAAACAAGCACAACATTATGACCACTTGATTTGATTTCATGAAGGCTCCTCCTTATAACTTGCCATAATTAAAGGATCTGTTATCTGACGTCTTGGTGACAGATAAAAATAAACACACCTTCAGGGATCTAGTACAATAGCACAAAATATTGTCTAATACTTTTGTCTGGTTTCTATTGGACTTGAAATAAAACAAAACTGACTTACAAGTAACTTTTCAACTACTTATAGGAGGTCGTTTTCAGTCAATAACTCTTTAATGCTGAAAGTTCTAGTTTCACTGGCGGATTATTTAACTTTTAACAAGGTATCTTGTTGATCTTGTCAAATAATCTGCCTGTAGATCTAGTACTTTTTTTAATCAATATAATATTCCTATATCTTGCTGAAAAGATATTTGTAAGTTAGTTTGTTTTATGTCAAGTGTAGTGACATATTTGCACTAGAAACTAGACAAAAGTTTTTTGGAAGATGTTGTGTTTCTGTAGTGTAATCATATTTGTTGAAGCTTAACATAAATGTGTTTCTATAACTGCTCTTTTTGTTTTCTAACAACACTTCAAAACAAATCCAGGTTTATATTTATTCACTGTAATGCAACACCTCTGATTAAACCCTAACTGTTTGCAGTCTGTGTACTCAGGCAAATCCTTACCGAGGACTTTAACGATGATGGTGTAGCTCTTGGATCCACTGCTGTTCTCCAGAGACAGGACATATTTGCCTGCATCATATCTGTTGATGTCCTCAATCATTAGCAGGGTGTCCCACTCAGACGTCTTGATCAGCAGTCCCTGCCTGTCCTTCAGGTTGGCGTCCACCTTGGTCCATGTCACATTGGGCGCTGGGCGTCCCCTCAGCGGGACGTACAGCCTCATGGTGATGCCGGCTCGCAGAACCAAAGCCTTCCTCAGATCAGCATCCAGCTCACCTTCAGGGGCAACTGCAGAGAGGCAGATTATTAAAATATGTTAGCTCCCCTGTCTTTAAGCCATTTTACTGGACAATAAATAGTCCCAGAAATCATTGCAATAAACTATAATATTGTCATTTTGAGACCCTTTTCAACTAATATAATAACAATAATGGCTTGTAAACACAAATATACTCACTCAAAGATTTAAAAAAAAAACCTTTCATTTCTAAAGAATATTTAACACTGGGACTGGAAAACATTTTAAATATACAAAAGATAAAAACAAAACAAGAATCCAAATGGATCATGAAGTCTCTGTGACCAAAATTGCATTTCAAATTCAGCTTAGACAGGGAAAACAGGCAAAGTGTCAGCAAGTGCAAACTAACTACTTTGTACTGGGTGTTAAATGTTTCCAGTGTTTTTCAAAATGGAGGCTTTTCAATGATAGAGCTCATTTTAATTTATCATGTGATTAATGGACTTATTGCTTATTGTGACAGGCCAACAATCATCTGATGAACGTACTCAGGATGTCCTTGGCCGTGTGGTTTCCAGGAACCTCGCTGGGCTCACTGTAGCCAATCTTGTTGACGGCAGTGACTCTGAACTGGTACTCTGTGTTTTCCGTCAGGCTGGTCACCACAAATTTGGTGGCCTGGAGTTTCTTCGGGACATTGCACTTGGTCCACTCCTCGGCGTCGGCTCGCTTGCACTCCACCAGATATCCAATGATCTCACAGCCGCCATCGTAAGCTGGTTTGGTCCAGCTGAGGCTGATCGAATGCTTGGTAGAGTCCACCACCTTGGGGAACGCAGGTGGGCCAGGCGGATCTTAAGAATAACACAGAAAGCTTAGAAGTCTGACAAACATCAGGGATATTTTCAGTTACGCTTTTCTGCTAATCAGACACTCACAGACAGGGTCAACAGCCAGAGCGGCGTTGGACGGATCGCTGGGTTTGCCCAGGCCGGCCTTGTTCAAGGCGATGACTCTGAACTCGTATTCTGAGCCCTCGGTCAGCTGAACTGCCTTGATGGTTCTGTCGATGACGGGTCGCCGGTTAACCTTAGCCCAGGTCAACTCTGTGGCCTCACGCTTCTCCACCAGGTAACCCAGGATGGGAGCTTTGCCGTCATTGGCGGGGGCTTTCCAGCTGACTGTCATGGAGTCCTTGGTGATGTTGGTAATGACCGGTGGCTCACATGGCCCAGGAACATCTGATGGAAGAGATAAAGGCATGAGAGTCACACTGAAGACCAGGTTGACAAGCATCTCTGAACTGACACCTATTATGCTTCCTAGAACAGGTTAGGATAGTTTTATAGGCCATTCAAAACGTGTCTCGTCACTTTAAATCCAAAACAGCTGCTGCGGGTCACGCCCCTCCGACTCAACATTTACACTCACACGTAAAAATGGCTACAAACCCTTTCAATTCAAATTCAATTAAAATAATTTAAATTCCAAAGGGAATTTAAATTAGATGTGCAATTATACAGTAGTACATATTTGAAAAGCAGAAATGGAGTCCCCTGCACAACCAACAAGAATGGAGCAAGTGGTTTCAAATTGTTCAAATGTCATATTTACTTGTTCAGAAATTTAAAAAGGTATTCATGCTGTAAGAAAAAACAAAATAGAGCTATTAAGAGAGTATTTTAAACTTAAAATAAAGTTTAAAAGGAATCAAAAGACAAGCATCAGTCAGGAGAAGAGTATAGAAAATTGCCATATATTTTATATATATATACCCCAACGGTGTTTCTGGGTTCAACTAAAACTTACATTAAGACATTCATATATTCTGATAAACGGTTTTACAAATAAAAATAGAAAAATTAATTCTCACCGTATGGGTTCTTCGCGGTTACGGCGTCAGTCATGATGGCGTCTCCCACACCATACTGGTTCTCAGCACTCACTCTGAACTGGTACTCATGACCCTCGATGAGTTTTTCCACTGAGCAGTCGGTGTTGTGGCCGTGGATGTTAGAGGTCACCAGCGCCCAGTTGGCCCTGCTGGTTTCACGCTTCTCAATAATGTAGTTGGTGATTTCAGATCCTCCATCTGCGAGTGGAGGCTCCCAGCGAACCTTCACACGGTCGGCAAACACTTTGGAGATTTTTATTGAGGCTGGAGGGCCGGGTTTGTCTGCAGAGCAGGAAGAAGAAAGGTTGAATTTCAAACATGAATGTTTTTAAGGCTTGTTGAGCTTTTCAGTAGGGCTTAAGCTAAGGATAATTTTAGTTATTGATTATTCTGACGATTAATCGGATAAAAAATGGGACATTTTGCAAATATTTGTACTTGCTTCTTCTATAATCCTAAACATGGATTTCATTTAATTAACTTCAGGCAAAATGATACAATGTTCTTCTTAAAGCTAAGGGACCCCACAAACAGTTAACAACACTTCTGAAGGGTGTCAACATTAAAATCTTTATGAAGAACAAATAATTGGAATTACACAACCCAAAGGGAGCATTCAATAATTGATTAATCGCACCAGTCACTGTTTTTACTGCAGCTTACCCAGCACCTTGACCTTAATGGTGGCGTACTTGCTACCACTCAGGTTTTCAGCGAGGATGGTGTAGTCTCCAGTCTCCTTCCTGGTGACTGAGTACAGCTCCAGCAGATGAACGTGTTTCTTCTGCGTCGTCTTCATTCCCTCTGCGATCACCAGTGGCGCACCGTCTCTCTTCCAGCTGACCTTAGGCAGGGGTTTGCCGTGAACCTCAGCGTCCAGGAAGACGTTGTCACCTGCCTTTACCACGATGAGGCCCTTCATGTTGACGCCCAGTTCAACGCGAGGAGGAACTGTACAGGAGACAGAGGGAGGAAGTTCATGACCCGCCACTGGATCTGATTTGTTCTTAACGGGTTGAGCAGAACCGTACCATTCTCAGCAATGACAGCAATGGGATCCGACACCTCAGACGGGAGGCTGACGTTGATGGCAGTCTTGGCAATGACTCTGAACTGGTACCTCTGACCCTCCTCCAGGCCCTGAACCACGTAGCTCTCGGACTGGATGTTCATGCAGTTGGCATTGCAGCAAGTCCATTTGTCCTCTGGCAGCTTAGTGTATTCCACATGGTAGCCAATCAGCTTGCTGCCGCCGTCATGTTTGGGACGGCTCCAGACCAATGAGACGGAGTTCTTGGTCACATCCATTGCTTCGGGTTTACCTGGTGGGTCTGGGAGGAAAATAGAAGGGTTTCACATCAGCAATGTTGTCTAGTTTTGATCTTCTTCAACATGAATTTTAAACGATGAATCTAAAGCTAAACCAGACTTTTTTGGGTTATCCCTGCCCCAACTCCATCATACAAGGCAGCATTCGGCTGTTGATTTTATACAATATGATGTTCAAGCTTTTAAAGAAGTCTCTTTACTAAGGTGCCTGTTTTACCTCATGAGCACCTGACCCCCAAAATATCTGAGCACGCCACTGAAAATATCCCAACATAAAATGGGATTCTTCTTCAAAACAGATCATAGATCATTGGTTGTATTTACTAAGAATAAGCATAAAAATAATCAACAATACTGAAGTAACTTAATGATCAGTCTGGAAGAATATTTCATGTTAAAATGTATTATGCTGCCAAAGTAGACATTTAAGTGGTTATAGTGAGAAAATATTTGTACAAATTTATATTGTATTAATATTATAGTTTATAAAAATTTTTTTTATATAACTAGAAACTGAGATAAGAACAGATGTACTTACCAACAGCAGTTCTGGCGGTGATGAAGTCGGTCTGTTTGCAGGGTTTTCCCTGTCCAGCCATGTTGTAGGCCGACACCCTGAAGGTGTACTCCAGGCCCTCGATGAGGCCGGTGCAGGTGTACTGCGTGGCTTTGACCACAGACTCATTAGCCTTCACCCACAGCAGGCTGTTCCTCTCCTTCTTCTCTATGCAGAAACCAGTGATGGGGCTTCCACCGTCGCTGCTGGGACGCTCCCAAGACAGAATGACAAAGTCCTTGTTGACCTTGTTGATCTGCAGGTTTCTCGGTTCACTTGGAGGATCTAGAAGAAAAAAAACTCAAAAACATTAACACATAACGTCACATCTGGAAAGGTAGGAAAATTGAGCCACCCGTGTTGCTAGGAAACAATAAAAAAACATTATGTCACCAAATCTCCTGGGTAAAGGTATGAGGTCAATATGATGTCATAAATCAAAGAAATAAAATCAAAATTGTAGCTTTGAGGTAAATTGAGCCATTTGGCCATAAACTTACTATGAGGGCTAACAATTACACAAGTAATTGATTTATCAAATATTCCAATGATTAATTGGATAAAAAATGTTTCATCTAACCCCTATCCGTCTTATAATGAACGAAACTCACCAAACGGATATCTGGCAATCATCTTCTCAGAGTAGAGGGGCTCAGAGATGCCGGACTTGTTCTCAGCCCGGACCCTGAACCAGTACTCCTTTCCAGGTGTAAGTTTGGTCATTCGGAAGCTGGTCTTGGTGCAGGAAGCTGAAACGGTGATCCAGTCACCCTGGCTGATGTCACACTTCTCCACAATGTAGTTGGTGATGTGGCTGCCGCCATCTTCCTCCGGGGTGTTCCAGAGCAGCGTGCAAGCATCAATATCCAATTCTGAGATCTCCAGAGGGCCACCAGGAGGTCCAGGGATGTCTGAGAAACAGAGAGGTATTGATGAAATAATTTTAATATGTCAATGCCATGTTGTCAGAAGCAGTGATGGGTGCTTTAGCTGACCCTGGACGATGACTCTGAGGATCTGGTTGACTTTGCCGGTGCTGTTCTCGGCCGACAGGCTGTAGTAGCCGCTGTCCTTTCTGCTCACGTTCTTGATGATGAGGGTACAGGTTGTCAGAGTCTTTACGACCGACAGGCGGTCTGAGGTCAGTACGTCCTCGTTGCCCTGCTTCCACTTGCAGAAAGGAGCCGGTTTACCAGCCACGATGCCCTCGATCACCATTTTTGATCCGGCCCTCACCGTAACAATGTCGGGCATGATGATCTTTGGAGCCACTGAAAGCAAAGCAAATATTAAAGGTGAGCTATTATGCTTCCTTTAACCGGTTTGGATAGGGCTACGGGCTACACAAAAGATGTTCATGACACATTCTTAGACGATGGGATTTCAGTTTGCTCAGTTCTGCCTATTTTGAGCTCCTTTCAGATTAAGCTGATTAGAGCATCTGAAAATGAGAAACTGCTGGCCACGCCCCCTAACTCAAAAACTTTTTAAAAAATTACTTAAATTATTTTTACTACGCTGTACTTTTTACTTTTACTTTAGTAACTTTATTCTGAAGTACTGCTACTCCTATTTGAGTAAAATTTCTGAAAATTTTACACCATTAATCTGCTGCTGGCCATGTCCCCCACGTTTCATGTATGCAAACATACATGAAAATAGCTGCAAACAAATGCAATGATACATCTTTGAAAAGCAGACGTGGAGCCTCCTGTACAATCAACAAGATTGCAGTAAGTGGCTTCTGGATAGTAAGTCAACAGATAACACTTGTGTTTTCCAGCAGCCATTGTACAGAACATACAGCAGTAAAACCAGCTGATCAAACGTGCTGGAGCTCAGTGCCTGAAGATTTGTGACATTACATTCTGAAGGTTTTGAAATGGCTTGTTTTCCTGGCACCAAAGTACATAAATTTTTGCCAAGAAACATCTAGGTGGTTTATTTAAGCATTTGGGTTGCTTTTAGAAGCAGCAAAAACCCAAACAAAAGTACACAAATGTGCAAAGTACATCCCCTATAACAATTAAACCACAGTTCACAAGAACCTGTTATTTTGCAGTTAAGCTGATCTACTTACTGAGCTGCTCCTTGACCTCAAACACTCCCTCCGCCTCGCGGGCCAAGCTAACTCCAACCGAGTTCCTTGCTGCCACTCTGAACTTGTACTTTGTTCCTTCCTTCAGACCAACCACCACAATGGTCAGGTCTTTGACGACAGAGTAAGGTGTCCACTTGTCCTCGGGAGCTCCCTCTTCCTGGTAATCAACAACATAACCGTTGATCTTAGCTCCTCCGTCTCTGAGGGGCTTCAGCCAGCCCAACGTGGCGCTGTTCTTTGAGATCTCCAACACATCCATCTTCTTAGGTGGGTCCGGCTCACCTTGATTTAAAGGTAGGCAATTATCAGACAAAAATTAAATAAATAAAAATAATCCACATCATTTATTTTAGGCTATACTCACTTATAGGATCCACAGCCAGATAGGATCTGGGAGAATCCTGAGGAACTCCAATTCCGTATTTGTTGTGCGCCATGACTCTGAAGTAGTACTCGATGCCTGGCGTCATGTTGGTCACCTTGAAGCTGGTTTTCTTCAGGTCCTCTGTGCATTTGGTCCAAGTCTTCCTATCCACTTCCCGTTTCTCCACAGTGTAATTAATAATGGGGCTGCCGCCATCATTTTCTGGAGGCAACCATGAGAGCTGAGCGGTTGTCTTAGTTATGTCGGTAGCATCCAAGCCGCCAACTGGGCCAGGAGTGTCTGGATAGAGTTAGAAATAAATTTAGTTGATAAAGATCAGGTATATTTTATAGACAAGTTGCAATGTGCCATCCCATGTCCAAGATCCTTCCGCCTAGCTACCTGCTAGAGGGCAAAAAGCTACTCGCTGATGATGACTACCATTGTAAAGTTGTCAACATACCATGCTAAAATTTAAATCTATGCATGACATATAAAAGAAAAAAAGGAAGCCATGGTTTCTGTGGATCAAACTGTCAACACTACGACAATTAGAAAATGTTTTAATTGATAAAAGGGAAGTAGGTCAGTTATGCTAGCTTGACTTTGAAAACCTTAACATGTAGGTGTGCTGTGGAATTTGGTAAGTTTTGGTTCCATTAAAAAGAAGAAAAAAAATCCGACCCACACGCTGAACTCTCTGACAAAACAACATGTTTAAATTAGCTAATCTACCACCGCTGAGTCAATGGCTTCCTGTTCTTACCGAGCACTTTGACTCGGACAAACACAGCTTTCTCTCCAGCCGAGTTGGACAGAGTCAGTGAATATTTCCCAGAGTCCTCTCTGGTGCTCTCAGGGATCACCAGGAAGCACATGGTGTCGACCTGGTCCACGTGACCTCGGCGTACGACGTTGTCCACACCCAGGCGCTTCCAGGTCACCTTGGGAGCTGGCCTTCCTCTGATCACGGCAAACAACCGGATGGGACACCCAGCCCTGACGGTGAGGCCTTTCCTCAAACTGGCATCCAGCTCGATTTCAGGGGCCTCTGTGGTCATGAAAGCACAAATAACTCTGTGAGCTCATGTAATGTCCTAAAAATGACCTATTTTAGTATATAAGATCCTATGAAATTCATTTGATTTTTTTCCCGAAATTCCACTATTTCTGTTTTCATTTTTCTCAATTCCATTTATTCCATGTCAGCCATATTTATTAACCCAGAAGTTATGTGAAAAAGATTAACAAATCATTAGCTGGAGCCACATTTCTTGTTTATCTGTATCACAAATGAAACAACTGCTGTTGTTTAACAGAAAATTGTTTTTATGAGGTGTTAAAAAGTGTTTCCATCTCGTTTTTTAAAGAACTCAAACATAATGCACAAACACAAAATCTTATTTTATGATCTACCTTTTGGTGCAAATATCTTAGTGCACTTGAAATCAGATAAAACTAACTCACAGGTAACTTTTCAGCAAGATATAGAAACTTTTTTTAAGTTAATAATTCATTAATATTGATTAAAAAATACTGGTTCCACTGGGAGATTATTTCACTGATAGCAAGACATTTTTTCATGTTACAAATTAAATAATCTGGCAGTAGAACTAGTATTTTTTTTTCAATATTAAGACCATTTCTTGCTGAAAAGTTACTTCTAATAGTTTTATTTTACTAAGATATTTGTACAAAAAAGTGGACCAAGAATACTTATGTTTTTGCAGCGTATGTGCAAAACAATGAATCTTGCTTTTAACATAAAATTTACCTTTTAAAATCGCTTTAAATGTATACATTTCCATAAAGATCTGGACATTTGTTAATTTTTTTTCCTTTTCATCTGTCACAGGAATCTCCACTGAAGTAATGATTGTTAGTTGTTTTATTTTTAGTTGTTTGCGCTGCTTTACCAAAAATGAACAAAGTTTGTTTCATTCTTTTCCAAAAGGAATATATGATTCAATAATCACCTTCAGCTGCCACTTCTACTGATTTATTTAAATGTTACAGATTTAGTAGACATGACTAATTGCATCTAGCTAAATAGCTTCTTTATGAACAGTCGTCTAATTCTTGCACTTCCACTCAACCTTGTGCTGACAAAAACTACAGAAAGGTTTTTTGTCATTTTCATAAAACTCGCTATTATCTGCCATTTCTATGTTTTATTGTGGATTACATTTTGTTTCTTAATTTCCACATTTCCGTCCGAATTTTCCGCATTCATAGAGCCTTTTAAGTGCATAGACTCACCAAGGATCTCCTTCGGAGACACTGCCTCCTTCAGGTAGGCATGGCGACCCCAGCCCACCTGGTTTTGGGCGGAGACTTTGAACTCATACTCCTGTTTCTCATCCAACTGGCCGATAGTGAACTCTGTGATCACCAGCGGCCCATGGGTATCGATTCTCTTCCAGCCCTCTGAGGGTTTCTCTGGGTCGGCGTCGCTCTTCAGCCTCAAGTCCAGGCTGTAGCCAATAATGGGGGCGCCGCCGTCGTACACGGGTTTAGACCAGGACAGGGTAATGGAGGTCTTTGTGCTGTCAGAAACCCTCAGGCCCGCTGGTGGCCCAGGTGGTTCTGAAAGTAGAGGTGAAAACATAAGACAGTGATGAATGGAAAAGCAAAGAGGAGAGGGTCCAGACTGAAAGTTGAGCTGAACTCACCAATAGGATCTTTGGCTGCAACAGGTCTGCAGGGTTTGCTTGGTTCTCCAAGGCCGACCTCGTTCTCTGCTTTCACTCTGAACTGGTATTCATGGTTTGGAATCAGGTTTGTCACTTTCATGCGTCTTTCAGAGATGGGGCTCTTTGTGCAAGCCACCCAGCGCACCGCCCGCTTCTCCTTCCTCTCCAGAATGTAGCCGGTGATGGACTTTCCTCCATCGTTCTCAGGTGGAGCCCAGACGACGGTCATCTCCTCCTTACTGACCTGCATCACAAAAACAGCAAATGGTCCAGTGACCAAGGAACTCGCTTCTACTAGGGATACAAACAATTAATCAACTAACAATTTATTAAATTATAATTAGTTCCAATTGAGTAACTAATTCATCTGCTTAAACCTTCTTTTAGTCCAAACAGTCTGTCCAAATAGAGTGAAGTGTGGGATACAAAATCCAATTTATGTGGTTTTGTTTTAAAATATAAAACTTGACAAGCTCCTCAAGTTGTTGCCTTAAGATTTTCAGCCCAGCTGGAGCAGCGTCAACATCTCGTTTAAAAATTATTGATGTACTACAAACACCAGGATGTGTTGTTAAAGAAAAGTGAAGGAGATAACGGAGAAAAATTATAACATGATGAAAAAAAACATGATGCCAATAAGCAAGGTTGAATTTGAGGGCTTTTTGTGAGTTGATGGACTTTATGGAGCAAAGTTTTAACATTCATTCAAGAGCAACAGACGGTTCTTCTGAATTCCTTATGAATCTCTGTTCATAAGGAATTAAGTGTACATTTTATTCATTTCATCTTACATTTTTTTATTGAGGAACTTAAGAGGCTTCTGTTTTGTTATACTTTATAAATATATCTAAGTTTAATATGTACAGCAACCATGATTTTCTGTTTATTTGGTCAGTATTTAACATGGCTTTCACAAAATAATGTTAAAAGTCAATCATCTCTTTTAAAATTCAGCATATTATGAAAAGTTTTGTCCTCTTGATACAGGAGAAAACTCTGAGTTTTTAAGATTAAGTTATTAACCTATAACTTTCATCCCTAGTTTCTACAGCTACAATCTTTCCAAATCGAGACCTTATCTTTACCTTAGTAACTTCGGGGGTATCGGGGGGTCCAGGTCTGTTGAACTGAGTCTTGACAGTTACAGGCCTGCTTTCCATGGCGAGGCCAGTTCCCATCTTGTTCTCTGCTCTCACTCTGAAGATGTACTCATTACCCTCCACCAGTCGGGTGACGTTACAGTAAGGAGTGACTACAGAGGCGGAGTATGTGGACCAGACCATTCTCCTGGTCTCACATTTCTCCAGAATGTAACTGTCCACTTCGCAGCCTCCGTCGTCTTCTGGACCGTCCCACACCACTCTGCATTTGTCAGCTCCGATGCCGGTGATCCTCAGGTTCCTCACTGGTCCCGGCACATCCAAGACGTTGACGTTTGCGTAGGCTGTGAAGGTGCCAGCTGTATTAGTGGCAGTGACAACATACTTGCCGGTGTCTGAGCGTCTGGACTTGGTCAAAAGAAATTTGGAATAATCGGAACCGGTTTCATAGCTCATTCTGGGATTGTCTCCCACAGCTTTGTCTTTTATCCATTTGACTTCAGGCTGCGGTTTTCCTCTCAGGGCAGCCTCCATCCTGACCGACTCTCCAGCCTTCACTGTCACAGTTCCTGCTACCTTCAGGTCAATGACTGGCTTCTGGATCTCCTCCCTCACCACAATGTCAGGGATCTTTACCCATGCACTTTCTCCACCTTCATTCACAGTCTGGACCCTGAATAAAAAAATACAAGATTTTTATTTTCAAAAACACTTTTCAAGGCACCAGGGAAGAAATCACAAGAAAAAAAAGTTACATTTGTCAATGAAAACTAGGGCTGGACAATAAATTGATAATTTATATTGTGATCAAGACACGATCTACACCAATGGAAAATATGTCTGATGACACGTTCAATGATTTCACTGAACTCCAATGCAGAACCACACAGCATTCTGGGGACTGTAGGCTCTAACCATTCAACCTCTCACTGCTAGCTAAGCAAGGCTGGTGGCATCAACTAACTCACTCGACGTTGGCTAACCTAGAAACAATCTGTTGAGCAACTTGTGGTTGCCTAGCAACAATTTGTCCTTTCACCATTGTACCTTACAACTACTTAAAAATCAAAAACAACAGTGTAAAGTGTAAACTGTGGGTAAAACAGAAGGTTACGCCACCATTTTGGTTGAATTTCAGATAGCTAAAACAAAAAACTAATAAATTATTGTCATGTTTTTCAGCCATATCATCCAGTCCTAGTAAAAATATGCTAAACAAAGAATATTTCTTAGAAATACAATCAAGTTTTAATTTACCTGAATGTGTAGGTTTGGTTTTCAACCAACTTGTCAGCCAAGAAAAAGGTATCTGTTAGTGTGCTGGTGTTGAGTTTCTCCCACTGTTCAGCATCTTTGTGTTTGCACTCCAGGTTGTACGAGAGGTTGGGGCTGCCGCCGTCATAGTCGGGCTTCCTCCATCTCAGATAGACAAAGTTTTTACCAATGTCGGTGGCTCTGAAGTTCTCCGGCTCACCAGGCTTCTCAATGGGGTCGATGGCCAGCAGAGCGGTCTTGGTCTCCACACAGGGGCCAGGTCCCAGCTTGTTGACGGCGCAGACGCGGAACAGGTACTCATGACCTTCCATCAGTTTGGCTTTGATCTTGCGATTGGTGCAGTTGGAAGAGATCATGGACCACATGCTAATGCTGGGCTCACGGCACTCCGCAATGTAATTGGTGATCTCAGACCCACCGTTGTCGATGGGTGCCTCCCAGTTGACCATGCATGAGTCCTTGGTGGCATAGGTTATGTGCAGATTCTGGCAGTGACTTGGTCTGTCCAACACATTAACTGTGATGGTGCAGGAAGCCTCACCACCCTCATTTGAAGCCTTCAGTGTGTATTTTCCATGATCATTCCTCGTAGCTTCTTTTACCCTGAGGTGGACCACCGGGAGGTTCTGAATGATGGTCACTCGTTTGCTGTTCTCCAGAACCGTCTCCTCCTTTGACCAAATGACCTCAGGATCAGGACGGGCCTTGATGTAGCCAATGATGTTGATGTTGTGGCCGACACGCACGGTTAACCTCTCGCGACAAGTAGCCTCCATTTCAATCTCAGGAGGGATGAGGATATCCTGAGCAGTGATTGACTGTGGCATTTCTTTTGGCTCTCCATCTCCAATCATGTTTGAAGCATAGACTCTGAAACTGTAGCTCACACCTTCTTCCAGACCCTTCACCCTGTAGGCACACTGCTTGATGAGGTCATCCAGGTTCACTTTCTTCCACTCCTCGCTATCGGCTTTCTTCATTTCCACTGTGTATCCAAGGATGGGGCTGCCTCCGTCTCTGGAGGGTTTAGTCCACACCAGGTCAGCAGTGTTCTTACTGTAATCCTTAACTTTGGGATTAATAGGAGAGCTTGGGACTGAGATGGGTCTGCAGGGCTTGCAGAGGTCAGAAGTAGGAGAAGGACCACTATAGCCAGCAATATTCTCTGCAAACACCCTGAATTCATATTCACTTCCTTCAAACAGACCCTGGACTCTGTATCGGAGGTCCTTGCAAGGGGTCCTATTAACACGGATCCATTTTCCTCCCTTGTGTCTGCGCTCTATGAGGTAGCCAGTGATCTGGCTGCCACCATCAGCTAGAGGCATGGTCCATCCGATCGTAACAGCATCTTCAGCCACATCATATTGCTGCGGTTTACCAGGTGGACTGGGTGGCATGAAGGTGTGTTCAGCCACGGTTGGCTTGCTCTCCAGCGGAGCACCGACTCCCATCTTGTTTGCGGCACGAATGCGAACCACATATTCTGTTCCTTTCTGCAGGCGGGTAATCCTGAGCTGCGTTTCAAGGCTGCCGGAGCTAACGCCTCCCCAAGTCTCCTTGTTGGACTCTCGTTTTTCCACAATGTAGTTAGTGACGGGGCTTCCGCCATCGTCCTTGGGAGGACGCCATTCGATTGTCATGGAGTCTGGAGTGACTTCCATGATGTTGACGGGTCCAATAGGTGCAGCTGGAACATCCAAAACAGTTACACTCAGGGCCACGGTTTTTGTCCCTGCCGCATTGGACACAGTGAGCAGGTAGGTGCCTGTGTGGTTCCTGGTACACTCGTTGATGTTGAGCACAGTTGAGAAATTGTCAGTATCAATTTTGACGTTGCCCTGGCTTGTGATTTCCTCCCCGTCAACGGACCACTTGGCAGTGGGAACAGGGATTCCTCTCATTAAGGCTGGTAACCTGATGGTGGTGCCAGCCTTCACAATGATGCCTTCAATCAGCTTAACATCCACCTCAACAATTGGAGGGACTATGAGAATACAGAGAAACACAAATTACTCCACATTTTCATGTTAATTTGATGTATCACAAACAAAGACACATGGATAATAATAGAATAACTAAAGTTGTACATGTGTATCGATTGGTGTCTCTATATTCTGTTGCCTACCTAGTTTCTCCTGGCAGAGGATGGGCAGTGTGGTGTCAGGTCTACTGAGGCCAATGGCATTTTCAGTCCTCACTCTGAAGCGGTAGGTCTTTCCTTCCTCCAAGCCGGTAACATGACTCTCTGGGATGCTCACAGTCTTCCATTCTTCCCACTCTCTGGCTCCTTCTTCCTGATACTCCACAAAGAAGCCAGTGATCTCACTTCCTCCATCACGATCAGGCCAGTTCCAGGCCAACCAGACCTCTGTTTTGTCCACATCAACGTGATGCAAGTCTTTAGGAGGACCAGGAGGGACTGAAGCACAGAATGACAAGATTGTAAAGTAAGTAAGGTAAAGTAGTTATAAAAAGTATTTCTTGAATAAGTATTCACTGTTCTGATACTTACACAGAGGGTTCATTGCCTTGATAGCCTTTGGTGTCTCAACAAATTCGCTTCGGCCATAGTGGTTTTCAGCAGCAACTCTGAATGAGTAGGATGTGCCCTCCATCAGGTGCTTCAGCATCATGCTGCGCTTCTTGGAGGTGGAGCAGACAGGAACCCACTGAGTGGATGCAGTGTCTTTCTTCTCTACCACAAAGTTAGTGATGCGAGAGCCGCCATTGTCTTCCGGATCCTTCCATGACAGGTAGGCGGAGTCACATCTGACATCAGACACCCGGAGGTGCTGAATAGGACCAGGTTTGTCTAAAGATAATAGAAAGAAAATGAGGAACGCTTCACAGGTCACACTTCTGTTATTGTTCCTTGTTTACCTTAATGCTATACTTACCAAGAACCAGCACAGTGCAGGTAGCAGTCTTGGAGCCAGCCGGGTTTTCCACGGTCAGAGTGTAGTCTCCACAGTCTCCACGGTTGCAGAATCTCATCTCCAGCTTTGTGCCAGCCTGGTTTGTCTCAATGTCAGCCCTGGTAGGAACCTCTGCATCGTTCTTCTTCCAGGTGACTGTGGGGAATGGCACACCTTTGATGGTGGCCATCAGGGTGATGTGAGTGCCAGCCATGGCCTTCACCTCTCGGGTCATTCCAGCATCCAGGATCAACTCTGGAGGCTCTGCAATAAGAAATATCAAATTTATTTCCAATATGATAAAAATCACCTACAATTTAATTTAGTTTGTTGTGGAGTTAGATACATTTAGACGTTGTTCATTTGTAACTCACCAAGCCTCTCCTGCACTCTGATTGGCTCCTTCAGGTTGGCTGGGTCAGACTCTCCAGCTGCGTTCACAGCCATGACTCTGAAGCGGTACAGAGCGCCATCTTCCAGGTTTATCACCTTAAACTTGGTCTCCTGGCAGGAATCTGGAGTCTGGTTCACCTGTTGGCCAAAGAAGGGTCAAAGGCTGACCATCTTATTTATCTCAAAGAACCAGGAGATGCACACAGGGTCCTTCAGATAAAAATCAAATGGTGCATTTACACCAGCTTTGTTTAGGCCATTTTAATAAACCTCCAGTTTGTTTGCATGGAAAGTCTGTTTCATTTGGGGATGTGAATGTAAAATCATTCTCTGATGTTTATCAAAAAAGCGTAAAGCCAAAAAACCTCAGTCTTGGTTCAGCTAAAGTGAACTCTTGGGCAGTTTGAATGCATGTGTGAATGCCAAAAACAGTAAGTGGACTAAAGCACAGGGCATTCTGGGTAAATACAACCAAAACAAATGCCTGAGTCTAGCACTAGCAGGAGAAATGGCTTGTAGTGTTTTTCCAACAACAAAAGAGAAATACTATAACCACGAAAATCTGATGACACTTTTTTGTTTGTAAGTTACACTCAGCGTCTTCTTCAGAGGTTTCCTTTGGTGCAGCTCCCCCACAGGTGAGGAGGGGAACAGGTTTTTTAAAGGGTTTAGTTGACACAGTGCAGTGTGAAGGTGAACTGCAAATGTTGCAGTTTTGTTCCCCGATTGAACCGAGTCTACCGGCCTATAAGGTGTAAAACACCCTTATTCTCACCTTGTTCCACTCCTCTTGCCCAGCCTTCTGGAACTCCAGCAGGTATCCAAAGATCTTGCCTCGTCCGGTGTCGGTGGGCGGCTCCCAGGACAGAGTCACTGACTCTTTAGTGAAGTCAATGGCGCGAAGGTTGACAGGTGGACCAGGTTTCACTGAGGCAGAACATTTATCCAGTCATTATTACTGCTAACCTTATAAGGCTTATAGAAGTGAAAGTTTTAAAACGTGAACCTACCGATGGGATCCTTGGCAAAAACTGGTTTGGATGGTGGGCTGGGGTCTCCAGCTCCCACCACGTTCTCAGCGCTGACTCTAAACTCGTATTCACAGCCTTGCAGCAGCTCTGTCACACAGTACTCCACTTTGGGGTAGATTCTTTCTGTGCTGCAGCGAACCCATCTGCAAAAATAACCATTTCACCCAATTTTTTAATAATCTGAAACATGGAAGTTTCATATGTTGAAAATAATGTGCCTGAAAGATGAAATCTTCCCATCTTCCTGGAAATGTTTTGGCCATCTAAGAAGCTGTACCTTGTATTTTCTCAGTTACAATTGTTGCTTATCAGCGCTGTGGGATTATGTACCTGTTGGCCTTGGTCTCCTTCCTCTCCACAATGTAACCTGTGATTGGCTTTCCTCCATCAGCAGGTGGCTCCCAGCTGATCAGAGCGCAGTCATGGTAAACTTCCTTCACTGTGGGTTGCTTTGGCGCATCAGGCACCTCTGCAATGGAAACATGTCTAATGGTCAGACACCAATTTGACTATGATCCTACCTGGAGAATGGATTTGTTTATTCAGCATCAGCTTACTGAAGACATCTCGAGCTTTGGTCTCCGCTGACAGGAGTGGGTCACTGATGCCGTACATGTTCTGAGCCATGATCCGGATGATGTACTCACGACCCTCGATCAGCTTTGGCACCTGTTGGCACACAGTGACAAGCAGGGATGTGGTCAATCCCTCCAATCATCTACTGTCCAATTTTCAACATTTAAACTTCCAGAGTTTTCTGGTAACTTCACTGAAAATGGGTTCTCTCTCTATTCTAGCTGAAACTATTAGAAGGACCTAAACAGAGACATCCACAGAAACTATTCTGATCCTGCAATTTATTTAGTGGACAGCAGGGGGCATCGTTCCAAACATTTTTATTTATTCAATAAAATGTGAACATTTATGATTGATTTGAAGTGAGAAATTAAGTTTGAAACTGCTTAGGGCTGAGCTAAGTTGAGAAAACCAACTGTATTTTGTGATTCTTCGCCTGGTAAAAAGTTTGTACTTATTTACAACTAAAACTAACCAATGCTGCCTTATACAGATGTTTTTCTTCTTTGGTAATGAGCAGAAGGCTTTAATACTGAATCGACTTAAAAAAAAAAGGGTAACAACAAGCTATTAAAGGTTATAGTATTGGTGAAATAATCTTGCATAACAGTAAATAATTTATCCACACTGTCTTTTTTCACATTCATCCAAACCAGAAAATACAGAAAAACCCTATTGTATCTCTGGGTTGTGTATTTTTTGAAGTATTTTTTCTTCTTAAGAGTTTGGAGACTAAAACTGACCTTGCAGGAAGTTCTGGTGGAGGAAGAGGTGACGGGCATCCACAGGTCTCTGTTGGTGTCTCTCTTCTCGATGATGTAGTTGGAGATGGCGCAGCCGCCGTCATCTAGAGGAGGGTTCCAAGAGATCACCATGTAGTTCCTGTAGACTTCGTTGAACACTACGGGGCCCTCTGGTGGCTGAGGACGGTCTGACAGGAGGAAAGAGTCGCACAAATTAAAGCTAAAGTTTATCTTCAGGTGATACAAGTTTAAACTGTGGCAATAAATATGAGTGATTTTTAGGGTTGCCCAAGTTAAATAGTGTGAGAAAACCACATTTTTGTGTTTATTCAGTCAGTATAACAAAAAAATTGAATACAATGTGATTCTTTGCTAAAATTCCGCATTTGAAAAATTCAACCCTTTGTGTTATGGAAAGACAGTTGGCCCTCTTGATACAAAATACAACTTTTTAAGAAAATCACCACTTTTCCATTAACCGTTAGTAGTTTATTAAGAGCAATCAACTTTAGAGTCACTCAATAATCAATAACTCTTACTTCTGTTGAATTGGAGAAATCCCTGAATGGAGATTAAAATTTAGCAGAATTGCAGAGGAAGGCAGTAGCCAGGCTAACTAAATTAGCACCTTTCAGGTTTTCAGTTTTTACACATTTTATTATTTTGGGGCAATTGGAGATCTGATCATTGAAGGTTATGTTTCAAACCTGAAGATGGACGCAAGTGTCTCGTTGTGACTCACCGACTACAGTGATGGTGCAGATTCCTGTGCGAGGCCCGGCGGTGTTCTCGACGCTGACGCAGTAGCGGCCGCTGTGTTCTCTCTTGGCCTTGCTGATGTTCAGGCTGAGGTGGCGTGCGGTGCTGTGAAGGTTGATCTCTTCGTCTGATTTAAGCTCTTCGTCGTTCTTCGTCCAGGTGATTGTGGGTGTCGGCTTGCCGCTGTAACGTCCTGATAGCATGCATGGATCTCCCACCTTGACCATCATCGTGTCTCTGAAGTCCAGGTCCAAAGTAGGTGGCTCTGAATTGGGACAAAAGCAGTTTGAAATCTTTCAGAAATTACATGTTTTTATGTGCCATAGCACATGATCAATGTATATGCTTTTAAAAACTGTTGACTTGTCATGTGTATTGTAAGACTTTTAGTGGTTCTATTTTTTCCTCTTTGTTTTATGATATTCTTCTGTTTTCTGCTGTATGATCTTTAACTGTTTTCTGAAAATGAGAATTAGTTGTCAATCTCCTCACCTGGTTAAATAAATAAAAGACAATGTTTGTGTGCGACTCACCGAGCTCGTCCTTGCACTGCACAGGTTTGGTGGGGAAGGAGTGCTTGCCCTGCCCCACCTGGTTGACGGCTGAGACTCTGAACTCGTGACTCGAGCCTTCCTTCAGTCCGGTTAGCGTGAACTTCCTGTCCATCAGCTTGTCCTCGCCTCCGACCCGAGTGAAAGTGTCACGGCCCACCATTCGGGACTCAAGGACGTAGGAGGTCACCTCTGCACCACCGTCGTATTTGGGTGGTCTCCAGGCAACAGAGATGGAGTCCTTGGTAACACCTGTGATAATCAGGTCCTCTGGACGCTCTGGGACGGCTGCAGGAGACAGAAATTAGTTTCAGAGCTTCAGTTTTTCTGTATTTAGAATTTCCCTGCTTTGGACTTACAGATTGGGTCTTTAATGAGGACCATCTTGTCGATCTCGATGAAAGGTCCCATTCCGATGATGTTCTCAGCTGCGATCCTGAAGAAGTAGCCCTTGCCTTCGATCAGTCCCTGCACCACAGCGTTGTTCCTCGTCACCGTGTAGGACACCGAGGTCCAGCCCATTCGGTCGGACTCTCGTTTCTCGATGATGTAGTTGGTGATGGCCGAGCCGCCGTCGTCTTCGGGGGAGTACCAGGTCAGTTTGCAGGAGTCGGTGGTCAGATTTTCACCAGCGAAGGGAAGACCGACAGGTCCAGGAACATCTTAGGGAAGAAGAGGGAAAAAGATAAACGATGAGGAACTGTCTTTAGAAAGATAAATGAAAAAATTTCTTCCTGAACTTTTCACTCACCGAGAACCTCAACGATGACGGCCTTCTTCCTCTCTCCTCCCTCGTTCTTGGCGCTCAGTGTGTACATGCCCTGATGCTGCCGTTTGCAGTTCTTGATGACCAGAGAGTTAGAGATGCCTGTTGTCTCCACCACGGCCTCTTTGGGCACCTCGGCGTCGTCACGGCACCAGGTGATCTGCGGGGCGGGTTTGCCTGACACGTAGGCGATGATGCGGATAGTGGCTCCGGCGTGGACCACAATCTTCTCCTTCACTGAGGCATCAAGGTCCATCTCAGGAGGAACTGGGGATGGAGATTGTTTTCAATTAAATGTGACCTATTATACTTCCTTGAACAGGTTAGGATAGGGCTTTAGGCCACACAAAACATGTTTATTATATTTATAGACAAGATATTTCTTAGATAGACATTTTAGGTGTTTTAGGGCCTCATATCTCTTTAAGACAAAATAAGCTGCTGCTGGCCAAAACAGCTCAGTTTCCAGACACCAAAAAACATTAACTTGCTACCAAAAATTTCTGTTTCTTTTGAAAGTGCTTGAATAATTTTTAGGAGCATACAAAAATGTGCAAAATGTGAATTTTACAAGATATTTCTCATTTAAAGTTCATATGTCCACACTTTAATGGCTGTTGATCGGCGCCTTACTTGTTCTGTCTTTGACTTCGATCAGCTCAGACACGAGACCTGGGTCTCCCACGCCAGCAGAGTTCACGGCTCGGACTCTGAACTGGTACAGCCCTCCTTCTTTCAGGTCGGTCACAACAAACTTAGTTCCTCTGATCTCTGTGTCCTTTGCCTGCAAAGACACAAACACATCAAGAGCTGCACTGAGAAAACATAAAATATTACCAGGTATTTTGGTGCAAATATCTTATTACTTGAAATAAGATAAAACAAGTAACTTTTTAGCAATATATAGGAGCTTGTTGAGAATCAATTATTACACATAAAACAATTACTTTTTCATCAATGTTAAGGAATTATTGACTTAAACAAGCTCCTATGTTGTGTTGAAGAGTTAATTATGTCTAAGTATATTTGCACTAGAAACTAAACCAAAAATACTTGGAAAGATTTGGTGTTTTTGCAGTTTGGACTTCAGAAGAGACTCTACCTTCGTCCAGCTCTCGTCGCTCTCAGGCTCCTTCTCTTCCTCGGCTTCGCTCAGCAGCAGCCTCCTCTTAGCTTTCTTCTCCTCTTCCTCCTTGTTTATCTCCTTCAACTCAACAATATAACCTGTCACCTTCGACCCTCCGTCTGTAGAGGGAGGGAGCCACTCCAGCTCCACCGTTGATTTAGTCCAGTCGATCACCTTCGGGTAAGGCGGCCCTGGAGGCTCTACATAAAGAAAATGTAAAGCTTCAGTTTGATGCAACATTATCAGGAGTAAAAACACTCATTAGCAGAAGTGAGAGCATTGAACAAACAAATAATCATCCATCCACAACACACGGCGCTAAACAGTAAAAAAATAATTTAACAAAGTCTTGAGGCAGATCATTTGGCAAGGAATTTGAATAATGAAAGTACAGCCTAATTTATTTAAAAATAAGCTAACAAAGTTGTTCTAAATTGCAGGAAGACCAGGATTATGGAGATCAGAGTAATATGATGACGTACTGATGGGGTCTCTGCAGAGTACAGGGTCAGAGGGCAAGCTAGGCAGGCCGCAGCCGGCGGCGTTGATGGCGATCACCCTGAACTGGTACAGGGAGCCCTCCAGCAGGCCTGTAACGTCCCAGTTGTTGCCCAGTGGGAGCGCACGGATTGGTTCCCGGGTGACACGGGTCCAGCGTTTGGAAGTGGTCTCCTTCTTCTCGACGAAGTAGCCGGTGATGGGGGATCCGCCGTCATATTTGGGCTCATCCCAGTTGACGGTCATGGACTCCAGACAGACTTCAGTAACTGTTGGTTTCTCACACTGACCGGGAACAGCTACAGGAGGACAGGTTGGTCATCAGTCATCAAGAATATTCACAGGAGCATCAAATGTGTTATATTTAAAACCTCTCTAAACTTACTGAAGAGGTTTCTGGCTTTCTCTGGCTCACTGATCACTCCTGGTCCGATTCCAAACTTGTTCTGGGCCATGACTCTGAACTCGTACTCGTGGTTCTCTGTAAGACGTGTCACCACGTAGGCGCACTCTTTCGGGTCGTTGGAGACGTGGACCCAGGTCTTTCTGTTGTCCTCACGCTTCTCAACCACATAGTTGGTGATCTTGGATCCACCATCGTCTGTGGGAGGGTTCCAGGCCAGGCCGATCCTCTCTGCAAACACCTCTGTGAACTTGATCGGTCCCACTGGTGGGCCAGGAGGTCCTGGAAGTCAGAAATAAAAATATATCATTTTTCCATTCAGTTAAATCATCTTAGTTAATGTTTAGCTAAAATGATTAATTTTCTCACCATTTTGCCCAATGAAAAACATTAAAAATGTGATAAAAATGTCATTAAGAGATAATTTTGTGAATATTTCGGTATCAGGAATTAGCCATGTTTTGCTTTATGTACAGAAATGATGCTAAAGATCTAATTCGCATATAAAAAGATTTTTAAATTGACTGTTTAATATTAGCCCAACAAAAAAGATTAAAAACAGTTCATAATATTTTAATGATAAAAATGTCAGTTTATCTTAAAAAGATGGTCATTTAGTTAAATTATGGGTAGCAGAAGCAGTTTTACAGAGAAAACCTTCCCATTTATGTTTAAACTTCACCTCCTGTGCTTTAAGTATTTATTTACACATTCAGAAGCAATGGCTGCAGGTTTAATTTATGTTCTGTTTAATACTATATGTTTGATAAGAGCTGACTTACAGATCGTTTTGTGAAAATGTGAAGAGCTTGTTTTGCGTTAGCATCGTTAGCAATGAAGCTAACGGTCTAATTAGCATATGAAATGACTAAATTACTAAAATGACTGTTTATCATTAGTAACAGGTAAGGATAACGCTTTGCATGCTTTATGGCACTAACAATTTTATTTGGTGCATTCATTTCACATGAAAAAGAGCTTTTATTTTCTGCTTATATTTTAGTTTCACTCATTGAGCTTTTCAAGCCATAATAATAAATAATTGAAAGCTGTCAAGAAGGACTTAAGTTTCCTGGTTCATGAAAACTTGATTTTGACTCGCTGCTTAATGGTGATAAAACAACACTGTGTATCCAACGCCTATATAACAGTAAACTCACCCAGCACTGCCAGCTTGATGTCCTTGGAGACAGTACCCAGGCTATTACTGGCCGTCAGGCTGTAGAGGGCGCTGTCGTTCCGGCTGGCCTGCTGGATCAACAGTGTGCACTTGTCTGGGGTCACCAGTTTGTTGATGTGCTGGTCATACTGGACAGCAGCCTTTTCCTCGGGTTTGGCCAGGCTGGCCTTGTGCCAGGTCAGCGTTGGGAAGGGACAGCCGCTGATCCTCGCCACGATGCTGACGTCGCAGCCCTCCTCGCCCTCCATGGCTTCACGCAGCTCAATGGTGGGAGGACCTGCAGAAAAACAACATAAGAAATTAACCATTGGCTAAATATAAAACCCAGATAGTTATAGACATGTTTCCAAGGAAAACAATAGGAAATGATTGAGGTAGTTGTCACTCACATGTCTGATCCTTGATGACCAGAGGTCCAACGGTGGCAGAAGGTCGGCTGGGTCCAGCTGCATTCACAGCTTTTACTCTGAATTCATATTCTCCTCCCTGCAGGTCAAGTTTGAGTTAATTTATTTAGGATGATTCATGACAGTGTCAAGAAACACAACAATATATTACTATGCAAATCACATAACAGAACACAGTACATGTAGTTCTATTAAAAGAAGCAAAGACGAAAAAACAGAAACATAAATCTAAAAACAAAATATAAGACACTCAATGTTAAGCAGTGGAAGACATTATCAAACAGTTCATGACTGGTTTGTCTTCAACCAATTTTTAGAGATTGCAGTTTTCACACTGATGTAAACTAATAGTCCATCCCATGAACATGCACCTCTGATAGATGCCTCCTTCTGGCTAAACTGTGTTTTGCACCTCAGTGTGTTTGTATCTTACTATCCCATTATCACCTAATGGTGGTGGGACAAGCTTTTTAAAAACCTTAAGAATAAGACAGACGTGTTGTATAACAGTACGTTATATGAGGGAAATAAATTACTGCATGCTTATAAATTCTAGCTCACTGTGTTTTGAGAAAAGATTGTACATAACAGAAGTTTCCTAAATTGAATTTGATGACGTTTGAAGAAAACTGGTCTCCACTGTATTGTATTGACGAACTACAATTGCTGAGTGTTGTATCTAAAGGCAAGAGGTAGTAAACTGACCTCCTTCAGATCCTCCACAATGAAGGTGAGCTCCTCCACATCCCTCTTGTTGCACTGCTTCCAGGTCTCCTTCTCCTTGCCGCTGGTATCCCAGCTCAGACGCTCAATGATGTAATGTTTTACAGGTGAGCCGCCGTTGTTCTTTGGAGGCTCCCAGCTCAGAGTGACGGTGTTCTTTGTGACTAGGTTTACCTTCAGCTTGGTTGGGGGGTCAGGTGGGTCTGAGGAGGTGTCAAAAGAACAATAAACTTTGTAGACACTATTCTGGAAATATAGTGTTGGATGTGTGCAGCTGGAAAAGTGGGATTGTCCTTACAGATGGGATCTCTGGCTCTGATGGGTTCGGTTGTCTCGGTAAAAGGACCAAATCCCAGTCTGTTTTCTGCTCGAACCCTGAACAGGTAATCCTGACCCTCAAGCAGGCCTGGAACCACAAAGGCCTGGCTAGCACAAGCGGCATTCACCTGGGAGTAAAACAAATAGGCCAAAGTTATCATTCAAGCACAGGAAACATGAAGATGACGAGGCAGAAAATCAACCCACTGCCTTTTTACCTTGGTCCAGGCCTTGTCAATCACAGACTTCTTCTCAATGAAGTAGCTCTTGATCCTCTCTCCTCCGTCAGTGTCAGGGAGCTTCCAGATCAGCCTCATGGTGGAGCGAGTTACATCTGTGACCTTCAGGTCCTTTGGAGGTCCAGGAACATCTTCAAACAAAACCAAAAGCAAAGTCAGACGTCCATAAACATAAAATGAACAATTTCTACAAACCATAAACTCAGGTTAATTCAGACAGAACGTTTCTGCTGATTAAAGGTCCATACCGACGACAATGACTCTGACGTTGACATGTTTCTGTCCAGACTTGTTCTTGGCTGTGATGATGTAACGTCCAGAATGGCTCCTCAAGCTCACAGGGATGTTCACGATTGACGTGGTGTCTGTGGACTCAACCTGGAAACAGTCATAAGCATTTTAATACAAACTCTTATAGGTCTGGATTTGATATGCTTCCTTTCTGAGCCTCGCACACCAAAGAACAATCAACTGTCCTTACCTGAGCCTCAACAGGGATTGTGTGCAGTTTATTCTTTTTCTCGCTCTTGGCTTTGCCTTCGTAGTCCCATGTAACCTTGGGAGCAGGCCGGCCCTTAATGGTTGCAGGAATCCTGATTGGATCTCCAGCACGAATGTTGACTAGCTCCTCAGCCATGACATCAATTGTAATGACAGGAGGAACTGTCATAAAGAGAATACATCAACAGAAGGTCAGAGACAAGTAAACTGGTATCTGTTTGCTGTTTTGACAGTTCGAGGTTCAACATACGTTGGACATCCTCTATCAGAACTTCGCTGGTGCGCGGGCTGGGGTCAGACTCGCCGATGTCGTTGACAGCAATGATCCTGAAGCGGTAGCGTTTCAACTCACGGAGACTGGGCACGGTGAACTCTGTGGTGGGGTGCAGGCTGTCAATGTCGTTGATCTTGTGCCACTCTGACGAGCCTTCATCCTGAATCTGGATAATGTAGCCCTTAATGGGGCTTCCTCCGTCATTCTCCGGTGGCTTCCAGGACAGCGTGACGCTGTGCTTCGTCTTGTCAGCAACCTCAGGAGCAGCGGGCATGCTTGGAGGAGCTGGGAGATGAGAAGAAGTTTGGATTTTTGAATAAACATTTATTTATTAGCTTCGGAAAATGTTCCTGGTGTGATGAACTCACTGATTGGATCAACTGCAAAGGCAGAGTCAGACGGCCCACTGAATGGTCCAGTTCCAGCTGAATTGGAGGCAGCAACCCTGAACTCGTACTCAGTTCCTTCAAACAGTCGAGTCACCTGATTGAAATAGTAATGAATGTGTTTAGTGTTTTTGAAGTTTCATCTATTAAAGTGACCACAATAAAATACCTTTAAGCAACAAACCAACCCCAGGAAGCTCACCTGATACTCCCAACCTTTCGTGCCTCTTTTAGTGACCGGCACCTTGTTAACTTTGGCCCAATAGTCCGTTCCTTTCTCTCTTTTCTCCAGCCAGTAGCCAGTGATCATTGAGCCTCCAGTCTCTCTAGGAGGCTCCCATGTTAGTGTCATGGAGGTCTTGGAGTATTCTGCAATAGTTGGTTTCTGTGGTGGGCCAGGAAGACCAAATGGATCTGTGATAAGGACTTCCTCCGTTGTACACGGGTCAGATATGCCGTACTTGTTTTCGGCTCTGACTTGGAACAGATAGGTCTTGTTGGTCTCCAACTCCCACACCTATAAAAGGAAGAGCGTTAGCCCTCCACTTACAGTCACAAGCGCTTATCATTAATGCTTTTGTTGTGACATACCCCTAATTTCCTTTCAATTACGGCATTGTTGACCACTTCCCACTGCGGCTCAGGTGGAGCCTCTTCTCCCTCTTCTGGCTCAGGCTGGTCTTTACGCACTTCCTTCCTCTGAATAATGTAGTTGGTCAGCTCGCTTCCACCATTATCAACTGGTGGGTCCCAGTTTAAGTAGCAAGACTCGGCCCTGATGTTTGACACAGCCAGATTCCTGGGTGGTGTTGGTCGGTCTGAGGAGAAAACAAGCAGAAAGTCAAAACACTAATCTTAATTAACTTTTTAATTTCTTTAGCAGCATGTTCCCCGCATGTTGCCCACTCACCAAGCACCATGACATAGACGGTGTGTTTGGCGGAGCCCATGTTGTTGGATGCTGACACAGTGTAGCTGCCGCGGTCCCTCCTGTTGGCAGCTGGGATGGATAGTTTGGTCTTGGCATTCAACCTTCCAGTCACCTCTGTTTCCAGAAGCAGTGTCTCTGTCGGCTTGTCGATCAGCACGTCGTCCTTGGACCACTCGATGTTTGGGATGGGGAGTCCAATGATTTCGGCAGGAATTTCAATAGGCTCACCCTTCTTCACAGTAATGCAGTCAGCAGTAAAATGCTTCAGCATGTGGACCTCAGGACCAACTGACAGATTGGGAGAGACACCAAAATTCAGGACATGAGGAAAAACATTACCAGCATACCTACCGGTTTGACTTTGCTTATATAAATATTTCTATGAATACAATGGTGCAATGGAAGTTTTAACGAAATGTGGTCTCACCTTCATCATCTTGAATTACTACAGTCAGTGGAATGGACGGCTCACTCTCTCCAATGAGATTTGCACACTTGATTCTGAACTCATACATCCAAGCCTCCTCCAGGCCTTCAACAGTGAGAGTCATATTGGGGCAGATCTCTGTGTTGCAGGGCTCAAAGGCCTGTTGGTCCTGCCTCTTCTTCTCTACAAAGTACCCTATAATTGGGCTGCCACCATCACTGCGCGGTGGCTTCCAGGCCAGAGTGATGGAGTTTTTGGTCCTCTCTGTGTAGTGGAACTTCTCAGGGTATGATGGTGGACCTGCACGGTCATCAAACCCAGTTATGTTTCAGTTAAAAACTCAACTCTGAATTCTTTCTGTCCTGGCGATAAAAAGCTTTTGAACTTACCCTGTGGATCCACAGCTTTGATGGGTCCCAGCTCAACAGGAACACCCAAACCGTACTTGTTCTTGGCGGTGACACGGAAGAAGTACTCCTGTCCCTCCATGATTCCTACACACTCGCACTTGGACGAAGGAGTTTCAACAGGCTGCCTCCATGTGTGCATCTTAGCATCCCTTCGTTCCACAAGAAAGCCTGTCAGATCGCTGCCTCCGTCATCTTCTGGGTCATCCCAGTTCAGGAAAATCATCTTACGAGTAACAACGACTGGCTTCAAGTCCTTGACAGGACCAGGGACATCTAAAACATTAAATAAAACAAGGCATTAATGTAAAAGTACTGGTAATAATATTATGTTCTTGCAGGTTTGCTGGACTTTTAGTTACCCATCACTTCCACTCTGGTTGATGCAGACTTGGAGCCACTGGGGTTGCAGGCAGAGATCTGGTATTTTCCACAGTCTTGCCTCTGGACATTCTTGATTGAGACAACACTGTCGTTGCCCTCACTAAGGATCTCCACACGGTCTTTATCTGGTTTGCCATCATCCTTTGTCCAGGTGATGGATGGATAGGGTTTACCAGTGACTGTAGCAGGAACACGCAGCGTCTCTCCAGCTCTGATGATGATACCATTCTTGATGGCAAGGTCCATGTCAATTACTGGGACCTCTGTGGAGTGCAACAAGGAAAGGTTAGAATGCTGAAAATACAAATGGTCCAAAAGTAACTAGAAGTTCTCGTTTTAGGCAGACCTGCTGGGTTCCGGACAAAAACAGCGTCTGTGAAACCAGGGGTTCCTTCTCCTGCAGCATTGCAGGCGATGACTCTGACTGTGTACTTCGCTCCCTCACGAACTCCATAGACAGTGAAGTTACGTTGCTTCCAGGCACGTTCTGTTGATCTAGACCAGTCCTTGGTACCAGCCATTGCCTGAGGAACAGACAACCAGTCTAGTCTCAGTTGGGGGTTTTCAGATGATTTACCAGAAAACATGGTATATTCCTGAGCAAAACCATAAACTAAATCTTCTGACCTTATCCACATGGTATCCCAGAATCTCTCCTCCACCATTGTCGGCAGGAGGATCCCACTCTACTTCGATGGAGTGGTCAGTGGTTGCCACCACTCTGGCAATGGGAGGTCCAGGTGGCACTACAAGGTTAGAAGAAATGCCATAAGTTGATTAAAATATCATCTGACTAGCATCTTCTGCTGTGAAGATTTAGATTAGTTTACATACAGATTGGAGCCTGTGCTGTTTTAGGCTCAGAGGGAGGACTGAACTTTCCAGGGCCGGCCTGGTTTTCAGCCGCCACCCTGAAGATGTAAGTGAGTCCCTCCAGGAGACCTTCAACGTTCAGCTCCGTGTCTGGGACGATGTCCCTGGAGATCAGCACAGCAGGAAGGATTGTTTTCATGAGCTTGGAGACGTGCCTCTGTTTGAAATGAGAATCAGATTTCCTCACCTGTTGACACGTGCCCAGTGGGAGCTGTTGATCTCCCTGCGCTCCACCCAGTATCCCAGAATGGGGCTGCCATTGTCCTTTGGTACCTCCCAAGTGACCAGCATGCTGTTGGCTGTGACGTCGTCAATCTGTGGCTTATCTGGAGCCTCAGGAGGTTCTGAGGAAAATTAAATAGAATGTCTTAGTTTTTTTCTACTACTTGTACAGACAAAGCTACTGATAATATTCCCTTATATGTGCATACCGAAAGGATTCTTGGCGATGAGAGGTTTGGAGACGCAGGGTGGACCAGGGCCAAACTTGTTTTCAGCTATGACCCTGAATATATACTCCTTCTTCTCGATGAGTTTGGGCACCAGGTAGCGGCAGCCTCTCAGTGTGCTGGTAACACAACTCCAGCCGAACTCCAGCTTGGAGTTGTCCTTCTTCTCCAGGGTGTAGTTGAGGATCTCACTGCCGCCGTCATCCAGAGGAGGATCCCACTTGCAAATGACTGAGTTCTTCCTCACTTCCTCAAATCTAAAGTTCACAGGAGGACCAGGAGTATCTGCAAGCACAATAGATAAGCTCTTATAGTGTGACCACTCAACTGACTGTCCAAATGTGCGATAACATCAGTGTTCCCTTACCGAGTACGTTGACCTCGCAGGTTGCTGAGGCAATGCCGTGGTCGTTCTCCACCTTCACCATGTAGACCCCATGATCTGGGCGGACTGACTCATTAATGACGATGGAGGACACGCCCCTGTGGCTGTTATTGATGGTCAGGCGTTCATTTATGGTGGGATAGTCAGGCTCCTCCACCACTGGCTCAGCAGCTTCTTCCTCTGGCTTCTTCTCCTCTCCTTCTTTCTTTTCTTCTCCCTCCTTCTCCTCTTTAGTCTCCGCTTCTCCCTCTGGCTTTTTCTCCTCTTCCTTCTTCTCCTCTCCCTCTTTCTTCTCCTCTCCCTCTTTCTTCTCCTCTCCCTCTTTCTTCTCCTCTCCCTCTTTCTTCTCTGGCTTCTTCTTCAGGGGTTTCTCAGGTCTCTTGCGGAGCGGTTCAGGCTGGATCACCTGGTTGTTCCAGTACCAGGTGATCTGAGGGTACGGCGAGCCGGAAATATTGGCGTCCAGGCAGATCTCGCAGCCTCGCTTCACGCTGAGGCCGGACTGCAGGCTACCACTGAGGAAAACCTTTGGAGGATCTGAAACACAAAGTAAAATTAACTTAAACTTGGCTCTAAAACCCAACAGTGGAACGACAGAAGAGGAAAGTGGTACTCAGCAGAACATTGTTGATTTTTTTCCTTCTCCTTACCAACAGCATCAGAGGCTTTAACGAACAATGTGTTGCGTGACGGATCACTGATGCCAGCAGCGTTTTCAGCTTTGACTCTGAACATGTAGTTCTTGCCCTCTGTTAGTCCTCTGACTGTGTAGGACAGGACAGGAACCAGGAAGTCATTGCACCTCTCCCACTTGTCCTCGCCCTTCTGCTGCCTCTCCAGAATGTAGCCCATAATTTTGGCGCCGCCATCATACATAGGAGGCTTCCAGGTCAGGGTTATAGTGCTGGAAGTGGGGTTGTGGGTTTCCACATCCACTGGCGCGTCAGGAGCATCTGGGTCAAGTTAAATTATTAACAGGACATTATTTTGACCACGAAATAGGGAACAAAGTTGTAATATTACCAAAATAAAGTCATAGTTACTAAAATAAAGTGGTAGTATTACCAAAATAGTCAAAATAATAGAAGAACAAAGTTCTAAAAATATGAGAACAAAGCCTATGACAAAATCGCAATAAAACAAGAATAAAGTTCTAATATTACAAGAACAAAGGCATAAAAATACAAGAATTAATTTCTATTATTACAAAACTGACACCATAGTGTAACAAGAATAAAGTCGTAAAAATACGAGAATACACATAAAATAAGATTAAAGTTGTAATATCAGAATAAAGTAATCAAAATTAAGATAATGAAGTAGTAATTTTATTAGAACAGTCAACTTTTTTTCTTGTAATATGCAAGAAATTAAAGTTATCATTTTATTTTCATAAAACTATGACTTTATTGTGCAATTAAATAGTTTTTCTCTTTGCTTGGCCGTAATTCTCCGTTGCATCAGCTAGCATCAGCTAGCATTATTTCAATACACAAAAACCATGAGCAGATTGAGACATACAGCCTACAATAAGTCAATTTTCATGAATAGTATCACAAAGTAAACTATTTTTTATACGTTTTTGGTCCTCTGCAATGACAGGGTTGCGCAGTTCGATGAACTCTCCTCCTCCAATCTTGTTGACGGCCTGGACTCTGAAGTAGTACTCTCCGTTGGGGATGAGGTCTTTCACCATCCAGCTCACCTTGTTCTCTCCAGACATCATGTTGACGTAGGTCCTCCGACCAGCCTCACGCCGCTACAGCCACATGAGCACCATCAGTTTGAGGTATTAAAACTATCAGAAACTTTTTTATTTTAAAGCTGAAAATGAAACGGACCTGAAGGACGTAGTGAAGAATCGGGCTGCCGCCGTCATAGTCTGGAGGATCCCAGGAAACTTTACATGAGCTCTTTGTGATTTCTGATGCAACAATCTCTTTGCAGGGACCAGGAAGACCTGAAGACACAGAGACATGTTGAAGAACTGTTTGTAAGCATTAGAGATGAATGTGTTTTAATGACAGATAAATGGAATGCATGTGATTACCGATCACTTTCACGTTAATGGTTGCACTGGCACTTCCCAGTTTGTTCTCCAGAGTCACTTTATAAACTCCAGCGTCGGGGTGAAGGCTGCTGTCAATCTCCAGGTGACAGGAAGTGTACTCCTTCCTGCTCCGACAAACAAATCAGCCAGAAACAATCAGAATGAGGAGTTATATACATTTCTTTGTGTTTAATCTTTAAGCTCTCAGTCAGGGTTCACACATTTTCCCACGATAAAATTCAAACATTTTTCAAGCATTTTCATTTTCAAACGTTTCCAGCACCACACTTTGGAGATAAAAAGTCATTAAGCTATTAGGAGTAATAAATATTCATTACATTGAAACAATCCAAACAAATGTTAAAGTAAATTATTTTGCTGCTCAAATGAAATGCCTAAACATGATAAAAAAAGTTATAAAATAATCTCTAAATAAATTTTCTCACAAAGTTTTCTGGAATTTAGCGAATGGAAATAATTTAGGTAAATCTAACTAACTTAAAATACGAAAGGTTTAGTCAGATTTAACTTCACAGTGAGAAAAGAGGTGTATTTTTATTAGGTGTTTGAAAATATCTGGTTTCAACTGCACATAATATTTTCAAAATTTAGGCTTTTAATCAAGTGCTAAATTGCACTTTATTACAAAACTGTGCAATTTGAATATCAAGAACTTTCAAGGACTTTATACCTTGAAAACACCTTACTGGACCTCAAGCATTTTCAAGGATTTCAAGCACCAGTACAGACCCTGCTGGTCTGTTGGTTGTGCCTGGACCTTAAACTGTTAGTCGTTGTTCTGACCTGAACAGGAGACGCTCATCAGCCTTCAGCTCCTTGCCGTCTTTGTGCCAGGTGATTTTGGGAGACGGGACGGCTCTGAAGGGAACTGGGATGTGGAGCTTCTCTGTTTCCACCACAACGAGGTCCAGAGTCTGGAACTCCAGTGTTGGGTTACCTGGGACCACGACGAAGAGGAGGATGTTTAATCATGCTTTGGGAGTTTCTATGTTTGCTTAGGAAACAGATGTGGTGTGCTTACAGTCAGAGTCTTTGGCAAAGACATTTTCTGAGATGTCGGAGGGCTCACTCTCTCCTACAGAATTGATGGCCCTCACTCTCAGTATGTACTCCTTCTCAGGGATGATGCCCTCCTCCACTCGGTACTTCAGCTCCTTCACTGGACGGGAGTTGACCCTCATCCACTTCTCGGTTCCGGCCTCGCACATCTCGATGTGATAGCCGCGGATCTGGGAGCCGCCGTCCTGCTGCGGAGGCTTCCAGGCGATGGACAGGAAGTCCCTGCTGGCTCCGGTTACATGCAGCTCGATGGGAGGAGATGGGATTCCTGAAGATAACAAGAAACAGGCTCAGAGCTCAGAACTGAACCTTCAGAGACACATAAAGACAGTTACAAAGTCGGCCTTCTATCACCTGAAGAACATTTCCACGATTAAAGAACTGATGTCCCAGCAAAATGTAGAGAAACTCATCCATGCATTTATCTTCAGTCGCATTGACAAATTGATCAACATATTTGTATATCGATGATTTTGATGATGGCCCGTGACAAAATGTAACCCCTGTTACTTGTTTCTCAACCGGTGACTGTATGATGTTTCTATGATATAAAGCACTCTGAGCTGCCTTATTGCTAAAATGTGCTATAGAAATAAATTTGATTGATTGATTGTGGACTCCAACACATTGGACTCAGGCTGACCTGTTGGATCTTCAATGGTCAGGATCTCGGTAGGTTCACATGGGTGTCCGGCTCCGGCCTCATTCTCAGCCCGGACCTGGAACTGGACTTCTGTTCCCTCAATAACATCCGTTACCCGGTATTTACAGTCTGGACCAGAAGTCTTTCCACATTTCACCCAGCGAGTTCCAAGCTTCTCCTTCTTCTCAATAGAATACCTGGATGGAGCAAATGCCAGAAGATGAACATAATGGGAACAGCATTGAACAGCACTACAGCCTGAATGAGGGCGAGTGAAGAAATATCACCTGAGTATGGGTCTACCACCGTCGTTTTTAGGTGCCTCCCACTCCAGGTCCACATACTTTTTGGTCACGGAGTAGACAGTGAGTGCATAGGGTGGCCCAGGAGTAGCTGCAGCACAAACATGTTTTATTTTCAACCACACAAGATATTTTATGTAGCTATGCTTCCATTACAAAAGCGTGCAAAATTTTGTTGATATTCCGCTAATGTAAAAAAAATACAAAATTTTGAAATTGCAGTATTTCCAAATAATAATAAATATATCAAAAGAGTTTCCAATGGAATTGTTTCCTGATCTGCCACTTACTGAAAGTGTCCTTGGCCAACACGGAGTCCTCCAGCTCGCAGAACGGGCTGACACCCACGGCGTTCTCTGCGGCGACTCTGAACACGTACAGCGCTCCGTCGTTGAGCGGCGCCACGGTGGTCTTCAGCTCCTTCACGGTGGTGTCCACGGCCTGCCAGCCTTTACGCCTGACGTCGCGCTTCTCCACGACGTAGTTGGTGATGCGAGATCCTCCGTCACGCTCCGGAGCCGTCCACTTCAAGTCAGCGCTGCTCCGGCTGATACTCACCACCTCCAACCATCGAGGAGCCGATGGAGGATCTGAGGAGGATGAAACAGAAACGTCTTCAGTTTTATTTACTCAGATGATTATCTACAACGCTGTTTCTATAGATCCATCTTCAAGTTGGGGTTATGATGTTATTCTTACTTAATACTGTAGAACGTACAAATTAACAACACAAAGCCACAAATTGAAATTGTAAAATGATTAGTCCTAGGATCTAAATTATATCTACTTTATTTAAATGATATTTTTACAGCATCCCGTTTTTTTAAATGTGTAACATTTAAAAACAATACCAATTTTTTTTATGAATACGGACGAACTAATACAAACAGCAGGCAAAGAGCTAAGCTGAGTTAAAAAACAAACAGTGGTTTTATTATAAGTTTACTAAATTTATAGTATTTTCTGATAAACAGATATACAATAATGTAAAGGTACATATAAATGAAGTTGAAATCGATTGTGTTTATGAGAAATATTTTGGGATCATTCTAGAAAACAAACTTAGATGAAAGCCTCATATTGAATATATTAGAAAGAAAATTGCAAAAACTATTGGAATATGGTTGAAAATAAAAGATTTAACAAATGTAAACGGCTGACGTGTTAAATACTCTGAGTCTATGAATAGGGTAGGTAAGTAAAAGCCTCGGCTTCAGTTTGTAAGTTATTAGTTTGTAATGTAGCATTTTGTTTTGTTTTTTGTAAGTTGTTAATTTACCAAACTAAAATAAAATGAATCTGAATGTTTGGAAATGCCCTTGTATTATCTGGGATTATCTGGTATCTCCTGAACATTTTGCTCCTTACATTAACTTAGACAAAGGTATTTGCTCTTTCTGAGTGTTAGTTTTTCTTACTCAGCCTCTCCTTGCACAGCACCGGGTCGCTGGGCTCGCTGGGTTCGCTCTCCCCGGCCACGTTAATGGCTCTCACTCTGAACGAATACTCCTGCTTCTCCATCAGGCCCTTCAGGAAGAACTCCAGGAGGCTGATGTTCTCTGCCACACGGATCCAGTCCGTGGTTCCGCTCTTCAACATCTCGATGACGTAGCTGTCGATCTTGGCCCCGCCGTCGTGCTCGGGTTTGGTCCAAGTCAGGAAGCAGGAAGTCTTGGCTACATCCTTCACTGTGGGTTTACCAGGAGGCCAAGGAGGATCTGGAAAAAGAGCCAACATGAAGGATTTAATTTACTTTATAACTTTAAATGATACAACAACCTGTTTCAGATTAAAAACATGTGGTACCAATAGGGTCTTTGATAAGGATTGGATCTGTCTCTTTGCTGGGTTTTCCAGTTCCAGCCAGATTTTCAGCCAGGACTCTGAACTTGTACTTCTTCCTTGTGGGAAGACCTTTCACTCTGCAGGAAAACAGGACGTCGTCAGTAAAATCCCCACCAAAGACGCTCCTGACCAAACACTGAGCTGGCCTGACCTGTAGTTGGTGTCTTTGATGGGCAGCTTGTTGCATCGTATCCACTTGTCATGGTCCGGTTCGTATCTCTCCACCCAGTAGCCTGTGATGGGGCTGCCTCCATCCTCATCCGGCTCGTACCAGTTCAGGGTCACGGCGTCTTTGGCGATGTCTGAAGGCTCCAGTTTGTAGGGAGCTCCAGGGGTGTCTGGGCCAAACAACAGAATCATATTAGACCTCGCAGAACTTTAGCAGAGCTTTCAATTAACTTAAAGGTAACCCACTATGTTTCCATGAACAGATTAGGATAGATCTATGGGCTAAACAAAACATGTTAATTGCACGTTTTGGACAAAATCATTCTTGAGATTTTAGTCTGGTCAGTTCTGCTTATTTTGAGCTCCTTTCAGACTGAGCAGCTTTTGGGCTTCTGTCACTTTTAATCCAAATGCTGACCATGCCCCTCAACTCAACGTTTACATTCATATGTGAAAATGGCTGCAAACAGATGTACGACTATACAACTGTACATCTTAGAAAAGCAGAAGTGGAGCCTCCTGCACAATCACCAAGAATGCAGCAGTGGTAAGTCAACAACAAAACCCTTGTATTTTCCAGCAGCCATTGTACAGCACATAACAGCGGTAAAACCAGCTGACCAAAAGGTCTGGAGCTCATTTTGGGTTGCTAGGTGACGGGCGGAACTCTGCTGGGGTTGTTAGGTAACGAGCTGGGTTAGGAAAGTAAGGGTTACAATGTTACAATCCTGATGATTTGTAACTTACATTCAGAAGGTTTATGAAACGGCTCATTTTATGAAACTTATTGCTAAAAAACGTCTTTTTTAAGCACTTTTGCTGTTTTTAGAAGCAGTATAGACCCAAATAAAAGTACAAAAATGTGCAAAATGTGGATTTTTAAGAATGTTTGCAGGGTCTAACTTAGCTGAAGAAACTTTGTGAAAATGTATTGTTTTTATTTATAAGGTCTAACTGCTTGATGTCGGAGTCGGATCACCTACCAAACGGATATCTGGCGATGATGGGCAGGTGTTCAGCTGGCGGACCGACACCGAACTGGTTCTCAGCAAAGGTTCTGAAGATGTACTCCTTGAACTTGACCAGGCCGACTGCCTTGTATGTGGTCTGTTTGACGGTGGAGGACAGCCGGTGCCAGATCTCGCTGTCGGCAGCTCGGCGCTCCACGATGTAGTTGGTAACTCTGGAGCCGCCGTCGTCGCGTGGCGGGTTCCAGGCCAGGAGGCAGGTTTCGTTGGTGATCTCAGAAATGTCGAAGGCAGCAGGAGGACCAGGTTTGTCTGTTTTACATCAGAAATACTGATTTAATTACAACTTAAACTGAGATAGACATTGTATTTCAGGGTTGCCAGCTCTTCTCACCAAGGATGTTGACATCCACAGTGGCGGTGGCGCGGCCGCTGCTGTTGGTCGCCTCGATGATGTAGGTGGAGCTGTCGTCTCTCTTGGTCTTAGCAATGGTGACGGTGGAGTGTCCCGGCTTGGTGTCGATGGACACCCTGTCGTCTGGCTTCAGAACCAGGTCGGCCTTGGTCCACTTCACTCGGGGCTCAGGCTTTCCCTTCACTTCGGCTGGGAGTTCGATCTTGCTGCCAGCCTTGGCCGTCAGACCGGCCAGAAGCTTGGCATCAAGCTGGATCTCAGGAGCCTCTGAGGATGGAATAACGGTAAAAACTCATCAGAAACTTTTCATTATATCTTAAGCATTTTGATTTTTTCTTAGACTGTGTGTCACTGGGCCTGTCACAATAAATTTTGGTTGATAAATCTGTCCAAGAAATTATTGTAATAAATTATAATATTGTCATTTTTGAGACCATTTTCCACTGATCCTTTATTGTTTTTAGAAAAAGTAACCTTTATAAACAGTGGCTTTTCAATGATAAGTGGAGCATCTATTTAATGATTGTTGTCCAACTGGAAATTATTGAGCTTATTTTAATCTATCATGCAATTTACAGTCCTTTGTTTCACAGAAATAATGGACGCATAAACACAAATAATGCTCTGGAAAAACATTCCTATTTCTATCAGCTTCTCTAGGATTCACAAAACAAAGTGTGATTTATGTCATTAAACTGCAAATTGCAACTGCATTTTAATATATTTGCTAGATATTTATTACTGCTTTTATTGAACAAATTGGAATTCATCATGACAAAGTTACCATGATAAGAAATTTATCGCGATAAATGATAATACAGTAAATGCCACCCTGCACTGATCTCTATCGAGGAGACAGTCCATGTTTTTACCTATCGGATCAACGGCCTGGATTTCGTCTGTGGGCTTGCAGGGCCGGCTGGCTCCGAGTCGGTTCAGAGCTCGGACTCTGTAGGCGTACCACTCGCCCTCGATCAGACCGGTCACCTGGCACTTCAGCTCCGGCACCATGTCTCCGCAGGGCTCCCACTTGTCTGTGCCTCTCTGGCAGCGCTCCACGTTGTAGCCTCGGATGCCGGTGCCACCGTCGTACTTTGGCGGCTCCCAGATGAGGAAGATGCCACTGGCTGACTTGTCTCTCCACTTCAGGTTCTCTGGTGGGTCTGGCACAGCTGGAGAGAGGGAAAAGTGTATGAGTTAGAAAGTTAGAAGATGATCAAAAGGCTTGGAGATGTGGATCGAAATAGTCGATGTATATTTGTGTAATAATTTTGATAATAGTATTTGACTACATGCCATGCTTATTGGTTGTTTTATTTTTGGTGAGTATGATGTCTTTATGATGTAAAGTACTTGCTGATATGTGCTATGCAAATAAAGTTGACTTGTTTTTCTAAGATGTAGATATTAGCCAAAATAGCATCTAAAAGATTATTCATGTCTTTAAAGGTTTAAATGTTAATTGTGCAGTTAGTCTGACTTACTGGCTGGGGAAGAGACGTTGACGGGCTCATCGATGTAGGCCGGCTCTCCTGGGCCGCACTTGTTGCAGGCGGTGACTCTGAACAGATACTCCTTCCCTTCAACCACGTCGGTGACGGTGAACTCCAGATCCTGGATCCCTGTTACAACCTGAAACAGTTTGATTCTGTTACCAGCAAGGCCACAGATCATCTCACTTCTGATTTATTCCTTATCCCGGTTACATGACGATGATTAAGTCCAGACACTGTTGCCTTACCTTCACCCAGGTCTTGCGGGACACGTCCCGTTTTTCCACCTGATAGCCGGTTAGAGGACTTCCTCCATCGTGTTCTGGAGCCTCCCAGCTAAGATGGACGTGCTGCCGGGTCACCTCTAGGACCTTGAAGTCCTTAGGTGCGCTGGGTGCAGCTGGAAACAAAACCATGAGTTAAAGCAACGATTAAAATCCATTTTCCCCCCAGATTTGCAGTATTTTTCCGTACCGATGACGTTGACTTCGATATCTCCAGACACAGAGGTGACGTCGTTCTCCAGGTGGAGGGTGTAGATGCCTTTGTCTGGCCGGACGCTCGGCGTGATCATAAGCTCTGTGAAAGTGGACTTGGTCATCAGGGAGACGCGTTCGTCTGCGGTCGTCACCTCCTTCTCTCCGAAGGTCCACTTGGCGACGGGGGTTGGGTATCCGGCGATGGGAACTCTGATGGTGAGAGGCTGAGGGACGATCACTTCCAGGCCGTCTTTGAAAGCACTCAGGTCAAAGGACGGAGCAACTGGGGAGGCATGATGAGAACAAAGACCTTATTTTAACACCTCATTGTCTCTTACATTAGTGAAAAACTAATTTTTTAATTTTTTGGAGTCACTGCTAATTCGACAAATGTCACGACTCACAATGTGGGTCGTCTGCCAGCAGAGGTCCGATGACGTTTGACGGTTCAGAAACTCCAGCAGCATTTTCAGCAAACACTCTGTAGTTGTACTTGGTTCCATATTTCAGGCCAGACACCTGAAAAACATACAAAGATGTTAGAACTTGAACAGAAATCTGTGATCCTCAGCAAGAGGAATATAGATTTAAAGCAGCAAGAGGTCTTAAGAAACTTTAACTGCTTTCAAGTTGTAGCGCTGCCATACGTATGAGGGGCATTGTAGATAGAAAAAAAGGAATACATTTTGTTAAAGAATTCTGAAATTTTGGGATTCATCTCAGAAATTTTCTAGAAAAAACTTGAAAAAGTCAAAAATTCAAATTTGAATTTGAAAGGGTAAAAATTTACAACTTTTTGAAATTTTTTGAATTTGAAAGGTCAAACATTTCTGATGTCCTTTTCTTTGATGTTGAAACATATAAAGAATGTGATATATAACACAAAATATGGTGAATTTGATGAAATAAGGTGTTTGGTATATCTCTACCAAGATGCAAATTAAAAACTTTAAAATGGAGGAAGGTGTTACTTTTGATTCATTCAAAAAATGGGACAAGTAATTATTTGAGCTACAAATCACCGATTAGATCCAGTCAACTGAAAACTGGTTGACAACAATCTGACTGACTGACTTCTAGTTAGAACGACGTGTTACAGACAGAAAACGGGCCATCTGGGTGTCTGGGTGTCTGTCATCCTGCACCTTGTAGAAGAGGTCTGGGCAAAGGCGGGCGTTGCAGCGGAGCCACTTGTCGGTTCCCTCCTCGCAGCGTTCGATGATGTAGCCGGTGATGATGCTGCCGCCGTTTTTCAGCGGCGTCTCCCAGGTGAGCTGCACTGAGTTCTTGTTCTGGTCCTGCCAGGTCAGGTTCTGAGGTGGACTGGGACGTTCTGCAGAGAGGGAAAAAAAATAACTTCAGACTGAGACTGGGATGATAATTTTGTAGTAAACATAATTTACTCTCCAGTCCTCACCGATTGGATCCATGATCTTAACAGGTCGCGACGCGGCGCTGGGTTTGCCCTCGCCAGCTTTGTTCTCAGCTTTGACTCTGAAGATGTACTCCTTGTTCTCAATGACGTCATTGATGATGGCGCTGAGCTCGCCGGCTTTCGCCACCTGGACAGGCGACCACTTCACCGACGTCCTGTCGCGCAGCTCCACGATGTAGGAGGTGATGGGAGAGCCGCCGTCTGACACTGGAGGGTCCCAGGAGACGGTGCAGCCGAACTTGGTGACGTTTCCAACGTCAACGTTCAGAGGAGGTTCAGGAACGTCTGAAACCAGGAAATGAAATATGGAATGTTTCATATTCCAGCTACCGAAAACATGTTATTGCCAAAAAAATAAAAAATAGCTATGTTGATTTAAAAAGCAGTGGAAACCCAAATGGAAGCATAAAAAACGTGCAAAATGTGTAATTAAATTGTTAATCATCAACAGGAGCAGAAGAATGTATTCAAAGTTAACCCTACCAAACTTGTTCTTTGCTTGCACAGCCTCGTCCGTCTCAACGAAGGGTCCGTTGCCGACCCTGTTTCGGGCGCTGACTCTGAAGAAGTAGAAGGAGTCCTTCTGCAGCCCCGTCACTGTGTATTCAGGGCTCTCTGAGTGGTCGGTGGCCAGAGTCCAGGTCTTACGCTTCACATCGCGCCTCTCAACCACATAGCTGACCACTTTGCTGCCGCCGTCGTTCTCAGGCTCCTCCCACGCCAGGCTGACCTCGCCGTCCGCGGTGTCGACCACCTGAAGGTTCTTCACAGGTCCAGGAACATCTGGAAAGAAGATTCACAACATTTGAAGATGTTACAAACATTATAAACAGCTTGTGCTAACCATATGTTTGGAAAATTATGAACTGGAACTGCCACTCCAACATGTAACCATCTCCAGTTGACTTTAGTCGACATATTTTCTCCACAGGAAGCTCACCGATGACGTCCAGGTTGATGAAAGCTTCTCCCTGTCCGTGTTTGTTCTTGATGACGATCTTGTAGCGGCCTTGGTCTGACTTCTTCGGGTCCTTCAGCCGGTACTCGGTGCGCTCGGCGGAGGTGTAGATGTTGTCTTTGGGCAGACTCTGGTTGTCGTACAGCCACTCGGCCTCGGCCTGAGGGTAGGCGCTGTACGGGACGGCCAAGACGATGGGCTTCCCGGCGTCTGTGACGTAGCTCTGATCGGTGGTCTTTATCTGAGGAACAGCTGGAGGAGGATAAAGGTTAAAAAACTGAACATCTTTTTCTCTTTTCAATGAAGCCACTAGCAACTGCTGAAAGACCAGCTCCTGCACACTGTGGAAGGATTTATAAATGTAGAAATATTTAAAGTTCAGCAGACTGGCGCTAACGTAAAGGTTGTTCATCAATCTTTCTCCAGTGAACTGGACGCTCACCTGCCAGCTCCAGCTTGGCCTTGGCGTCCTTGTCCTTGACGATGACCCTGTACAGTCCCTGGTCTCTGGGTCGGATCTCGCAGACCTGCAGCCGGTGCAGCTTCCCCTCGCTCATCATCTGGAACTTGTCTCCCTGGACGACGGTCATGTTGTTGCGCAGCCATTTCACCTCCACCCGGTCCTTGTTGAGCTCCACCTCAAACACGATGTCCGAGCCCGGAGGCTCAAACACGTCCTGCGGAGGTCTGATGATCTCCACTGGAATCTCTGTGGGAAACACAATCAGTCATGAAGATTAGTACCAAGTATTACCACGTAGTTTTTGTCTAGTTTCCAGTGCAAACATCTAAGTACACTTGAAATAAAACAAAACCAGCCTAGAAGTACCTTTCAACCAGACATAGGAGCTTATATTTGTTTCACATGTAGATTATTTCACTTATAACATGGGAAAATATTTTGTTATAAGTGCAATAACCTGCCAGAGAAACTAGTATTTTTTAATCAATATTAAAGAATTATTCTCTTAAAACAAGCTCCTTTATCTTCATGAAAATATACTTGTAAATAATTTTTGTTTTATTTCAAGTGAACTAAGACATTTGCCCCAGAAAATAGACAAAAAAACCCAAATAGTAAGATTTAGTGTTTTTGCGGTGCAGGTTCCTCTGAGGTCTTTCTGAGAAAACAAACCTTCAACAAAGAGCCTGGCTCTGGACCTCTTATCGTCGACTCCACAGGCGTATTCACACTCGTCATCCGGCCTGCACTCCTTGATCCGCAGTGTGCAGAACTTTCCGTCTTTCACAAACGTGTATCTGAAAAAGCAGTAACAGTCGTATCTACAGGAATCCTTCTCACTCCCTAAAACATTTAAATTCAACAAGAAAACTCCTGATTGCTCTGAAGAAAATGTTTTATCATCCAAATTAAATGCAACGTGGCACTAGGAACATGTGTAATCGAGATATTATAGATTTATGCAACGTTTTCCACCATCAGAGACACTGAAATTTATAATGATGACTAGAATAATTTTACCCATGTAGGTATTTTGGGTGTATTAAATAAAAAAAAGTTGTTTTTAACTTTTTGGCTGCTTATAGGTAGGCTAAGCTCACGTCTATACCAGTGTAATATGGCCGTTGTAGATATAAAAAAAGGAGTAAACTCAAAATTTTTTGAGTTATTTATTTCTTTTAGGAAACTTTTGACTTTTCAAATTGGGAAATTTCCATTTTCTGGGGTGGAATTAAGGGGTTTTATTGTCATCCATTGTTATGGAGGTGAACTGCTCAATATAGCACAGCATTGATTCTCGGCCATATCGCCAAGCCCTATTGTTCATATTATTGGTGTTAGCTTTAGCATTTCCATAAAATCTGGAGTGAGAGGTGTGTGCATCAGGAACAGGTAGAGTCCACCTATATATATATATATATATATATATATATATATATATATATATATATATATATGACAGTCTACCAAACATTCCTTTAATAATGTAACATTCCACTGTTATCGCAGTGAATTGTTGCCTGTGTTTTCTAATAAACCAATCTTGAGCTAAGTCGCCGCCGCTGTTCCATGGTCCCTCTCTGTTCTCCCGTCCGTTCCGGTACCACTTGACCTCGGCCTTCTCCTTGGTCAGCTCGCATGTGAACTCGGCATCGTCGAACTCGGTGATGGTCTGGTCTTTGAGCTGCGCACTGAAGTCGGTCGGCGCCTCGCTGATGATCAGCTCCGCGGTGGCCTTGTTGTCCCCGGCGACCACCGTGTACTCGCCCTCGTCGGCCAGCGTGCAGTCCTTGATGGTGAGCGTGTGCTTTTCTTTGTCGACCCTGTAGACGATGCGCTTGCTGAAGGTGATCTCCTGGCCGGCCTTCATCCACTTCACTGTGGCGTTGGGTCTGTTGGTCTTGCAGGAGAAGCTGATGGTCTTCTTCTCCTGAGTGTCGATGTCCTCCGGAGGAACCATGATCCTCAGACTCTCCTCTGGAAAACACACAGTTTACAGTTACTCATCCCAGTTTGACATCAATCTCATGACAAATCAGTCCAATAAATGCAATACTGAGAATTTAGAGTATTTTTGTCTCGTCTCGATTATCAGTTGTCCTGATTTTTTTTTTGTTGGTTTTAGTCATACTGAATCAATCAAAAGTTGTATAACAAAGCTTCACTGCCACCTAGTGGACATTGTTCCACATGTTTGTAAAATAAATAAAGTTCCAAGAATAAAGCCATAATATTATGAGAATAAACTCAAAGTAATACAAGAAAAAAGCTGTACTAAATTGAAAATAGAGTAATATTAATATGAGAATAAAATCGTTTAATTATGAGGATAGTCAACATAGTATAAGAATAAAGTTGTACAACAATGAAGTCAAAATATTACAAGAATAAAGTCACAATGTTACGAGATTAAAGTTGAAATAATACAAAACCAACATTGTAATAAGATGAGAAAAAAGTCATAATATTTTGAAAATAGTCACTACTATGAGAATAAAGAATAAACTACAAGAATAGTCAAAACAATATAAGAATAAAGTCATACTATGAGAACTAAGTTGCTTATAAGACAAGATGAGAATAAAGTCATAATATTACTAATCAAACTCGTGTCGGTGGAGGTAAAGCACCAACCTCTGACGGAGAGTTTGCCGGAGCTCTTGGCCTGTTCTCCTCTCTGATTGGTCAGCGTGATGCTGTAGTCGGCTTCGTCTCCCTTCCGAGCATCTTTGATCCTCAGCGAGAAGACGTTGTCTCTCTGAACCATCACGTACTTGCCGCTCTCAAACAGAGTCTCGTCGTTCTTCAGCCACTTGGCCTTGGCTCCCTCGATGTTCACCTCACAGTTCAGGACGATCTCCTGGCCTTCTTTGACCTCCGTGTCTTTCAGAGGGGTGATGACCTTCAGTTTCTCTGCAGGGAAGAGCGAACGTTGACGACATGGACCGAGGTTCTTGCAGCGGCTCGTTTGTTCAGTGGGCGGAGCTTACTTACCGCTCACAGTCAGGTCAGCGCTGGCTCTCGTCTCTCCGATCACCACAATGTATCCGCCCTCGTCTTTGAGCTCGGCCGCCTTGATGACCAGACTGCGCTTCTTGCCGTCACTCACCAACTCGTACTTGTCTCCTGACTCCAGCTCCTTGCCGTCCTTCATCCACTTGACACTGAAGGTTTCCTTGGAGACGGTGCAGGTGAACTCTGCCCTATTACCCTCCACCACCTCCTGGTTCTGAGGTCTGGACAGGAATTCAGCAGCCAGTTCTGCAGGACAGAAACACCAGATTGATTTTATTATGTGGTATTTTATGAAGCTTCTTGCTCATTTACTGCTGTTTATGTTTGTTTTTTATAAATAAGCTTTGGAGCAAAAACATCAGGAATCACTTTACCTAAAGAGCAAGGATTTCTTTGTGTTCTTGTGTATGAGTAACTTCTATGTGGGGTTCCCCAAGGCTCAATCATGGGGCCCCTCCTATTCTATATCTACATGCTTCCACCAGCTCGGTTATAACAATAAATGACACACAGCTCTACATTATGATGCCACCAGGTGACTCTGAACCCATCCAAGGACTCAATAGTTAAAAGTGTGGATGTGCCACAACTTTCTCCAGTTGAACAGAAACAAAACTCCAGAAACATTTAGGAATAATTTGATGTGTATTTGACAATGGCGTTTGACAAAATCTAATGTTTATTACTGTTTGCTAATTGATTACTTTGTTTATATTTTATTGCCTTGTTGCTGAAATGTGGTAAACAACTAAACATGACTTTTTTCCAGTCTTTACCGTTGATCTTGAGGTTCCCGGAGGTTTTGGTGCCGGTGCTCAGCCTGCAGCTGTATTCTCCGGCGTCGTCTGTCTTCAGGTCCTTGATGAGGAGAATCCTCTTCTTGCCATCGACGATGTGTTCGTAGCGGCCGCCGTCTGGCAGCTCCTTGTCGCCTTTGTACCAGGTGACGTCAGCGTTGGGCTTGGAGACCTCACAGATCAGCCTCACGCTGTCCGTCTCCGTTCCCTCGACGTTCGGCAGGTTCTTAGTGAAAGTAGTTTCTTCCTCTGCAGCGACAGGAAAAGATTAAGCAGAGAAACGTTCAGTTATCAATGAACCGAGAACGTCTTGATATGTGGTTTGTCAAAATTTAGAAAATCTTTTAGTCTACAAATTTAAATTATAGCAAAAGAATGAAAAACCTTAAAAAAAACCTATTAACATCTGGTGGCACCAACTGATTTATATCAATATCACAATTTAGCATTTCTTTAAAACACACAAATTTTTAAAATAAGAAATAAAAAAGGAAGAAAAGCTCAATGTGACTGAACTGGATAGATTAGCAATACTAAGCAATGCTCTGTTAAATCTCTTTTTATTATCTTTATTTGTTTATTTTATTAATTTGCATTAACTAATTAAAATAGATGCATATTTAAACATAAAACATGCAATGTATAATAATAACTCTACTAAGTAAATATATATCATTATACCTTCATAGACTATTTTAGACTTTTGGAGATTTTCAGTTTCAAAAGTCAAAAAATTTAAAGTTTTTCAAGAAAATTTCTGTGATTATTGGCAGATTTAAAAAAAAAATCTACAACAGCCACTAGGTGTCCCACTGGAGCAACAGTAGATCAACAGAAATATGAGTAAAACTGAGCACAACTGAACATTTTTTAAATCAGGAACATCAGAACCATCTCTACTCTGGTGTCAGTCCACTTTATATGATCTCCTGTTTTTCTTCCCAACTGGAGAAAACCTGATCTGTGTTTTTCTTTTCTTACCGACGACGGTGAGCATGCCGGAGGATTTGGAGGTCTGTGCGTCACATTCGTATTCAGCTTCATCATCAAATGCGGCCTTGTGGATGAGAAGGATGTGTTGACGGCCTTGTGCAATAATTTCATACTTCTTTCCTTTTCTGATTTCAGTTCCATCCTTCAACCAGGTGATCTGTGGAGAAAGCAGGAAGAAGATGATTTACTCAGACAGGAGGACTGGGTTTAGATTCTGATGAACACATAAAAGGAAAAGTGCTTTTCTTACTTTAGCATCCTCTCTGGAGACTTCACACTCAAACCTGGCAGTTTCCTTCTCCCGAACCTCAACATCATGGAGAGGCTTGGAGAACTCGACACGGGCAGCTGTCCACACAAAACGAGATCCACACAGTTACTTTAACAGATCATTTGAATTTTTGGTTCTTTAACGAAGTGGAGCTCAAACAGGGCTGGTGTGAATTCACCCCTAGGGTTTCCTAACTCCAATTATTTGTTTTAATTAAGGAAGATGCCTTTCATAACTAATGTAGGCAATAAAATGTTTATTTTTTTTAATCTAAAAATGAAATGCAATTACTTATTTGCATATTTTCATGTATTTCTAATATTTTATAAAAAGCTTCGATGACAAATCTGCAGAATGAGCCAATTTTTTAATGTGATTAATCGTCAGAATAATCAATAACTAAAATAATAATTATTTCATCTTTGCATGAGTTTTCCAAGTAGTTAAGTTTCTCTTATTGCATTTAAAATAATATTTTTCATGTCTACCTATAATTTCCCCTTTCAGCTGTACTCACTTTCCACCGTGAGGAAGCAGGACGTTTTGAAGTCTTTGGCGTCGCAGGTGTAGGTCTTTGAGTCGTCCAGCGTGCATTCGTGGATGACCAGCGTTCTCTTGCAGCCCTCAGCCAGGATGTCATACTTCTTCGTCTTGCGGATCTCCTGGTCGTCCCTGAGCCATTGGACTTCTCCGTTTGCTCTGGAAACTTCACACTCGAGCGTGGCGGTGGTTTTCTCCTCCACCGTTTGGTCCTGCAGAGGTCTGGTGAACTCTACAGGCGGCTCTGGATGCACAAACACAAAGGGCAACGGTTCAGTTTCCATTTACCTACTTTACGCATTTTACATGCAGGGCTTGTAGATTGGTCCCACAGTAAAATTAAAAAAACTTTTCAAGTTTCAGTTCACTATTATTACTGTTATCAGTAATGTTGTGACAGCATTGTGGATTCTACGAAGAGGCACATTAAACTAATATATAACAAAAAATTTAAATTTTGTTGTTTCAAGTAAAACAAATATAAACCAACCTTTATTTCAGTTACAGATCAAATAAGTCATCGAGAAATTAGGAATAATAAGCACTCATGACATTTAAACAATCAAAACTATTTGTGTTAAAGTAAATGTTCTTCCTGCTCAAAATATACAAAGTTACAAAAACATAAAAAATAAATATTCTTGCTAGAAATAATTTTAGTAATTCTAAATGACCTAAAACAAGAAAAGTTTAGTCTGATTTAACTTCAGACAGTGAGAAAAAAATGTCTGTCTTTTTATTAGGTGTACACACTCTAGGTTTCAACTGTGAATAATGTTTCCAACTCTAAATTGTGTAAAGGTAAATGACCTTCCTGCTCAAAGTAAATACTTAAAAATAATATACAAAGAAATGTTCATGTTACATTTTCTGGCATTTATCAAACAGAGACAATTTTGCAAATTCTAACTGACCTACAACAATAAAAGTTTAGTCTGATTTAGCTTGTGATAGTGAGAAAAATTATTAAGATTTTGAAAATATCTGGTTTCAACTGTAAATAACACTTCTGTAAATTTAGGTTTTTAATCAAATGTCATATTGCATTTTAATACAAAACTGTGCATTTTTAAGGATTTTCCAAAATATGAAAACATGTAATTGAAATTCAAGCTGTTTGATGTTAACCTTTCTGTTCCGTTACCATAGCTACCTCAACAAGACAGTCACCAAAATAAAAGCATACGACCTCAGCAGTAGTTACAATAACAGCGTGTATTCTACCGTTTCAACTGAGTAAATCTGGTCTTTAAACCAGGTGTCTCCAGTAGAGTCACTGAGTCGGATCCTTACCTTTGACAGACAGGGTGGCTTCAGTCTCAAAGTCTTTGGCGGTGAGTTTGACTCGTCCAGCTTCACTCAGTTGGACGTCTCTCACCGTGACGCTGTAGGTTTTCCCTTCATCCTTGAACACAACCTGAAGGTTCAACAAAGTCAGTTACCACAAGATTTACTTTACAAGAGGTATTTATATGTGCAACTTTTTAGTTTATTTTTTTTATTATTGCTTAAGGAACTTATGGGGTATTGAGGCCCTGAGCTGTGCCTGTCAGGTTAGCTAGAGAAGGAAACTCGCCAATTAGTCACTCCCCTCAGATAATCTCATGCTGAGTATCATCATCTATTTAAGTATTGCTTAACTTAATAAGTCTACAGGTTGAACTACATCAAAACCAGCTAACAAGGTTATAATTTAAACTACTAAACAGCTGCAGAACAGGCCTGCCACACTAGCTGAGTTTCCGTTAACCATATGATTGCTCCAACTGGAATTAAGAAAATAAATTTGCTTAATGGAAACATACCAATTTCAGAACAAACTCACATTTTTCTATAAAAATAAATCTGTGCTAGAATGAGGTGTTTTTATGGCTATATCAACATTTGTGTATTTTGCACAAAACTTCTCTTTTGTATAGTTGCTGGTTGACAAACAACAAAAGGAAGTATTATCGCCACCAACTGGTAAGGAGTTTGGACCGTATTCACACAAAACTGCAATGAAAACATTTTTCTCATCACACGGGTCGTGATCAACAACTGGATGTTACTACTGGCGGAAAAGACGAAGAAGACGACAGGAAGTGATAGGAGGAGGATGGACCTCATCTGAACAAACTTATTCACATGTGATTGTGGTTCTTATTTAAAGGAAATACTGCAATTGCAGTCTTTTTGTGTGTTTTTTCCGACAGATGAATCTTGACATGGTTTTGTGAACATTTTTAATGGAAATGCAGGATAACAAGATTTGCCCTGAGTGTTGTTTGGCTAGACAGGTTCTCCCATCTTTCTTTCTTCCATCTTTTCAGATTTTGATGGCTACACCATATCAGAACCTCCTACTTCATTATATTGATCATTTACTCTGGCCTGAACATTTTCTCTATGAGCTGCTCATACATGGCCTGACCACAGAGTCCTAACAGCTAAAACTGAGAAGCACAGCTGCAGGACCTCTAACTCCTGATGACTGATTTTACCACACAATTCCTGCTTGTATGTGATGCAGGACCTGTCCGAGCACAAAGCTGTATAACTCACAGAGGGGGATTATACAAGTCGTAGATTAGGGAGAATAGTTGAAATATGTGTTTAAAGCAGCAGTTTGGGGGAAGATCAGGACAGTGAAGCTCACTCTATTATTTAATGGAGGCTATAGCTTTTCTTACACCTTGAAGAGTCATTTTAAATCCTAACAATGCATTTTAATGGAAAATAAAAGTAAGGGAAGCGTCATGAATTCTGAATACTGGTTAAGCTCAACACATTAAATGCTGTTTCTATGGAAGAGGATTAGTGCCACTGCAAAAAAAAAAAAATAAATAAAAATCTGACTTTAATCTCAGAATTCTCATTTTTCTCAAAATTAGGATTTTAATCTTAGAGTTCTGAAATTTTTTCCCCTAAGAACTCTAAACTTTCTTCCTCAGAATTTTGACTTTTTTTTTTTGTGGCAGAATTCAGACTTTTTTTCTATAAATTGCAAATTTAAACTCAGAATTCTAACATATTTTTGAGGTTGTTTTTTTTTTTTTTTTTCAAAATTGCAACTTTAATATAAAAATTCTGACCTTTTTTCTCTCATAATTCAGACATTTTTCCATTAGTCTGATTGTTTTGCCTCAGAATTTTGACTTTTTCCAGACTTTTTTCCCCAGTGTCCTACTCCCCTTCCGCATGTTGCACAGAGGGATTGGGTTTCCTAAGAAGGTCTCAAGTTGCCTTATATTATCAAATTAATACATCTTTATGACAGGAAAGCCTTTCTGGGCCCAGCAGAACCAACGAGAGATTTTCCCAGAGATGTAAAGTTGAAGCTAACAAATATCTACAGTTCCCACCTGCCCTGTGCTGCAGCCTCTGCCGGCTGTTAAAAATAAACCCACAGAAGCGCTTGCAGGGCAGAAAACACCCCCTGCTTGCGTTATCTCAAAACGAGGATCGAATGCTCAGCTGGAATCCCGAACCTCCACCTGCAGGACCTTATATGAACAGGCAGTCGCAGCACAGGAAGCTGAAGGGAAACACAGGGGCCTGATTCTGGACCAAAGCCAGCACCTGGGCTGGACAGGAAGTGGACAAACAGGTGTGTCAGGTGTGACGGGACTCACTCTCTCGCTTGGCTCCAGCTTCGTCTCGCCCAGGTACCAATCGACGGGGATGTCTTCATAGGACAGCTCGCACTGGAAGGTGGCGGTCTCTCCGGCAGTCACTGTGATGTTCTTCAGGGGCCTCACCAGGGAGATCACCCGGCCTTTGGGTTGGGGAGAAGACATGGTCAGTCCCTCCCCTCAAACCGGTCAACAGACTCCAAGAAATCCCCACAGAGACGCAGCAGATCCTCAGTGGCCAATCCTCATGGTGTTTGAGGTAACGGCAGGGTGCTGGGCGCGCGGAGGACGACTGAAGCCAGCCACCCTGCAACTTGGCACTGAGGCCAGGCTCATTAGCATACGCCTGGCGTCAGAGGAGCAGCGTCTCAGGAAACCAGTAAGACGCAGGGTCATGACCTCCCCCCCTGCCAACCACTGAGGACCTGAGCTTGATAAGGCATCCAGGTTCTAAAATAACTGAGGGGCCAGATTGGTTAACGGCCCACGTCTGCCAAAACCATGAGGAGAAGTCAATCTGTTCCTGTCAATCACCTGCCTGCATTTTCCTTGGAAAAGGAGAATGTGACGCTCCTGGCAGGAGTTACCCAACACTTCATTGAGGAACTATGGTTTAAGTAATTTGGTTCAGGAAGTTTAGGTAACACAGGCCAAGTGGAGCTTCAGGATGTCCATTTGGATAAACAAGCACTTTGAAGTATTTACAACAGGCTTCTTCACATGCCTGAATTAAAGCCACTAACAGCCAGTTAAAGAGAGGTTGACGGTGTTGTTGACAGCTAGCGGATGTGTTTATAGTCACTCTAGTCATCTGAAGCAACAAAGCTACCTGTAAAGACGATACAAAAACATCAGGTTTAAAAAAACACTCAGATTCCTTTGACTTAAATTTCCTGTGGCTCAGAATGAAGCCAAGATGTTTCCTGTTTGTGTCAAACAGGAAACATATTGAAACTTGTAGTGGAAACGCATGTATGGACTCAGATTTTCAAGGATCTTCATTACAATCACTTAAACATCTAACTTCTTCTGGAACCAACTTCTTCTGGAAAGCAGGAATTCGATAGAATGCATAAAATGCATGAAACTAAATCTGAAATATCTTGGTTTCATGGTGAAATAAAAGTTATGGGTATTCTTCCCTGACTTTTTTTGGTTTGTTTTGTTGCAGATGTTCATCACCAACCTCTAAACTTTATCGGTTGCATCTCTACAAGCTGCATATCATACCTGAGGAGATATTCCACCTGTGAAGTAACATAAATATTCATATCTACCAAATATCAACATTAAAAGAAGCAACTAAATGTTGGTTTTATTTCACGGGGATGGGATTTGAGGAATCTTCACCAACGTTGATTCAACTGGGATAAAATTACAGCGATAAAATCCGGCAACTCAACAAACAACATAAAGACATAACACACAACATAAGGCATCCCGATCCGGAATAAGAAGAAGCTGCTTCCCAGAACCGTCAATCAAGAGAAGCGACGCCCGTTTTTAACCAGGCGTCTGTGATTTGTTTTGTCACCTTTGACTCTGAGATGCGCTGAAGACTTTGCATTCGCTGCAGAGAAGTCAACGCTTCCAGCCATATCCATTCTGCAGCAGAAGAGTGTCAAAGTGTGTCGCGCTCCTTCCTCCTTTATCTCCACATCCTGACAACAAACACCCACAGGTCAGCGCTCATTCAAACAGGAGTGCTGACCGTGCACAACAAAACTGAAAGATGAGTTTTCATCAAAATAAAACATCAACTCTTGTTGGGGAAACGTGGATTTATTTCCCGTTAGAGGATTGGTCAGTGTTGTCTTACAGCAGACGGGTGGAGCGTCTCGCCCTTCAGTTTCCAGGTGGCATGGATGTCGTCTTCAGAAATCTGCGTTTCAAACGAGGCCGTCTCGGTCTCTGTGACCTCCACGCTGTACAGCGGGCGGACAATCTTAATGTTGCGCTCTGTGGAGGTTCAGAGACGCGTTTAGAGCAAAACCAGAGCGAGCCTCGGTCCGCGTGAGAAAACGGTTGCCATGGAGATGATGATGACAGACAGAGATATGAAGGCATGCAACCGGTCGGGGTGTTGCACCTTACGGATGGTGCAAAGAGAGACATGTTTTCACTTTTAACGAAAACATGGAGATAAAAGTGAATTATTGTGAAGAATGTTGTGAATCCTAAAGGTTATGGTTGGATCATGAGGTGTTAAAACACTCAAAGTGAAAGTTGAAGACATGAAGATGAAGAATGGAGACCGAGGTGAGCTTCAGTCCAGGTACAGGTGAGGTTTCAGTGACACTGACTCTGCAGTAATGTCGGGGTCTGGAGGGCGGCAGGCATTCATTACCTTCGATGTTCAGCTCTGCTGTGGTTTTGTCAGTGCCGCAGTCGCAGGTGTAAGCTCCCCTGTCTTTCTTCGCCGATTTCTTGATGACCAACATGCGCTTCCTGCCATCAGATTGGAAGATAATGTTCCTGGACGCAAAGATTTCGTTACCGTCTTTGAACCACTTGACCTCGGCGGCGGCCTTGCTCAACTCGCAGGACAAGATTGCCTCGTCCTTCTCGACCGCGGTGTAGTTCTGGAGTTTTACTGTAAAGTAGAGGTCGCCCTCTGCAAGCAGACACCCGTAATAAGCAGTTCAAAACAAAACTAAAACCACAGAGATGAGGTACTAATCTTGTTTACAGATGATCAACAGCCAGAATTCACATCCTGCTGAAGGAAGACTGATACTAACCAAGAACAGTTAGCATTGCCTCCGACGTCTTTCCCATTGCCTCCACCTTAATCATGGAGGTATCATCGATTGTGACCTCCTTGAAGGCCAGTGTGTGCGATCTGCCTTCCTCCGACATGTGCACCAGCTTGCTGGGGTGCAGGCGCACTTCATTTCTGTACCAAACTACTGGAATCTTGTCATGAGACAGTTCAACGCTGAACTCTGCAGTTTCTCGTTCCTTTACGGTTACGTCTTTAATCGGCTTGATAAACTCAAGGCGAATACCTGATAAAAAATTACATTTACAGGGAGGTAAATACAATGTTGTTCCAGTTGGGAAGATTGTGATTGTGAGGTTGTGTGGATGTTTGCAAATGTTTGCATAAAGCCTTTAACAAACATAACCACAGCTGTATAATTTATAGTTTCTCCATACTGTGCAGAGCATTCTGGGTAAAGGCAACCAAAACAAACACTTGTGTCTAGCATTAGTCAAAGACTAGTCCATTTTTGTTTACATTTTATTCTTCAGAGGTTTTCATGTCATTTCCTTCTGTAGTTCTTGGTGCAGGCGAGGAGGGGAACAGGTTTGTTAATTAGTTTAATAGCTTGACTCACTGCAGTGTAGAAACAAACTGCACCAGTTGAAAATGTAACAAGTGTTGCATTTTCGGTTCCGAATTGCAATGAGTCTACTGGATTATCAGGAGTGTAAACACTTTCAGATTTTGTGGCTTTCCACTCTTCTTCCAGACTATGGCACTTTGATTTTGATAAGTTTCTGAAGTTGCCTCTGGTTCTGGGGTGCCTTAATACCAGAAAATCAATAGTTGAAGACCATAACCTGGATACATCTTTGTGTGGTGGTTCTTGTAGTTCTGACTCCAGCTGCAGTAATAGGCCATAGTGTGGTCAGAACACTCCTCGATAAAAAATGTTTTTGTTTGTCTTATATAAAATTCTTCTTTTGGATCATTAGCTGTAAGCTGGCATCAAACTTAACAGGAATAAACACTTGAACTGTGTCTGTATGTAACAAATCTACTGTACTTAATATATAAATTAGTTCATGAATTGAATTAGTAAAAGAAGGGAAATTTTTTATACAGTTTTCCTGAATCTGCTATTTGAAATATTCTCTGTTGGAGTTTTTCTCAATGCAAAGTTTTCAGCCGTTGATTTTTCCTGATAATTTTTTATAATTTAAAGGCTTTTAGCAAACATTCACATCCTTCAGTGACTGGTGTCCAAATAAAACTATTCCTGTGTGATTAAGTACAGAGGCACCAACTCATTTTACCTTTAATAATCAATTTTCCAGACGTCCTCTTATCCTCAGCCTCAAACATGTATTTGGCTTCATCTTCATATTTGGCAGATTTTACGACTAGAGTGTGTCGTTTTCCGTCTACTTGGATTTCAAACTTATCGTCGTTTGACAATTCCTGAGTTCCTTTGAGCCAATGGAAGCTTTTGGGCTCTCGTGAAATTTCCAACTCAAACTTAGCCTCGTCTTTCTCGTACACATGCACATCGGCCAATGGTGTAATGAAAGAGATGGGAAGCTCTGTTGGTTCAGAGGGAAAGAGTTAACATTAAGGGAAGAGGGCTTGGATCAGGCAAGTTTACCTGAAGGTACCACAATGATGGATGGTTGGTCCTTTATGCAGTGTAATAGCATTTACCCCAAACTGTAAATCACTATTACATCTGTGTTATCTTACAGCTGTCGAAAAAGCAGGAAGACAAGCTTCAGCTTTTATTTTTTGACAGTTTTGGAAGAGGAAGCTCACCCTTCACTTTCAGGTTAGCAGAACACTTGGCGTTGGCGGCGGTGAACACAAGCTCCCCTGTTTGGGGCAGTTTGCAGTTGTACAAAACCAGAGTGTGTTTGGCGCCATCTTCCACAATCTCAATGTCCTGCAAGCGGCCAACAAACTTCAGTATTTTACCAAAAACACAAGCAATCGATGAAGAGTGATTAGGATGGGGGGAAGCTGATGGAGGAGCTAGCAATCCCTCGATTAAACATGTCAACTAAAATAGAATCACATGAAGGTCAGAGAGGATTAATGGGACGTACAGCAGATGGACTGAGGACTTCTCCGTTTAGCCTCCACTGGCCGTGAACGTCGTCCTCACTGAGTTCGACTTCGAATCGAACCGTCTCTCCTTCTGAGACCTCGGCACCATACATGGGCCGAACCACCTTGATGTGCCGAGCTGGCGTTCAAGAAAGGGGACACATTTCTCTCATTGGAGACATTCAACATTTCAACACAAAGACAACATTGACTGACACAGATATGGAGACGGTAGATGACAGTAGACAGACAGTGGTGTTATTTGTTGGAAGTGTAAAAGGGAATTCGGGGTTAAGGCCAAACTCTTTGGATCATAAAGAACCAAACGGGGCTTTGAACAAACCCACCCATTTGGTTTTCTATGGAACTGGCCAACAGGGAATGAAGATCAATAAAAGAGTTTTTTAATAAAGAAGTGATGGTTTGTTAGAGTAGTTGTGTGCAACAGAATCTAGAAAGAAGACAAGAGTGCTTCTGCTTCAAAAGAGGCAATATCCAAGTTTTTAAAAGACCAGAATCACTTGGTGAAGCTAGAAGCTTTACTCTTGGAGAGCACAAAAATGACAGAGTAGTAACTCAAAAAATTATGACAAAAAAGATGCTTTGAGGTGGGGTTAGAAGATGGTGCAAGTAAAGGTGATGAGGATCCATGGAGATGAAGGTGGCTCAACACAGGTGAGTCAGTTACCTTCGATGTGAAGCTCGGCTGTCGTTTTGTCTGTCCCACAGTCACATACATACTGTCCCTTGTCTTTGTCACCAACTTTCTTGATGATTAGAGTTCTCCGCTTCCCCTCAGCCTTGATGGCCACCATCTTTGAGGCCTTGATCTCGGCCTCGTTGTGGTACCACATGACATCGACGTCTTTGCTGAGCTCGCAATCTAGAACCACTTCGTCTTTCTCGACTGCAGTATAGTCCTGCAGCTTAATCGTGAAGTAGGGATCTCCCTCTGGAACGGGGAGATTTATGATGACTCTTCGAACCGAATGTACGACAAATAATGCATGCAGCACAAGATAACTCAACAAAGACAGATGGAAGGAACAGACAGAAAACACAGTCCAACAATTTCTTAGAACAGACAGACAGAATGAGGCATTTTTAGGACCTCAACAGACATAAACATGGAGAAACTTTGCAAAGAATTGGAGAGTGAATGTGGATACCTATAACTGTCAAGTTGGCCATGGAAGGAATTCCTTTGGCCTCGGCCTTAATTTGACAGATATCGTCTAGAGTCACATCCTTAATTTCTAGTATGTGCTTCTTTCCGTCCGTGTGAGTGACGACGGTTCTGCTCGGATGGATTTTAACGTCGTTCTTGTACCAGGTGACAGGAATGTTCTCATGAGAGAGCTCCAGCTCAAAGCGAGCTGTACTGCCCTCCTTTACGGTTTGATCCTTCAGTGGTGAGACAAATCTGAGCCTGATACCTACAATCATATTAATAAAACATGTTCATACAGGAGGAGGGAACCCACTCAGTGAGTTAAGTCAAAATGGCTAATCTCTGTGCCATTTTGACACTTGGTGATGGAAAGCTGGCACTTACCCTCGACGGTGAGTCTAGCTGTGGAAGTTTTGCCCAAAACCTCAATCGTATATTCATCCTCGTCATCAAACTCGCAGCAGTTGATGACCAGCATGTGTTTCTTCCCATCATCGATGATGTCGTACTTTTGGTCTGGGGTGATGATGTCAGCCCCTTTATACCACATGACCTTGGCGACATCCTTGGTGATGGTGCATTCAAACTTAGCCTGTTTCTTTTCTGGCACAGAAACGTCCTTCAGCGGGACAACAAAGTCCATCTCGATTTCTGGTTGGGGTGGGGTTGACACAGGGCACAACACATCAACAACACAACAGAACAACACAAAAACACAACAGTCAACAGCCAGAGCCCTGTTTACACTGTCATCTATGTTCTGAGTGATCCTGGTTGAATCTGGAGAAAGCTTGTTAGAGATTTCTTCTGGTGTTCTTCAGGACTCTACTCCTCTTCCAGCTCTTTGGTAAGTGTTAAAAAAACAATTGGTGGTCTTCAAGGACTGCAGATGTAGAGTATAAACGGTGTCATCATGGGACTTCGTAGTCACTGGATTCAAGTATCCAACCTCTTGTTCAGTTGGCATGAAATGTTGATGATGATGGCACATCTTTGTTTTCTTCCAGAAAGCTTCGCTTCTGCTCTGCAAACTCCAACTCAAAGATCTTCTAAATGCTGTTATATTAGCTAAATATAAGGAAACTATAAACTATAGACAGGGCTCTGCTGAAAAGAATACATACAAAACACATGACTGAAAGACATTGACATAATAATGAACAGATCTACATACAGCTTTATATTTTCTATAGATAGGACAGACAAAACAACAGGAAAAAGCTATTCACCCCACAAAACGAGCATTGGAGTTCCTTCTCATCTTACCTGGCTCATTCGTCCTTTTGAATAAAGGTCTAAGGTCTGCTCTGGTATGCCTTTCAGCTTTGTTTGATTCCTCGCAGACCTTACACCTTTATTTTCACAGCTAAATTCCAAGAATCAGGGTCCATTGGGGTTTTGTGGGGGACCAGGAACGCCTCTTACCTTTGACATTTAGCATTGCGGTTGTGATGGCGTTCAGGGCCTGGTATGACACTTCCCCGGCCTGATCCAACTGGCAGTTTTTCAGTGTGAGCCTACGAACCGTACCCTCCATTTGGATGTCACACGTCTGATGATTACATTGTACTACTATTAAAAGAACAGTCAACACTGACATACAGTATGTACAACTTTATGAGAAAAAGTCATACCGGAGATCTGGTCAAAACCTCTCCTTTGAGTTTCCATTCTCCTGGAATATCATCCTCAGATATTTCTGTTTCAAATGCAGCATCTTCCTTTTCTACCACCTCTATACTGGCCAAAGGCCTCAGGATCTCAGCTTCACGCTCTGGAAACAGGTATTTACTGCTTGTAAATATGTAACACCGTCAATACTAACCTGTAGAAACTCTTTCAGGGGATAGCAGTTGAAAGAAATACAACCTCCTAGCGTTAGCTTGGCGGTATAGATGCGTCCTTCCACCTCCATGGCATATTCTGCTACATCGTCCGGCTGGCAGTTCTTAATGGTCAGCGTCAGCTCCTTTCCATCCTTCGTGATCTCAACCTTGTCTGATGGAGTGAGCTCATTCTCTCCTTTGACCCACTTCCAGTTGGGAGTGTCTCTGAAGAGCTCACACTTAAACGTGGCATTGGCCTTTGGTTTCACATGCTGGTCTCTAAGTGGTTTTACTATCCAGTCTTTAATAATCTCTGTTGGAGTCAAATATCTCTTAGTCAGAGATTGGCATTCTATTCACAATGTGATTAATTTGGCGAGAGTTGGCAGAGAAACCAAAAATAAACCTAGTCTGAAGTTAATTTATAAAATTTTTCAAAGTTGGATTCTACACGATTCCTGCTTTGTCCTTGCCCTGGCCCAACCTTCACATTTTTCATTCATGCTAGTAAGGTATGCACCCTTTTTCCTTTGGGGATCAAGGAATAATGGTCATGTAGCCATCCAAAAGACCCTTTACAGCCCAGCTGAAGGGAAAGACGATGGCTACTTCTTGTTCCCCCTATAAAAGGATTCCATACCTCTGAAAAATGGAGGGTAAAGGTCACGGAGGAATAGGGATTAGTCCTAACATTGGCTGACATGGTCACCTAACTTCCAGTTCTGTTTTAATATATGCATATTTGACACCTCCCTTTGTCTTACCGAGCACTTTGACGTTTGTGGTGGTCACGACGTCCTCCTGTCCTGACACTTCACAGGTGTAGGTACCAGCATCTTCTGGCGTGGAGCCTTGGATGGTCACGGCGTGCTGCAATCCAATGATGTTGATTTGAATCTTGCCCTCCTTTTTCTTGAGGACTTCACCATTCTTCTTCCAGACCACGTCCCTCTCTTTGCTTAGCTCGCAGGATATGTAGATGGGCTGGCCCAGGATGGCCGAGTTCTCCGGTTCCAACTCCTTGATCCATTTTACAGGAAGCTCTGCGAGAATACAGAAAGGCGGTCATATCCAGAATGTTCTCAGAGGCCTGGTTGTGAGTGAATGTATGAAGGGCACAACTATTATACTGAAGTAGGGCTGGAAGATATGACTGAAAAACGCATCAGAGTTTCATATTGACCAATATCATTACTTTCCAATTTGTTTTTGTTTTAAATATCTAAATATTGCCAAACTCACAAGAAAGTGGTGGGGCCTTCCCTGTTTTATCCACAGTTTTCACTCCCCGCTGTTGTTTTTTATTTTTAAGCATTTATGAAGAATGGTGGAGAAACATTAAAACTGCTGCAGTGCAGGTTACTTAACAGGTTGTTGCTAGGTAACCACAAGTTAATCAACAGGTTGTTGCTAGGTAACCACAAGTTAATAAACAGGTTGTTGCTTGGTAACCAAAGAAAGAGTGAGTCATTTATTTCATGTCACCAAGCTTACTTAGCTAGCCTTGATCGTTTGATTAGCTAAAGCCTTTCCTCTGTCTAAATCCCCCAGAATGCTATGCAGTTGTAAATTGGGGTTTAGTGAAGTTGTTGAAAATGCTATCGGATATATTATCTACTGATACTGATCAAGTGTCTATCACTATACGTATTGTTTTTGATTTATTGTCCAGAATTATCCTGAAGGTTCTAGTTACGTTTCCCTCTGAAGTCTAGAAGGCCAAATAAAAAGACACATGAAGTATCTGAAACAGTGTTGGTATGATTAACCAAATGCAGCTGGGTTACCTTCAACTATGAGCTTGGCAGTGCAGGAAATCTCCTTTCCAGCATTCTTGGCCACGCAGGTGTATTCTCCAGTGTCGGACAGCTGGACATCAATGATGTGCAGCTTCCGATCTTTGCCGTCAGAGATGAACTTGTGCTTGGGACTCTCACGCAGGTTGCCGCCATCTTTCATCCAGGAGGTGACGGCCGTAGAGGGAGAAACCTCACACTCAAACACGGCCGATGAGCCGATGGACTCGGCCTCCTTGAGGACAATATTTTCAAGCTTCTTGATGAACTTCAGGGGAACAGCTTTGAGTTTGAAACCTGCAAAAGGTTCCTCTGGTGGTGTGGGGCCGCCTCTGCCACCAGGCTTCATGCCCCGACCTCTGCCCTCTCCGGGCGATGGCGTCTGCTTGGCTGAAAGAAGATATTAACATACAGACATGAGTCTAAACAATGATATTTTTGAGTACTGGTGTGGACATTAAGAAAGCACACTTACGTTTTAGCCCTCTGCCTCTGCCTCTTCCTGCTTCCTCTGCCGGCTGCCCCTCTGTTTAGAAACAACTACCATTAATCTTCTGCTTCACAATAAAACAGTTTATTGTTTTTTATGAACAAGCAAATGGACGGCCATATGCAATGTTGTTTATGTCAGGAATTGAATGAAGGGAGACAAGCAGAATAATGAATTATGTATTATATTTTCACAATGACACAATTTTCACACCATTAGGAGATGACATGAACGTAAAGATGGCGTTATGATGGGATGAACACATGTTGGGCAGATGAGAATGGAATGGCAGACAAACGCAGATGACTTAACAAGACCGTCTGGAAGAGATGGATGTGATGGACACAAACATGTAAAAAACACAACAAAATGATCCGCAGGAGGGATTTAGATGGAAAGCATGGTGGGAATGAATGGAGATTATTGAAGGCATGAATGGAGGATTTTTCTTGGTCGCCACCCAACACGTTGGGGTTGCCACCTTCTCACCTCTCTGGGTTACCCCAGGAACCTCCAAGGCACCTTCTTCTCCTTCACCTTCCCAGTCCTCTGAGCCATAGCTGTCCCGTGGAACCAGCTCCCAGCCCCAGGCTTCCTCTTCCTCCAGCTCAGCCTCTTCCTCTGCCTCCTCTTCAAACACCTCCTCCTCTGGCTGAGTGGCGACCTTCTTTATTTGCACAGCCCCGGGAGAGATCTCCTTCACTGCGGGAACTTTCTTTTTGCCAGGCTCTGCTGGTTTGACAGCCTTCGCCTCTTCTGGTGATGGTTTCTTTGGAACCTTTTTAAGAGTTGCAGCTTCAACAGAGTCTTTGGGTGAAACGCTTTTTGGCTCTTTTTTAAGTTTGTCAATGCTTGGCCTCCTCTCAGCTGGAGCTGCTTCTGCCTCCTTGAGTTTTTCAACTTTAGGAGAAGGAGTCTTTTTCAACTCTGCCTTTTTGAGCTGCTCCACTGGCTTCAGTGCTACGTCTTCCTTCTCCTCTTTAGCCTTGGGTATAACTCCTTTCTTTGGCTCCAAAGCCTTAGGTTTGACCTCCTCTGGAGTCTTCTCAGGCTTCTTGTCAGGCTTCTTGTCAGGTGTCTTCTCTGTTGGAGCTGTGTCTACCTCCTCCTTTGGCTTCTCCGGCTTTTTCTCAGGAGCTTCAGGGACGTCAGGTTTCTTGGGCTTAGCCTCTGGCTCTTTTGCCTTTGGTTTTTCATCAGGACTGGTGCGACGGCGCTGCAGGTCATCAGATGGTTTCCTGTCTTTCTCCTCTGGGGGTTTCTTCTTAGGCTCCTCAGCTTCTTTGGAAGGTTTGGAGAAGGGCTTCAGTTTGACGCTTTCCACTTCCTGTTCTGTTGTTGGGATTTTCTTCCCTTTAGTTGGTGCTTTGACCTCCTCTGGCTCTTTCTCTGGAGTTTTCTTTTTATCTGCTGGCTTTGGTACCTTAGTTGGAGGCTCCTTTACCTCAGGGAGTGCCTCCGCAGGTTTCTTTGCTGGCTCTTTGGGTTCCACCTCTCGCGGGATCCTTTCTCCCTTCTGGAAAGGCACACTATCTCTCTCTGGCCTCTCCTTCTTATCTTTCTCTGGCTCTTCTAAAGGTTCAACAGGCTTCTCAAAAGGTTTGAGCTTGACTACTTCTGGTTCAGCTTCAGATAAGGGCAACTTTTTCACTTTTTTTGGTGCTGCACTGGGAGGAGCAGGTTCCTCTTCTTTTGGCGCTTTTGGGGTTTTCTTAAGAGATATCTTGTCTTCTGGTTTCTCATCTTTAGGGGTGGGCTTCTGGCGGGTCCAAGCGTCTTTTTGAGTTTCTTTTTCTTCCTCCTCTTTAGGCTTGATAACATCTGGCTTTTTCACCACATCAGGTTTCTCTTTGGGTTTCCTTTCTTCAACAGTCCGTCTGGTGACAACAGACATCTCAAAAGACTCTTCTTCATGCACCATTTCCTCGGCATGGAAAACGGTGGTCTTGGTGACTTTCTGAGGTTTTCGTTCCTCTTCAGATTCTGTCAGTGGAACCGATGGGACCTTCTTAAACGTGACGACCTCTTGCTCCTCTTCTACTTCCCTCATGACTCTGGTTGCTTTCTTCAAGGTGGGAATCTCAAACGTCCCGTCCTCTGTGACTTGAATTTTACCCTTTTTGTGCTGAACAGTTTCTGAGGCAGTAAAGGTCTGACATTACTGAATGACACAGGACTGACATCACAGTTCTTGCAACACAGAACACACATATAACGTTATAGAAAATGTTCAACAAATATGCTAAACACAGAGATATAAGAAGAGGAATAATATTTCACATTTTGTCACGTTACAACCACAAATCCCAAAGTATTTCAACAAAAATCCAACGTCATATTAAACACTGGTGGATTCACTGGGCCATGTTCAGGATTTTATTTTAGAGTATCAGAGTAAAGGGGACTGAAAGCAACTGCACACTTCTTGTTTTTGTAAAATCCTTAAAAAGCCAATGAATCCACTAAAGTTGGTGGTTGTGAAGTGATAAATTGTGAAAAAAAGTCAGGTAACATCAATACTTTTTGCAAGGCACTGCAGGGTAACTTAAACTAATTAAGACACTGAGAAAATGTAAAGTAAAACTGCACAGATCTAATTTTCTTTTATATTTGTGAAAACTTTCTTGGCCGTATTCATTATAGTGCGTATTTGGTGTTTGCTAACTTTGCACATCCGTCTAACTCACAATGCCGTCATCAAAACAGATTTCCACTTCAAATTGGACTGGCCAGCTAATAATGTCTCCCATATTTAAACTTCATATTATACATTTAGAGCAGAAACTTCCCATGATTACATAAACCATGATTTAAGTTTTACCTTCTCCTGGTAGCTGAAAATGATTATAGTGTAAAAGAAAGTTGTAAGGTAGCTTTACATTAAAACATAACGCTCTGATGTAAACCTGAATTTGAACTTGTTTCTTCTCTTATTCAGAAGCAAGAAAATGCAATCTGATGCAAAAATAGAGCAAATTGCTCATTTGTCTTGTACTTTAAGGGCCTGAATGTGCTAGCATATCACACATGCTATTTGCCTTGTGAGTAATAAGCTGCAACATAACAGAAAATGGAGCTGATGGTGCAATGAATCAGGGTCCATTTTCTTAAAAGTCGAATATCTGATTAGTTGAGATGCTTATTTCTCAAGTTAATGCCAAGTAATTTCTGTATTGAGCAAAACAAAGCAGCAATTAGTGATGGTTTGCTTTGGCGCCCAACATTGTGTTCAGGAGTAGATTTTCTGCCATCTGCTGGTTGTTTTGAGGTACAGTGAGAAATGGTCTTACCTTTCTGGACTCCTCCAGGTGTCTGGACCGGTCCTTTGGTTTCATCTAATACAGAAGGATAGGGAAGAAACTCATTAGGTTTTGGTTATTAATAACAATGTGACTCGTTTTCCTTGAAGACTGTAAGAAACATTTAATTATCGCACAGTAGAGGTGAAGAATTAAGAAGATGTTTAAAAAATTGCATGCTTTTGTTGCACTAAAGAGGAAAAGGTCAACATGACCCATATTAGTAAAGACATGAACATCTGGTGATGAAATAAGAGGTTTTAAAAGATGGATTTAACTGAGAAGATAAAGAGGACGGTTCTCTGGAGGTCCTCTACCTTTCAGAGCTGGCTTTTCTTCTGGAACCACCTTAGTCGGTTCTTCAGCCTTCACAACAGGCTTGACCACTTTCAAGAGCAACATTAGATTAATCAGATGTTTGGCAAACTAGCACCCAAACATTCCTTCAACCGTTTTCTGTCTGAATACCTGGTTTTGTTTCCTCTGGTGGAGGGATTTTCTTTTGAGTAACTTCAGGTCTTTTGGGGGCTTCTCCAACTTTTGGTTTGATTTCTTCAGGTACAAAGAAAAGATGAAAATTTGCACAAACGTCTTAAGAACATGTTAATCTGAACTCAGAGAAGTTTAAACCCAAGAGATCATTTTCTGACCTCGATGTTCAGGATAAAGTTTCAAAGATTCGCTTTTTTCCAAGAGCGCATTCTGTCATGAATGCTTTTAAAACCAAAGAAAGTTGAATACCTTCTGGAGGAGGAGCTGGCTTCACTTCTTTGGGTTCTGGAGGCAACTCCTTCTCCTTCACAACAACTTAAAAGATAAATAAGACAACAATCAGACAAACATTCAGACAGAGGTAAGAACTGAAGCACGGCAAAGAAAAACCAGCCTTTAGGCAGCTGGAAGACCAAACAGCCTCACCACACCGGTTCAGACACACACTGGATAGAAGAGTTAGAGAAACGGCAAGGGGGAAAATCCAACGCAACCCAGCTGCGTTTCCATTACAAACGTGTGCAAAACTCTGTTGATATTCTGCTGATGGTGAAAAAACACAATTTTTAAATTGTGGTGCTTCCATTAAGTAAAATACAATTAAAATCACACATGAATAAGTTTGCTCACACAATATTTAATTAAAAAACTTGCAGAGCCATCATCCTCCTACCTGTCGTTTTCTTTGTCTTTTCCCTAAGTAGTAATATCCGGTTGTTCATCACATGACTGGTGTGACTCGAAAAAATGTTTCCATTGCAGTTTTACAAAATACACTAATCTCTTTAAAGGATAAAAACACCTCATCCTAGCACAAAAAGTTTATAGAAAAACATGAGTTTTTTCAAAAGTGGCATGTTTCCATTAAGCAAATTTATTTTTGTAATTCCAATTGCGCAATTAAATGGTTAGTAGTAAATTTCCATTGGTCTCATAATTGCGCAAAGTGTAAATATGATAATGAATGTTAATAACAGAAACACACAATTTACAGAAAAAAATAAAAAATTTTTAGTCAAAAGTTTCTGTGCTAGAATAAATTAGGTTTTTGGTTTTATTGAAATTAGTGTATTTCACAAAACTGCAATAGAAACATTTTTTTTGCATCACACAAGACATGTGATTATCTACTGGATGATAATACTGGAAGAAAAGACAACATTATGATGATGTCACTGCTATTTTTTTAAATTTTTTAAAGACTTATGTGAACAAACTTATTCATGTGATTTTAACTGTGTTCCTCATTTAATGGAATTACCACAATTGTGAAACTGCGTTTTTTTCAACATAAGCAGAATATCAAGAACGTTTTGGACACATTTGTAATGGAAACGCAGCAGACAAGTGAAGACAGATTGTGCTTGAACATAATGGGTGACATGACATGGAGGTCCTTCTGGACGGTGATATGGATGTGGAGAATCCCCACAGGAAGTGATGTCGGGTGCTCAGATCAGAAACTTGTGCTCAGTGACAGTTTCCCTCCTCTGTACCTCTGGACGTTTCTTGAAGAAAGAGATTTTCTTTCTCTTCTGGCTCTGCAGTCAGACCCTTCGTTTCTGTGACGGACTGCACTCCTTGGCGTTCTGCCTCGGTTCTGGTTTCGTGTGTTTTTGGAAGCATGGAGTGGATATGTGGTGTGGTTCTGGTGTGTTCTGATGGGTAGCCAGTGGTGCTGACTTTGGGTTTATCTGTTACTGAGGGCTCAAAGCCAGGCCGACCTTGGGTTAGTTCTCTCTCTGCCTGTTTGTCTTTACGTCGAACACCAGCAGACATGTTGGGTTCAATTGGTTGCTCTGACGTCTTTGAATCTCTAAGATATTCTCTTCTTCCTTCAGTTGTGTCCGATTCCTTAGACGTCACATCGGGTGTAGACGTCAGAGAGACTTTTTTCCCTCCACCAATAGTTGCTGCCTTTTCTTTCTCTGGAACCGTCTTTGCCTGAACTGTAGCATCAGATTTATCTCCTCTATATGCAGTAATTTGTGAAGGAAGGTCTGTAGGACTGATTAGTTCATGTTGACTTTGCAAAGTTTTTGCTTCAACAAATAATTTTCTTTCTGTTTCGAGCTTTAGTTCCCTAACATTCACGTCAATCTCTTCAGGCTGATCTAACGCATGTATTTGATCTTTTGTGGATCTTTCTATTAGAACAGAAACATCACCTGACATGTAAACAGTTTCTCCTGGTCTAACGTCTTTTACTTGAGAATCAGGGGACATATATGCCTGTGTGGTATCTAGCATCTCCTGTGTGAGTGCATGCATTGATTTTTCATACGCCACATCCATAACTGGCGTCTCTGAAACTTTTTGTTTTGCTTCCTGCTGCTCCATCATTGCAGTCTGGGAAATGTCATGAAAATAACCTCTAACTGTTTCCGTTTTAGACGTAAAGCTTTCAATTGGTGACTTTTCTCTACGTTTCACCCTCTGTTGTGTTTTATCTTTGTCTTTAGCTTTGTCTGTTGTCAGGTTTTTCACCTCTACCTCATCTGGACTGACTGAGTCAAACATTTTCTCTGTTACCACTTCAACATTTGCCTCCAGGTTATCAGGAGCTGTAGCTCTTTGTAAATGGTCTGATTTAAAGTCACCAACATCGGTGATGAGATGTTTTTCAGACGGTATTTCCATCAAAGTTGCAGCTGCGACTGCTTTCTGCTGCTGTTTTGTTTCTGGAAAAAGCTGGCTAATTTCTCCATGTTCTTGTTTTACTCTTACCGTCCTGGAAAGTTCTCCATCTTTTGTTTCGGTCATGCGTTTGGGAGGAAATGAAGCTGGTTTGTCAAGGATGTTAACTTTTTCAAGAGGAACTTCCTTGGCTTTTGGTTCTGATCTAACTTGAGACTTTAATTGATCTTGCTCTACTCTTGTAGGCAGCTTGTCTGCTCCATCTTCTACCTTTATTTGTTTAGTCTTCTTTAGAGACGAGGCTTTATTGTCATCTACGGCTATACCAGATGTTTTGAATGCCACCTCCATCACAGGAGCCACAGAAAGTTTCATTAATGTTTTTGGTGTTTCAGCTTCTTCAGCTGGAGTAAAACATCCATATTCCTGTTTGAAAACAGTTGCCTTGGACTCTTTATCTTGAAATTTTGTATCTTTTGCTTTCAGAGATTTGGATTTCTTTCTTGCAACATCTTGTATAATTTCTGTTTGGTCCAACTTCTCCTCTTCAGTTGCTCCTTGTGAAATCTGGTTGGATTCTTCTGTTTTCTGTCCTTTTCTTGCAGCTTCAGTTTCTGTGTTTGAGGTTTTCATCTCCTCAGCTGGACGACTTGTGGTGGTTTTCTCCACTTCAGTAATTTCTCTTAGATATTTCTCTATTGAAATATTTCCCAGAACTTCAGTTTTCTCTGGTTTATTAAAGATCTTTAAGTCTCTGACCCTATCATCGGTATTTTCTGGTCTCTGTTGTGTTTCAGTTTCTTTCTGTCCACCAGGAACCTCTGGTGTCTTTCTCTGTACTTTCTCCAGTTCTTCTTGTGTTGGTTTAAAACCCTCTAACTCATCAACTATTGCATCCGTCTTTTGTAACTTCTTGGTCGTCAGGGCTTCCTCTGTTGATGTGCTCCCTTCAGCTACCTTTGGGTCTACCTGAGCCTCTTTCCTAACTGAAGTTTCTTCTACATCAGCTGGAACATCAGCCTCATCTAAGACTTTTACTTTAAATTGTTGTTTTGTAGATTTTCCTCTTCTGTCAGTTTTAGTTTTGTCTTTATCTCTGACTAACCTTGGTTGAAAGTTTTGGTCTGTTCCCTCTACAGTTTGGTCCATTTCCTTCATTTCCTTTGGAAAACCCTCAGCTTCACCTGTTGCAAACCCACCTCCTTGGATTTCTGACAGATTTTCTGCAGATCGTTCTTGCTTCATGGCTCCAGGTAAAGGTTTGTCAGTTCTGTCATTGACAGACGTAAGGCTGGCTTTATCCAAATGGCAGATGGTTTTTGACAGGATTTGCTTGTCTTCAGTTATGAACTCAGATGTTGACTCTTCTGGAGAAACTTTCAAAGTTCTCCCTTTAACTCCACTGGTTTTTATCTGGTCTTGTTCACTGATCGACCCCTGAGGCTTGATGATTCTCTCTTTGGGTAACATATCATCATCTGTTGGTTGATAAACTTGTTCTTTATCTTTGTCAAGTACATCACCTTTAATCATTTTTCTGCTTTTATCCATTACAAGTGAAACTTCTTCATCTGAAATATCAATTGTTTGGGGAAACTTTTGTTTTTTATTCTCTAAGGAAATAAAAACCTTTGGAGAACCTAAATCTTTGGTTTCACCAGATGCTGACTCAGTTTCTTTGATATTTGATAGTTTAGGTGTTTCTTCACCACCAATCATCGTTTTGTCTTCACTGACTGTTTGTTTTGTGGTTTTGTCCACAGCTGATGCTGGTTTTAATGGGATTTGTTTGTCCAAAGCATCTGTAGGTTTTACAAACTTGGATAAAACTGATTCCTCTGGAGAAACATCTGCCTGTTTCACTTCCTCAATGACTGAAAACTCTGATTGTATCATTTCTGGTAGTTTCTCGGTTTCTTCAACAGTGTCTTCTGTGTTTATTTGTGAAACTTTTCTTTCCATTTGTTCCTGTGTTGCTTGCTTCTCTTTAATGGCAGAAACTTTCAACATTTTATCTGTAACTTTACTGATGTTTATCTGGTCTTGTCCGATGATCGACCCCTGAGCTTTGCTCATTCTCTCTGTAGTCAACATTTTTTCAGATGCTGGCTGTTCTTTTTGCTCATCATCTTTTGTTGTTTTCTTAGTTTTAACTGGTTTTGATGGACTTTCTTTCTGTAAAACATCTGCAGTTTTCTCAAACTTTATAAAATTTTCTTCCTTTGGAGGAAAATCTGCTTCACTGATTTCTTGGTCATCAGTTAAAAACTCAGTTTTTGAGACCACTTTGTTTTGTTCATCTATGTCAGCCATTTTGTCTTTGATTGGCAGCCCTTCCTTTGTTAAAACTGTTTTTATTGGTAGTTGATTATCCACAGCGTCTTTAGTTTTCATTAGTTTTTGTCTTTTCTCTTTAGATGATCTTGAATCCTTCAGATCACCGTCTATTTGACCAGATTGCTCATAAACTGCCAGTAATTCAATTTCTTCTAAACTTTCCTCTCTTACTTTTTCTTCTTCCTGCACACTTTTATTCTCTTTAGGAGAAACTTTAAGAGTTTTATCTTTAACTGTACTAATGGTGACCTGATCTAGTTCAGTAACAGGTTGAGTTTCTGTACATTCGTCAGCTGGATGCGGCGATTTCTTGTCGATAAATCTCTGAACTGTTTCAGGTTTTCCATCTTTTCTAAGCGACTCTGCTTCAGTCTCATCCTCCAGTGCGAAGCTTTCTGATGGGATCTTTCTGCCGGAAGCTTCTTTAGTTTTAGCAAACCTCTGTCTTCTCATCTTGGTGGATATTGATGTTTTCTGAGGAACTTCCTCAGGAACTGGGAACTCCTTGTCTGGGACTATGTGCTGCTTTTCAGAAACTGTGACTTCACTCAAAGTTTCTTTGTCTTGAAGTGAAGTGTCATCTCCACCTAATGTCTGCAGTTTTGGTTTCTCTGCAGCTTCTTTCTTTAAACTCCTGGTACTAATGTTAGCCAGTTTTGATGAAACGGATGAAACGTTTGTTTCAATGACCTCGTGTGAATCAGTTTCATGAATTGTTGAGTCTAGATCTTTCTGAGGAGTTTGTTCTGATGTATGCTCTTCTATCATTACAGATATTTTTGGTTTGTCTTTAAATTTATGGTTTGTAATTAATCTGTTTGCTGCAGAAACATGAAGAATTTCATGTTTTCCAGTTTCAGCAGCTTCTTTAGTCTTTTCTATGTCTTTGGGAACCAATCTCTGTCGTCTATGTTCATTATGTTTATCCTGAACTTTAATCACATTAATTTTTTTGTCAGTTGAAGGAAAAAAGCCCATTTCCTCTAAACCCTCAGTAACAGATATTTCTTCAGCTTTTTTGCTGGTTTCTTGTGTCTCAGATTCAATATTCTTGCGTTCTTTACTTGGACCTTCGTGTTCTGCACATGATGCTCTTTTCCTGTCCGCTACAAGAGTTGTGAATGATGCTGAAGGTTGGAAAAATTGAACAGTTGTGAAGAGAAAGCACCATGAGGCGGTGCCAAGAGGTTAGAAACAAACAGACACAAACAGTTGGTGTTAAATGATCGATAATAAAGAGGTTAAATAAAAGACAATGGTTGTGGTTTTCTACCTTTCTCCACTTTCTTTTCTTTTGTCTCAGCAGGTTTGGAAGGAAGCTTCTTGAGTTTGTCTTCAGTTTCTTTAAAGAATAATCAAATTAAAGTTTTAGGTTTGGACATTTAAGAGAAACAAAAGAGAAACAAAAGACGACAAAAACATCAACAGGCGGCGGATCGAAGGCGACAAAACAAACTCAGAAATGGGATAAAAAGATGGAAAATGATGTTAAACAGAAGAACGGATGTGAAATGGTGACCCCTGGTGGTTGCTGAGGATATTGCATAAAGGATAAACAACCTCCAACCCACCAGAGTCTGATGAAACAGTTAAATATGACGTAATGATGGTACCTCCAGTGGCTGTTTCTGAGGGAATCTTTGTCTCTTCTTCTGGTTTTAAAGAGACTGAAGGTTTCATCCGATCCTGGATTAAGAGTTTGTGTTTCTGAGGAGGAACGTCTTCAGACTTCAGCTGCTCTGCTTCTGGCACAAACTTGGTAATCAACTCCAGCTCTGTGACCGACTCTGACGTCTCTAGTTCTGCTTTCACAGAGCGGTAGTCCGGTTTTACATCAAACACCGGTTCAGACCTCACCTTTTCCTCTTCGGTTAGCTCAAAAGATGCAACCGATTCAGTTAACTCTGATTTACTTTCTGTCTTTTTCACTTCTCTGTGAGTTTCCTCTCCTGCTCTGCTGAGTTTTTCTGAGATTTTCTCAGATTTCACACTGATAACCTCCAATTTTTCACTTGTTTTTCTCGCCAACTCTTCTTTAACTGAACGTTTTTCTTCAGTTTTGCCTTTGCTCCTCGTTTCGTCTGCTGGTGATTTGATCTCTTCAGGCTCATCTTCGTTCACTTTTGCTTTAACTTTGTGTTTTATCTCAGAGATTTTAACAGATTTTCTCTCCTCTTCCTGTTTCCTCTGAGTTTCTTCTGGTTTCTCAGTTAGAACTGGTTTTGTAGAAGAAGAGGCGTCATGCAGCGACGCCAAGAGGTGAGAATAAAACACAGAGACAAACATCTACGTTAGAGGGATTAATTCAAAGACTGACGATAATCCATGCTGGATTTTATCATCAGGACTTAAAAAGAGGATGCGGTTACAGTAATCCATCTCGTTTTCAGACGGTCGGTACCTTTTTCAACAGGAACAAAGACTTTCTTCTCCTGACGAATCTTCTCCGTTTTCTCAACTACAGGTTCTTTTATTCAGGTTGTTTTTTAGCCCAAGATGGTGAGATCAAAGAAGATTGTTATAAAGAAATAAAGTTAAGACAGTTAGAAACAAACACACAGAAAGATCCAGAAAACACAAAAATATGACAGTTTAAAGAGACGTGGAAGATATTCTGAAACAGCAGCAAAATCAGGAACTTTTCAGATTATTACACAAAATGCGGGGTGATTTCTTTTGTAAAGATGTAAAGGATACAACAATTCTGAGTATAAGGTGTAAATACTCAGGTTTAAAGGCAAAAAGATGTCAAATGATGCCTAAATGTGGATAAAAAGTTAAGAGAAATTCAGCTGTATTTGAGGTTCTGAGGTCAGTTTTGCTGTCAAGTTTAAAAATTAACACATTTTCTTCAAGGTTCCCTGTTTTAAATAATTAGGAGTGTATGATATAGTTCTTTGATTCAACTTTTTATTGTTGTGAAGCTTTGACTTGCTAATATTTAACATCTGAAGTCCACTTTCTCCATCATATCATTTCCTTCTTTCTTTTTTCTTTCTTTTTTGTCCTCACTCCACTTTTTGAACCTTTTTGTCACTAATCGTAGTTATCATCACTTTCTTTCTCTTTCTTTTCTCTACCTAACTCTCCGTCCAGGATGCTACGTCATTTATTTATATGAAAATTTGGGCTGTCAACGTTAACACAAGCGACTCCTCAGAACTGAACGCATTAAATTTCTTAATATTACATAACAGAGTAACTGGACTACATGGTTTATCCAATCTTCCCTCCAAGTTTCTCTCCAGCGCCCCCCTGTGGCCATCACTTTGAAAAACTGTTATAGATATTCGTCATACATGCAGCTCAAAGTTAGAGAAAAAAGGTTTAAAATACAAAGTCATAATTACAAGAATAAAGTCGAAATAATACAAGAATAGAGTAACAATACTACAACTTTATTCTCGTAATATTATGATGTTGATTTTTTTCATAATTCAAAGCAAAGCTGAACTCAGAAAGAACTTCCAAATACACCTGAATTTATCTAGAAACTTTAACATTTCGGTTTTACTTCTGTGGCAACGTTCTGTAATATTTAACCCGTTCTGTGTTGGAGCTGATGAATGCTGAACTAAGAGATGTTTCATGAAGAAGACAAACGGAGAAAAAGAGTCGATGTTTTTGTACCTTTCTGAAGAGATTCTTCTCGTTCTGCTCCAACCTTCTCAGGTGTTTTAACAGAAACACCTTCAAAGATTTTCTCTGCTTGTTTCTCTGGTTTCACTTTGTCAACTTTCACAGGAGGTTTTTTCTGACTGATCACCTCTTCAGCCTTTTTCTGAGGAGGTTTAACCTCAAGCTTTGTCTCAGGAATTTTCTCTGGGAGTTTTTCAGGAATTTTCTCTGGAAGTTTCTCAGAGACTTTTTCTGGACGTTTCTCTGAGATTTTTTCTTGAATTTTTTCTGGGATTTTCTCTGGAAGTTTCTCAGAGATTTTTTCTGGATGTTTCTCTACAATTTTTTCTGGAAGTTTCTCTGAGATTTTTTCTGGACGTTTCTCAGAAATTTTCTCTGGAAGTTTTTCTGGGATTTTTTCCTGTATTTTCTCTGGGATTCTTTCAGCCACCACCTTCTGTACAACTTCCTGTTTACTTTCTGGCATCTTCTGCGGAGTTTTTTCCTTCACCTCAGCTTTCCTTGCTGCCGTTTCAGATATTTTTTCAGGTTTTTTGCCCAACACAGCCTCCTCATCAGGCATTTTCTGGTCAGATTTCTGTTGGGGCTTGAGAGCTTTAAGAGGGTTTGACAGAAAAACATGCAGAAGACATGACCATAAAGAAGAGAATGTGCTAACGCACAATAAAAGGTTATAGCTCACTCATATGGTCTTTTTTGTCAAGCAAAGCAAAAAAGAGAGGTTAATTTCCTAAAATGTAACATATTTTAAGACCAGGTTGAGTACCTTTGTCCTTCTGAGCTGGCTCTTCTTTGGGAGGAGCAGCTTTAGGTTCGGGTTTCTTCGCTGCTTTTGGAAGATCGGGAACTTTTTCTTCCACGGGAACTTTAAAGAGTACCGTTGACAAATATTACAAGACTTTTCAAGGTCAGAATGTAAAAACACTCCACTGAGCGTCACAAACAGAAAGACATGACTGAAACAAACACGGCATGCATCCTCATCATCACGAAAAGAACTTCAGGTTTTAATGTCAGAAGCTGCAGAATGAGCTTCGGATACCTTTGACTGTCTTCTTCTGAGGTTCCTCTGCCTCTTTCTGTACTTTCTGTGGGACTGAAGGAGGTGGAGGAGCAGCCACCTCCTTCTTTACTGGTTCTTCTGGCACTTTAAAAAGAACAGATTACCCTCTGTCACTATGGTAACTGAACCTAAAGACAGTCAGTTCTCTCAAAGAAGGAGGTAAAAAGGTTAATAAGACACAATCGGACTCAGACGAGGATTATTTTCTGGGTTAAATAATCCAGAAGTTTGAGCAAACGAAGGAGGGGTTTGTGTTAGAAGACGTTGTGTACCTTTCTTCTGAGGTTCCTTTGGTTCTGGTGTTGGTTCTGCAGGTTCTGGTTTAGGAGGTTCAGGTTTACGGACTTCTGGTTTTGTTTTCTTCGGTTCTGGCTTTGGTTTTGGAGCTTCTGGTTCAGGCTTGATCTTTGCAGCCTCTTCAGGGGCTTAAAGTGACATTCAGACGGTTTCAGACCAAAGACAGTGAAAGAATCGCTTCCACGTTCGAAGCTAAACAACCGAAAACTCAACACACAGATGCAAACACAGCAGAACGTACAAGAGCTGAAACGATTAACTGGATTAATCGATTATTGAAATAATCATCAAGTAATTTAGTAATTGATTAATTGTTAACAGGAGTACATACATATACATTGTGGATTTAAGATAGAGTTTTTAAAGTGTAAATATGTAAATGAAACATCTGCAGAATGTACCAATTTTTTTCCTGATTAATTGATCAATCGACTAATCGATTAATCGTCAGAATAACTGAAAACAAATAATCGTTAGTTGCCGCCCTAGAGCATACCTTTGGATGGAGGAGTCACTGGCTTTGCTTCTGGTTCCGCTTTGGAAGCTGGAGCAGGCTTAACATTTGGTTCTGGTTCTTTTGGAGCTGGAACAGGTTTAGCCTTTGGTTCTGGTTCTTCTTTAGGAGCTGGAACCGGTTTAACCTTTGGTTCTGGTTCTTTTGGAGCTGGAGCGGGTTTAGCTTTTGGTTCTGGTTCTTCTTTAGGAGCTGGAGCGGGTTTGGCTTCAGGAACCAGTTTCTTGGGCTCAGCTGGAACCTGAGGCTTGGCTTCATCTTCATTTATGCAACATAAACATTAGCTGACATTAGAGTCTGAAGAAGAGTTTTAAAGAGGTTGAAGACTAAGAAGAAAGAGGAAGATTAACAGAAAAACAGACACCAGCGAAGTCCAAACAGAACAGAACAAACCCGGATCAAACATCATGAAGAAGTTAAGAGGCTGAAACTCCAGATGGGAGCCACAAGGAAGAAATACAGACCTTTGGTTGGAAGTCCGGGCTTCTCTTTTGGAGCAGCGACTGGTTTCTTCACCTCCTCTGGTTCTTGTAAAGACACATTAAAACACAAAATAAGCTAAAAATAACAATTAAAGGAGCAAAAGCAAAACATAAGAGCATTAACCCTCATTGAGAGGAAAATCAAGGTAAACAACATTCATGCAGTAGTTTAATACCTTTGGGAGCAGAAACTTCCTTCTTCTCTGGGACTGAAACTGCAGAAACCTTTTCCTCTACTGGCTTCCTGGCTTCTGGTTCTGCAGGTTTTAGTTAAATAGTATGAATATTTTCAAGAATACTGAACAGCCACACATGAATCCATCCCTGAACGCATTCATACTTTTCTTGGGTTCCTCCACAGCTGCAGTTGGCTTCTCTTCTGGCTTCTTCTCAACTTTGGAATAAAAATAAAACACAAACCATGTTAGGAATAAATGAGAATCACATGTGAAGTTACTTTAAAACAGGTCAGAAGTAACAATCCCAAAAAATATAAATATAAATATGCTATTCTCTTTTGTACATTTCTGTCGCGACACAGGTCTTAGATTTAACTGATGATGGTCTTAAGAATGTCTTAAATAAACTTAAGTTTGAGTTGGTGAAATCTGCAGAAACCCTGAAATCTGATCAATCAAACTTTGAATGATGTTTCTGCTTCACATGTGGCTGAACTATGAAGCTCATCTGAACTGTATCACTACCTGAACACAACACGTTGATTTTTGTCTCGTTGGAAAAAGATATTGCAGAAATAATACAAAAAATAATAATCTTAAACTCAATTAGAGGATATAAATCTTGATGGAGCTTCATGTTACCTTTAGCTGGGATTTCCTCCCTCAGTTCAACTTTCATGATCTCCACTTTTTCTTCAACAGCAACTCTGGCAGCTGAAATAAGACACAGCAACATAAAGACGAATAATCAGGGTCTGAAAACATTTATAGCTATGACAGAGTATTAGGCCACGCTAAGAAAGGAACAAAAAAAAAACACAATTATGAGAACAAAGTAATAAAATTGTGAGAATCATAGAATTAGGAGAATGAACTCGTATCAGAATAGTCACAATTTCACATGAATAAAGTTGTATGAGAATAAAGTCGCAATAATGAGAGCAGTTGCAGTATTACTAGAATAAAGTCATAAAATTATGACTTTATTCTTGTAATGTTATGACTCATATGATTTCAACTTTATTCACATAATACTTTGACTTTATTCTTGCAATTATATTTTTTATTTTTCTTTGTGTGGCCCTAATACATAACATCAAGAAAATCCTAAGAAAAATCTGCTTGGTAGAAAATATTCTTTGATTTTGTGTTAAAAAGAGGTTATTAAAAGAGAAAAAAGAGCAACATAAACACAACGGTGATACCTTTAGTCTCTGAAATCTGTTGTGTTACAGTCTCTTCTGTCCAGCTCTGATACTCGACTGAAGACGATCAAAATCACAGGACAGAAGACAAATATGAGACAAACAGTCTGACATTAAATAACGAAGCTTTCTGACATCTCAGAGGAGAAACCAGTTTACACCAGTAGAAGAAATCTGAAGTTAGAATAAGTGGTTACCATCGTTCACACACACACCAAAAACACCACAGATAAGGGAGTATTAGAGGAAGAAGTGAAGCACACAGTGAAAAAAGAAAATCAGGACAAAGCAAAATTTATCCAAGATGGTGATATTGAAATGGTTATGAAGGAGAAAAGAAGCAGATGTGGGTCAAATCTACGTCATAACTCCAGGGACGTCACTAAATAAGAACAGATTTTACCAACTACATTAAAGCGTTATTATTTTTAATCCTGACAGGATGAAAGTATGAAGGATGGTGCTGCTATCTGTCCCAGATCTGCTCAGATGGTCAGAAGGTGATGAAGAGGATGAGGAGGGAGAAACACGGTACCTGTCTGCTGCGCCTCCTCTTCATACTGATACGAATATTCAGCTGATTCTTGTAAAGGAAAACAAAACATTTAAGCCCCATTATTGCATAAAAATATGCTTAGTTTAGCTGTTAAGGTTTGAGTTAATCTGATTAGTCACATTTGAACAAATTATCCTCAGGTTGAGGAAGATTTCTGGATAAGTACCTCTCTGTTCGATCTTTTCTTCATACTGATAGAACTCAGCAGATTCTTGAAGAAAAACACATTTTGTGTCTGTTAGAAGTCATGAAGAACCGCTTCAGGTTTTACTTTAGTCCCTGCAGCAGTCGGTGAATCTTACCTTGAATTTCTTCTGATGAAGGCACTTCAGGCCTCTGAACCGAAGAATCTGGGAAATCTACACAATACGGAGAACGGTTCAAACCAAACAGCTTTCCTGCTGTAAATCTCAACCGTCATCATTTGTCTTTTTTACCTTCCGAAACACTTTATACCAAATTTAATAATACACTTTGGAATAATTAAATTTGAAAACGGGAATTTAACGAACACATAAATTTATGACAATGACCGACATCCTTTCTGCCATATCTGTGTTTTCAGTAAGTTGTTTTTGGCTGTGTTATTGTTTCATCCGGATATTTTGTGCATGTGCACAAAGCTGGAGGGCACAAATACGATTCATGTACTTGCCATCAATAGCAGCGCTGCTGCGGTGAAACTATTCTGTTAAAGTGAAACCTGGAGATGTAGGATTTATATTTATTAGGCACAATGCGCCAAAGCAAGAGAAAAATGATGCAGAAAAACTGTTGAAGAATCTTGTGCATACTTTGCTCGTGTTCCTGTAAGACGCTAAGCTACGTGTGTTCAGGCTGAAGTCACGTAAATTTGTTATGAATTATCGATACTGTTATTTGAGTAAAATTTCTGGATACTTCACTGACTGAAGAAGAAGCTTGTTTTAACCAAAATTTACCAGATGTACACCTGCAGTTTCAAAAGTTTCATATTAAAATAAAATGATTTGGAATTTTTTTTTTATTTATGCCTAATTTTGTTATTTATATGAATTATTTAAATTTTGTTCTATAAAATACCAGTAATTCAACAAAACTTTAATTTGGTCCATCTGTTTATGTAATTTTAAGTATTAAATGTTTTTATATTACAATCAGTTTCTCAGTACTCGAGTCGCCTTTTTACAAAACACTTTTTCACTCTTGCGTAATTTCTTGGGTTTTTCTTTTTACTTTTATTCGAGTAAAGATATGTTGGAATACTTGTTGCTTTTACTTAAATACAGTTTTTCTGCAAATGTGACTCCACATCTGAATGGACAAGAGTTCCCAAAAAGTGTCCCTTCTGAATAAAATCTTTAATTTTCTGAATAATAAATCACTCACCTGTCGGTACCATCGCTAATTCAATTTCTGTGAAAAAAAAAAGAGTGCGGTTTGTGTTAAAGTCTGAGATCGACAGTCACAGCTGATCAGAAGCAGAAAAGTTGCTGCCTGACTAATAACTGTACCTTTGCCAGACAAATAAAGCTCAGCTGTGCTCTTAGCCTCTCCTCTGGGCTCCAATCTCACAATCACTGAGTAAACGCCTACATGGGAGGATTAGTGATGAAGACACTCAGGTCACAAAGAACAGCAAGAGGAGAAAATCTGCAGGGGCCTCTGGAGCCCGGTTGGGCTCTACACACCTTCGTCTTCAGTGGTCACATTTCGAATGACCATGAAATGCCTCCTGCCTTCGCTTCTGAAGGTGTACTTAGTGCATTCTTTCAGTTCCCAGGTGTCTTTGTACCAAGAAACGATTGCGTTGTCGAAGGACACCTCGCACTCGAAGGTGGCCGACTGGCGCTCGTTGACTTCCACGTTGTGGATGCGTTTGGTGAAATGAATTTGTTCGGCTAAAACAGATAAAGACGTGAATGGGTGAACGTGACAGTAACTGGGTGGCAGTTTTTCACCAACACAAGAGCCACACGGTTAGAGAAGACCACCAGACGGATGTTGATGGGACGTTATGCTGACTGGTTGTTGTTGAGGATGATGGTGAAAGATGATCATGGAGGATATTAAGACAGAATAAATCCAAAAAGAAAAGGAAAAAAGAAGGCAAAAGCAAACAGCCGACATTAGTTATAGGGTGTTTTCACACCAGTGGACTCGGTTTGATTGGGGACCAAAAGTGCAACATTTGTTACATTTTCAGCTGGACCAGTTTGTTTTCACACTGTGTGGTCTCAAACAATCCCAACCAATAAAAAAACAGTTCCATCAGTCACCTGTGGAGGCGCTGCACCAAGAACTACTGAAGGAAACGAAACAAAAACCTCCAACAAAGAAGCTGAACACCACTTCCTTCTTCAAGCTGACCTATTTTTACTTTTATTTATCTTTTTTGTTGCAACAAAGCCTTTATTATATTAATTTGAATGTATTTTTTTACACAATTAAAACTAAAATGTACAAATTATTTTATTTTACTTATGTATAAATTTATTTAACTTTTTTTAAACCTTACTTTGCATTTTACAACAATTGGATAGTTTATATTATTTTTTATTGTAATCTGATGTTACTTATAGTGTTGAAGGTATTTCTATGTCCTGTTATTTGTTCAAAATAAAGTACATTTAACTTAAAAAACTAGTATTAAAAAAAACTGAGACCAAGGTTTGAATGCAGTTCAGAGTTTGATTTTTTGGTCTGAACCAGAGTTTGATTTTTTGGTCTGAACCAGAGTTTGATTTTTTGGTCTGAACCAGAGTTTGATTATGTGCTCACTTCTCCCCAAACCAACCGGACTTTCAGACAAACGGACTGGAGTTTGATTAAATCTGGACTGGTGTGAATCCACCCTCAGTCGGATGAACTGGAAGAGGTTAGTAATCGGGCAGAGCATCCATCACGTCTACAGGAAGGTTTCCAGGTACAAACCTTCCACCTTGAGGTCCGCCGAGGACTCCAGGTGCTGGTATCTGCAGGAGTATCTGCCCCGGTCTTCAGACTTCAGGTCTTTGATCAGAAGCTTCTGAACTTTGTGTTTCACTTCGGACGAATACCTCCCCTTCATCTCTAACTGCTTTCCGTTTTTAAACCACTGAGCCTCGACGTTAGGAACAGACAACTGACATGACAGAGTGCAGGCCTGGCCTTCCTTACCCGACGTGTCCTGCAGGTGCTTCTCCACCTCCACCTCTGAAACACAAAGACGCAGAAATTCAGCTTCTGCTCCGACTGGAAACTCAGTTTGAGATGCTGGGTTGTGTCCAGGCAGGGAGCGGTTTCATATGAAAAGTCATGGTTTCAAAACCTCTAAAATACTCTGTCATATCGTTCCTGTGGTCTAAGTACAACAGAGTACTTATACCACATAGTAAGAAAAATAAAAATAAAAATACGAGAATAAAGCCAAAATAATATGAGAGTAAACTCATAATATTTAAAAAATAATGTCATATTGCAAGAATAATGTTGCACATGAATTAAGTCGGAGTAATGCGAGTATAATTAGTTTAAAATAATAATATTTCAAGAATGAAGTTCGAGAATAAAGTCCTAATAATATGAGAAAAATGTCATAATATTTTGAGTGCCATTACAAAAATAAACTCCCACGTGAATAAAGACAAAATAATACAAGAATAAAGTCATAAATAATAATGAGTATAAAGTAATAATATTAAGAATAAAGTGGTATAAGAATATTTTTGAAATATTTTGAGAATAGCCATATTACCAGAGTATTATGACTTTATTCTTCTTCTTTTTTTTTGTTTTTTTAGCATGGCCCTAATAGTCTGTCGTTAGATCTTCCAAAGAGAATTAAAGCTCACAATGACAATAGAGATCTTGTCTAATTTGAATTTCTAGTCAAAGTAACATGTCTGCCCTAATTGTTCTTTTCGAACAGCTTCAGTTCTGGCAGCAACATGGTGAAGATGAATCCACAAATCATTAAGCATTTAAGAAGCAAATCACCAATTCACATCAAAACATGATAAACAAAATGCAAAATAACACATTTTAGAGCTAAAACAATAATACCGTGTTATATTATCATACTGTCATAGTGTCATTCCGGCCCAGGCCCAATGGTGTCGGTACTGACCCGTGACGGTGAGCTTGGCGCTGGAGATGTGCGGCCCACACACCACCCGGTAGTTGCCCTGGTCGGACGGCTGGCACCTCTTGATCTTGAGCAGGTGGCGGTCGCCGCTGATGCTGATGTCGTATTTGTCGTCGGTGTCAAGCTTCTGCGTCCCTTTGTACCACGACAGCGTGATCTCTGGGTAGTTGATCTTGATCTCGCACTCAAACTCCGCCTCTTCGTTGGTGAAGACGGACTGGTTGGAGATGTCCTTCACCACAGTGACGGGCTGCAGGCGCAACAAGACAGTTACCCCTCATGATGGTGACAGAAACCGCAACATTTTCAAGGCGACACTTTATTGTTTCCTCAATATTTATTAACGTTGAAGTGTTTAGCAGTCGGTGTGTCCTGACCTCTGTCCTCTCCATCCTCTTCTGCAGGTCGGCCACCAACCGAGCCATGTCCTCATCTGACTCTCTGTCTCCACGTTCCACTTCCTGCCAACAACAACAACATTACTCAGCAACGTCCTCAAATAAGAAGTCCTGCACTGCAAAAACTTTTCTTCTTACCGAGTATTTTAGGTCTGGTTTCTCTTGCAAATATCTTAGTACACTTGAAATAAAACTAAAATCAGTAATATATAGGAGCTTGTTTTAGGTAAATAATTCCTTAATATTTAATAAAAGTACTAGTTTCACTGGCAGATTATAACTTATAACAATAGATAGGTGAAATATTTAATAAATATTAAGGAATTATTGACTTAAAACAAGATCCTTTATCTGGCTCAAAAGTTACTTATGAGGTAGTTTAGTTTTATTTTAAGTGTAATAAGGCATTTGCTTTAGAAAACTAAAATACTTGGTCAGAGTTTGTGTTTTTGCAGTGAGATGAGCAGCAGACTGTGGGAGCCTCACCGGTCTTCCACTTTCTTCGCCCCTCTCTTTCTTGAGCTGCTCGATGGCCTGCAGCAGTCCTCTGTAGTCGGTGATGCCGTACATACGGGCGTATTTCTCGTACTCTTTGGGGTCGACGTTTCTCAGCAGCTCAACAATGTCGATGTCCTTCTCCTCCTGCGGACTCTTCTGCTTCGATGGCGTCCTGAGGGCGACAGATCAGATGTTAGGAGTTCGTTCTCACAGATTTCAGCTGAGAAAGTTCTTGAATGAACTCACTTCTTCAGTTTGGCTCGGAGGTCTCCCTCCAGCTGCGGCGCCTCTTTCTTTCCGTCAACATGCATGTCGGCGTTGCACTCGATCTCGCCGTGCTTGTTGGAGGCAACGCACCGGTACTGACCCGAGTCCGACTTGGTCACCTCTCGGATCTCCAACTTGGACTCCTGACCTTTCTGCACGATGGAGATGCGGCCGCCGTGGGTGAGCTGCCTCCATTTTCCCTTCATCCACTTCACACTTGGGATGGGTTCTCCTCCAACCTTAGCGATGAAGGTGGCAGTTCCCTCTGCAGAGAGAGGTGGAGGTCAGGACAGGAAACAAACACTTTCTAAAGGTTTTTTTCTCCACTTTGAGGGTCTTACTCTCTGTAACATGTAAGGATTTGGGTTCTTCGATGAAGAATAGATTATCCAGTTTTTTGGTTGGAGCTGCTGCTGGAGTCTCAGGTTTAGCTGCTCCTGGTTTCTCTGTAAGACAACAACACAAGGAAACATTTTTATTTGTCTTACCAGCTAAACAGTAAACTAAATACACAGCATTTATAGTCAGATTTCTGCAGAGAAATAAATGAGTAAATTATTATAAATGTAGAAAAACAAATCCTGCAGGTTTGCCAGATTAAAAAAAAAAAAAAAATCAGCAAACCATATGCAAAAATTTTGTCTTTTTAGCAACAATATCAGGATGCAGCTCACTCTTGCTTTATTTAGACATTTATTAAATGGTCATGCTCAATACTGTGTTTCGGTCCCTATTACTAATAAATTAAATTAAAAGCAAAACCCTGGATGAATACTTTGTGTTGCACCTTACCCAGAAACAATGAAAAAAAAAATAACCCACAAGAAATTTCACATACAAGTGAAATGTATGTTAGAATCTTTTTGTTATAAGTGAGATGCTAATGGAACAAGCACTTTTTCATCAATATTAAGGAATTACTGACAATCTCCTAAATCTTGCTCAAAAGTTACTTGTCAGTTAGTTTTCTCTTATTTGAGATGTAACACGACTAGAAACTAAAAAAAATACTTGGTAAAATGTTGTGTTTTGCAGTGAAGGTTTAGATACTGGCTGATGAACAGGAGGCCGTTCGGGTTTTACCTTTCACTGTGACTTTGGCCTTGCAGAACTCGGCGCCGGCTTCATTTGTAGCCTTGCAGAGGTAATCGCCAGCGTCGTGTTTGGAGGCTGAGCTGATCTCCAGACTGGCCGTACCATCAGAGAAGCCGAGCCTGATGCTGCCGGCTGATGAAAGCTCCTTCCTGTCCTTCATCCACTGGACCTTCAGAGGAGCGGATCCGCAGACGTGACACCTGAGGCTCAGCTTGTCGCCTTCATCCACAGTCACTGGTTTGAGTGGAACGTCAAACACTGGAGGCTTCTTGGCTTCTGCAGATGAGATCAAATGGTTTGAACTCAGCTGCAGACACAGTGATCAGTTTAATCTAGAAACAAAACTTGTGCACCAGGCACCAATGGGCGATCCATTTCATTCTGTACAACACATTTTTACAAAAAACAAGTTTCTGAAAAGGTACTAAAAAGTCAGAGTGGGCCTGTGGGCAGAGGCCGTCAGTTTATCACACTGACAAAAGAATGAATACCAAAAGATTTGTGATTTTGGTGACCCTTCAGCTGCTTGAAATAACAGACTGGAAAACACCAACAGAGACTATAACAGGCAAAAACAGAGACAGGAACAAACCAAATAACCAACAGGAACAAATAAAAAAAGAATAATGCTCAGCTGCAGAGCATTATTCTGCAGCTGAGCATTATCCTTCACCTAGTAAAAGTGAAGGAAATTGAAGGGGACCTGTTATGCTTCCATGAACATGTTACTATATGTCTATGGGGGAAATTATTCCTAGATAATGAGAATTTAGTTGTTTTAGGGCCTCCTGTCACTTTAAATTAAAATAACAATTGTCTTTCCAGAGCATGTAAATCCAGCAGTAAAACCAGCTGACCAAACTGGTTGGAGCTTCACTTGGGTTGCTAGGTGACTGGTGGAACTCTGCTGGGGTTGCTAGGCAACAGAAAGTTTTTGAAACAGCTCATTTTCAAGACACCAAAAACATTAGTTTATTGCCATAAAATGGCTGGGTGGTTTTTTTAAGCAATTGGGCTGTTTGTAGAAGCAGTGGAGACCCAAATGGAAGTACAAAGACATGCAAAATGAACATTTCGCATAACAGGTCTCCTTTAAAATGTATCTGAACTATTATTTCTAAGTGGAATCTAACTTCTTTTACAGCCACAGGTTGTTTTTCGTTGTATTATTTAAAAATCTTTATCGTCTTAAAGCGTTTGACACATCAGCCGATCGACTGAGTGACCTTTGAACACCAGACCCACCCAGGATGCCCACAGTGACGTCGCAGGAAGCTCTTCCAGCTTCGTTGGAGGCCTGGCAGGAGTACCTGCCGCTGTCGGTCACCTGGCTGCTCTTGATGCACAGCACCGCCACATTGCTCTTAAAGCTGATATCGTATTTGTCAGAGCTGTGGATTTCCTTGCCGTCTTTGAACCAGCTGACAGAAACGGGCTGAGAGCCGGAGACTCTGCCCTCGATTTTTACCAGTTTGCCCTCCATGTCTTCGATGTGCTCCGAGGGCTTTTTGGTGAACATCGGTGGATTTTTACGCTCTGAAACCAAGAGGGAAAAGAAACGGTGAAGAGAAGAAGTGGGTACTCACCTAAGACTTCCCCTCAGATGGGTTTGAGGGTTTTGGATGAGAAGACCAAAATACCTTTGACAGAGATGTCAGTGGAACAAGAGTCCTTCCCCATGTCATTGGAGGCATGGCAGAAGTATTTCCCTGTGTCACCTTTATCCGCCTTCAGTATGGTCAGGTGGGCGGTGTTTTCCACACAGCTGATCTTATAGTTCCCACCAGAGCGGATATCTTTATGGTCTTTGGACCATGTGACTTTGATGGGGGCGGACCCAGTCATGTGACACTCCATTTCGATGCTGTCACCCACCGTCACCTCCCGCGGTGACAACTTTCTGTCAAAGACCGGAGCGTATCTGGGTTCTGCAGACCCATGAAGGAGCAGCAAGAAGATAAAACAAGAAATCTTTAGATGGACTCCAGCTGTTTTGACACATTACTACAGCACAGAAAGGTTTCTAAACCCCTTACTCTCCACTGCACACATAGTCTTAACATCAGTAGTGTCCAAATATCTTGATTGTTTAAATGCTTTAAACAAACAAGACTCATTCTTGATCCAAGTTCATGAACTCGGCTGTATCTAATGACACCTGTAACCGTTTGTCATCAAAAGCAGAGTTAAACTAAGACCCAGAATCCTCTGCTTCCTTTGCAAACATCCTCCAGTGGGACTATAACAGACCTTGCATGGTGAGTTTGGCTCTGCAGGAAGTTGAGCCAACACTGTTGGTCGCCACGCATGTATATTCCCCAGAATGCCTCATTTCGCCATGGCCGATCTGCAGCACAGCCGTGTTGTCGTCATACAGCATAGAGAACTCGCCTCCCTGCATCAGCGGCTCGCCGTCTTTCAGCCATGACACCTCAATGGGTGATGAGCCGGCGACACGGCACTCAAAACGCACCGCCTGGCCCTCTGTCTCCTGCAGGCTGGTGATCTTTTTGGGGAAGGAAGGAGGCGTTTTGGCCTCTGGAGAAAACAGAGGAACAGTAGGTGTCAGGATTTCTCTAAATTCAGTTCTTAGGGTGAATTCACACCAGGCTGTTTAGTCCGCTTTATTCAAACTCCAGTTTGTTTGTCTAGAAATTCTGGTTCACACGGAGGTGTGAAAGCTGATCTGGACCAAAAAAGTGAACTCTGGTCCATTTAAAAAAACTACAAAAGCAGGAAGGAAACTATAGTGCAGGGCATTCTGGGTAAATAAAAACCAAAAGAAATGCAAGTTTAGTGCTAACAGGAGAAATGACAATGACAAAAGAGAAATCCTAAATCTGATGCGACTCCATTCTTTTTTACATTTTGCGTAAAAGGAAGTTGGCTCAGTGTCTTCTTCAGTGTAATTTCCTTCAGTAGTTCTTGGTGCAGTGCCACCACAGGCAAGTAGGGGAACAAGTTTTCAATTAGTTTGATTCATTTGACGCAGTGCAGTGTGAAAGAGAACCACAACAGCTGAAAATATAAGAAATATTCCGACAGTCTATGGGACTATCAGGTGTGAAAACGTCCTTACCGAGAACATTGAGTCTGCAGGTGGAGGAGGCAGAGCCGATCTTGTTCTCCGCCTTGCAGGTGTACTCCCCGATGTCAGCCTTGGTGGCTTTGCTGAGCTTCAGACTGGCGACGCCCTTTGAGTACTCCAACTTACAGCTGGAGCTGGACCGCACTTTGCCGTCAGCCTTGAACCAGGACACCTTGATCTCAGGTGTACCTGCCACCTGGCACTTCAGACACACTGCATCACCAGCGGTCACCTCCATGGGCTCCAGAGATTCAACAAAGTATGGAGGCTCTGATGACACAATGAAACATGGGAGTGAGGACTTCTGGGATTCTTCGGCAGAAGAAAATCAGTCGGATCTGAAGTAAGACTAACCCAAAATGGACACAACAGCATCACTTGTGTCCTTTCCTGCGTCGTTGGACACCTGGCAGCTGTACGTCCCTGCGGCCTCCTTGTCGTCTGTGCTGAGACACTCCAGGATGCAGGAGCTTTCCGTCGTGGTGATGTTGTATTTGTAGGAAGCAAAGATCTGCTGGCCGTCTTTGAACCAGCTCACTGTGATCTTTGGAGTTCCGGTGTACGAACACTCGAGCGTTAAAGGTTTGCCCTTCTCGACCGACACGTCTTTCAGCTTCTTAGAGAAGGCTGCCGGTTCTGACAGACACAAACAAACCATCCTTTAAAGAGGAAACTAAATCATCTCTGCTCATTCTCACACCTTCTCTATAAACTTAGAGACTAATGAGATAAACTAAACTAAAAAGCTGGCGCCACTGATGCTAAAGCGCATATTTCAATCACGTTGACATCTAAACTGTGTTATGTCACCAAAACTTTAACACAACTGAATATTTACAAAACAACCAACTAAATTAGCACTTCATAAGTTATCTGTAAGAAATAATATAGGGGAAGCTAAGGGCACAAAACCTTTTCAAAGTTAGCTAAAGCACTAAGTTAAAAGTTAGTTTAGCTAATAGTGGCCACAACTGCTGATTAGCATGCAAAAGAACCATCATCTAGACAACTCCTCATTTTTATCAGTTGAGATACAAACGTACTGGGACCTAATCCTTCCTGGTTTAGCTTCATATCTGTAAGTTATCTCTTTAGGTAACTTACAGACCTTAAGTTATCTAAACAACTATTATCACTCCAGAAGAACCGTTTCCTCTCATCCTGGTTCTAACTGGAGCTTCTATAACTGGAGGTAGAGCAGTGAAACTGACCTTTGATTGTGAGATTCACAGCACAGCTTTCTTTTCCTGCGTCGTTGATGATCTGACAGGTGTATTCTCCAGCATGGGATCGGTTCACGTTGTGAAGCTCCAGAGTCACTTGGTTGTCCTTCAGGGTGAAGCTGCAGTCCTTCCCTGGCAGCATCTCCTTGGTTCCTCTGAACCACTTCAGGGTGAGCGGCGCGCTGCCCTTCACCATGCCTGAGAAGGTCACGATGGAGCCCGGCATGGCCTCCATCGGCTGCAGCGGCACCACGAAAGACGGAGGTTCTGGGCGAGACAGAAACATCCAACAAGGTGGAGTCAGAATGTGATAGGGAAAGAAGTTAACAATTAATGTGTTAATTAATGATTGATCGATCGACTAAGTATTAATTAATTAATAAGAGGCCATTTTCTTAAAAACCTGAGACTTGTAGTGGATCAAGAGGTGAATTAAAAAACAAAAACAGTAAATTTTAACATTGTTTTGTGCTAACTGTATTAATAAGCAGAAAATTGTGATTTTCTCATATTAAACTGAAACATATTGACAAAATATAAAAAACAAGAACCTCTAAGTTTGCTCAACAGAAAAATAAAATATGGAAAGAATAAAATATGTGAAACACTTAATTCCCCCAAAACAGAGAGACGTTCATACAGAAATACCGTCTGTTGCTCTTAAAGGGACGTTAAAAGGGAATTAACTGCCTTCAAAATCAACTCTGTTTATTCTCATCATGTTTTCTCTCAACATGGTGCCATTTTTCTCATCTATGCCTCCACTTTTCTGTTGACACATCCTCACTTTTTACCAAATTTATAATTTTTTAATGAGAACTTGATGCTGCTCCATCATGCAGCTCAGCTGAATAAAGCGCTGTTAAGATGAAACTTGGTCCGGTTTTTATATTTCAAAACAGAACCGCAGAGTTCATGTTGCATCTCTCAACGGATCAGTTTGATCATTTCTATTTCCCGTTCTTACATCAACTGGCTCTGCTTAAGGATGACCAGTGGCGCCCTCTGCTGGATGGCAGCCGAGCTACAACACTAACTGAAGGTCTAAGCAGCAGTTGGAGCTAATTTTAATCTTTGGTTAATGAACAACAAATCATAAGTAGATTAATTATTTGCATTTCACTGAACAGAACCAAAACAGAAGCGCTCAGCATGAAGCAGGAACTGACCTTTGACAGCCAAAGTTGCTGAGGTTTCGCTGAAACCAGCCTTGTTGACAGCTTTGCACTTGTAAGCTCCGGAGTCAGTCAGCCTCAGGGTCGGCACTCTGAGCGTGCAGCTGTTGTCGCTGAAGGAAACCTCGCAGTTCGGCCCGCTCTGTATCTCCTCACCATCGTGGTACCATGAAATAGTAAAAGGTGGGGAGCCCGACACTTTGCACTCCATCTCTGCAGCTTCTCCTACCGTCATCTTACAGTCCTTCAGCTTCCTGGTGAACGATGGAGGAACGGTCTTATCTGTTGACAACGGAGGCAACAGTTTGTAAGAACATGCTCAGGTTTACAGCTGCAACTCAGTGAATCACAATATTATAAAAATATTTTTATTTCAGGAAGTCAGAGGTAGTCTGCCCTTGTAGGTTTTTAAGGTTTATACAATTTACAACTTTATAAAATACAAAGAATGCAAAACATATGTTTAAAAAAGCCAAGAAAAGAAGTAAAGATAAAATAAAACAACATACACCACAGCAGGTGGCAAACTAAAGGCCCGTGGGCCAAATCTGGTCCGCTAGAAGTTTTCATGTGGCCCTACACTCTAAATATAACCATTGACATTACAGTTATTTTATCAGTCAAATCACACCTGTTTTATCTGTATTGTGCCAAATAACATCAAGGTGAAAAGATGTTTCATATTTAACTTAATGAGAATCTCAATGCAGAAATGGCTTATTAATCTAGTTTCTAGTGCAAATGTCTTCATATCCTTGAAATAAGACAAAACTAACATAGAAGTAACTTTCCAGTAACATAGAGGAGCTTGTTTTAAGTAAATAATTCCTTAGTATTAATGAAAAAGTTCTAGCTCCACTGGCAGATTTTCTCACTTATAAAATGGGAAAATGTCTTATAAGTGAAAACGACTGCCGGTGGAACTAGAACTGTTTATCAATATTAAAAAATAAACTCCTAAATCTTGCTGAAAAGTCACTTATAAGTTAGTTTTGTCTTATTTCTAATGTACTGAGATATTTGCAGCTAGAAACTAGACCAAAAATAATTTGTAATATTTTATTTTTTCATTGTGTTTAATGAATCTATATAATTAGTTTCTCCTTTTGACTTGAACTCCTGAAATAAATACATTTTTGTTGATGTAGATTTTTCTTAACCTTTTTCATAATAAATCCACATTTATTAGAAACTAAAAGAAATCACACAATGTTACATATTTTCAAACCAAATTAACACAGATTCAACACCCACCTAAAACGGTGAGGTTAATTTTACTCAGGTCTTTTCCCACTTGGTTCATGACCTGGAAGGTGTATTCCCCAGAGTCCAGTTTCTCCGTAGAAAGCACGTTCAGACTGGAGATCATCTGCGAGAAGGAGATCTTGTACTTCCCGGATGTGGCCAGCTCCATGCCGTCTTTGAACCACTTGGGAACGAGCTCCGGTGTTCCGCCCACTTTGACCTCCAGGGCGGCCATGTCGCCGGCCGTCACGCTCAAAGTGTCGGGTTTATCTATGATCTTAGCTGGTTCTGGAAGTGGGAAGGAGCAGAACATGCTTTTCATCAAACATGGACAAGACATCGACTGACAGACAAGACTACGACGGTGTATTGGGGCCATTATAGATAGAAACAGAAAAGGACTAAATTTCTGCCAAAAAATTCAGAAATTTTGGGAATAATCTCAGATATTTTATAGAAAAAAAATATGAAAATTTCTGAGTTAGAAAAGTCAAACGTGCTAGAAAAAACTCTAGATCTATCTCAGAAATTTTACTATGAAAAAAGTTCAAATTTTCTAGAATAAATATGGAAATTTCTGAAGTTCAAAAGTCAGATATTTGAAAATTGAGTTGAAGTTCTAAGTTTCAAAATGTTTGACTTTTGAAGTCCAGAAATGTCCATGATTTTACTAAAAGATTTGCAAGATTAATCTCAAAATTTGTGGATTTTTTCTGGCAAGTTTCAACTTTTTAAGTTCAGAAATTTTCAAGTTTCTTCTAGAAAATTTCTGAGATTAACCTAAAAATTTCTGATTTTTTTTTTTCCCCCAGCAAATTTTTCAAATTTTGGAGCTCAGAAACTTTCTTATTTTTTCTAGAAAACTTGTGAGATTAATCTCAAAATATCTGAGTTTTTGGTGAAAATGTACTCCTTTTCTTTTCTATTTACAATACACCGTCCAACAACACTGACAGAGGAAGAGAGAATTATACGATTACAAACCTAGGACAGTCAAGTTAGCGAAACAATCCACACTCCCAGCATCATTTCTGAGTTGGCAGGTGTATCTGCCTGCCACGGTTGCATCCGCCTTAAACACAGTAAGTGCCACCTGGTTGTTCTCAAAGGTGATTTTCCTGTTGTCACTGTCCCTGAGAATGTGATCCTTGTCCTGAACCCAGGACACAGTAATGGGTTCAGAGCCTCTAACAGTGGCCATAAGGGTCACCTCCTCTCCCAGCATCACTGTCATGTTGGACAGTTTCTCCACAAATGATGGCGGCTCTGAGGACAAAAACAGCGCAGAAGGCAGAGTGAGAAAAGGTGGCAGCAGCGGAGGGAGGGGGGTAAGGTAGCCTGAAGGTCCACTACTTTCAATACTGACCTCTGAGTTTAACCGAAGTGTGGCAGGAGTCACTTCCTACACTGTTCGAAACTTTGCACTCATACTCGCCGGCGTCCGAAGGCTCTATCCCAATGACATGCAGAGTGGCTGAGCTGCCCTCGCCCACCATCTTATACTTCCTGCTCTCCATCAGAGGTTTCCTGTCTTTGAACCAGGCGACCTGGAACGGAGCGGAACCGCTCATCTCGCAGTACAAGCTCACGTCCCTACCCATCAGCCCCTCAACGGGCTGGGGTACTTTCACAAATGCAGGGGGGTCTACGAAAAGATCAGGAAACCGTTACAGAGGCAGGAGCGGGGAAAATGAATCACAACTAAAAGCTCAAAGCTGACAGCTGTAACTGGAGTTTTAGGTGATTTTGTAAAAATATGAAATCTCTGCGGTCTCACAGAGCATTGTTTGAATGAAGACATGATTAAATTCTCTAAATGTCTGGGTTATTAAATATGAATTAAATGTGGAAGCTTTGTAAACATCTAAATTGAGTTTAGAAAGTCTAACAAATATCTACATTTCGCCAAAATTAACAAGTTACATTGTGGTGAGATGATGAAATGATGCGCTTCAAAGACTTCTTTCAATATTTCATGATTAAAATTTTCACTCATTGCTTTCATCCAGATTTACCACATCTGGCTTTTTCTGGTGCAGGACTATGAAGCCTATTTCACATCAGTGATGTAAAAGTTTAATAAAATGCAACATGACCATATCCGATATATTCCCATGTAAATCAGATATGGTCCGATTTATATATGGTTCCAAAAATCAGAATTTAGCCGAAAACTGAAGAAAAATGACTGAAATTTTTATTTTATTTTATCAGCACAATTTCAACTCTGTTTAGGAATAAATCAGCTGTGATTTATATTCCTGTTGTTGAGCAGTTCTGATTGGAGGTTTAGTTCCAGGCTAAACAATCTCATGTTTTCTTTTAAAGTTTAATTCATGAATTCCAGATGTGTGATCAACTATTACCTGCCTTTTACCTTTAAAACAAGTAAAAGGTTATTTTTATTGCTATATCTTGACTAAAATGAGAGTGGAAATAACTTACACTTAGTTTCAGTCTTTGCTTTCAGGTGTTTTTTTCACATAAACAGATTTTGGTTTTGCTTCTTAGATCATTTCAGGGGTTTTTCTGACACAGAGGTGCATAGTTCATATGTTTCAGTAATTTTAAATAGGATGAAATTTTTCAGTTGATTATCTCTGTTAATTGTGATAATTTTGACCTCCAGTTACTGAAACTCAAAATGATACATAAGACCAAATTAAATGCCACTTTTAACAGATAAATAACCTTACACTGCACAGTATTTGGATTCAATAATTGGTTGGAGCTTCATTTGTTTTAATCGGTCTTATGTAATATTATAATTTTCAAAAAAACTAAATTTTGGGATTTAATTGGCTATAAATAATAAGAATAAAAAAATCCACTGTGTGCGTTTAATGAATCTATAAATGAGTTTCAAGGTTTACATATTGGAACTACGTCAGAAACAGCTCCTAAAAAAGAAAAACAAGTTGAAAATTAAATGAGATTGTTAACTTTAGTGAAGGTGAAGGTCAAAGTGTGCAGTTAGTGGAGGGAAAAACTGCTGACAGATCAGTAGAAACTTATCTGGAAATTAAAAGAAAATTGCACTGTAAAAATGCAAAAGAATAAAAAAATTTGACCCACAGTTAGTTGTTAATTGTAAATTTGCAGAAACAACACTTAATGTGTTTAAAGATAAAATGTTGGGTCCACACATAAACTCAAGAGTTTGGATGGATTAAGGTGAATTTTGCTCCAAGTTCAAAATGTAAGAAAATCACTAGCAGGTTGTTAAGGTCAACTTAGACAATTGTAACAATTAAAAGGGGGCAGCACAGTGGGGTCTTTGGAGGCCATTTTAGAGGAATTATCTTCAGTTAGTAGATTTAAGAAATCATTCAGATGGCGTGTTTACATCTTGGAGGATCAGTGTTGACTGGACCGAAGCCCAGATGATGTTAGAAGGAGTTAGGAAAATGTGTTATTATTTAGTAAAAAAACAGGGAATAAAGGGTTTGTAGGCCAATCAATAAACTTAATAACAAAAACTTACCAAATATTTTTGTTTCTATTGAAAATATCATAGTCTACTTAAAATAAAACTAAAACTAACTCAAGTAGCTTTCCAGTAAGATGTGAGCTTGTTTTAAGTAAATAATTCTTGAATATCAATAAAACGTACTAGTTCCACTGGCAGATTTGTTCACTTATAACATGGGAAAATGTTGTGTTACAAGTGAAAAAAATTTGCCAATGGAGCTGGTATTTTTTTTGATCAATATTCAATAATTATTGATTTAAAATAAGCCCCTGTATACTGCTGAGAAGTTACCGAGTCAGTTTTGTCACATTTTAAATGTAATAAGATATTTACCCTCCTAACTAGACAAAAATACTTTGCAACTTCTTGTGGTTTTGCAGTGGGGATGTAGAATGAGGTGGAATCAGATGTTTAGGAAGTAGTGTTTGTTTAGTATGTAGTTAAGTATGGGTAGAATATGAGTTATCGAGGAAATATGTTAGAATTTATTATAGTATGTTTGTTAATACGTTGTGTTTCATTTCAGAAGGTACAAGTGAAGTCAATCTGATTAATGATTAAGGTGAAGAAGAGCACTTCTGATGGTGGCTGCTCAGACTCAAGATGGAGATAAAGAGGAGTTGTTACAGATGTCAGCTTTAACCGTGAGCACCAAGTATTAGAGGCTTGTTAGACGTCCGTGGGAGGCTGACCTTTAACCGTAAGTGTGGTGCTGCAGCTCACACTGCCAGCATCATTCTGAGCTTCACAGGTGTAAACTCCGTCATCATCAAAGCTGCTGGACACCAGCTCCAGGACAGCTACCGAGTCAACAAACGAGGTCCTGTAGTTGCCCCCGTCCGAGACCTTGGTGTCGTGTTTGTACCAGGTTGTTTTCAGAGGGGCTGTGCCACGGACTTTGCACTCCAGGTGGAGTGATTCGTCCCGCTTTACAAACTTAGTGGCGGGAAGTTTCAGCACAAACTCAGGTGGTTCTGGAAGGCCAAAACACAGACAGACAATCAGCAGCTGGAAGCAAACAGAACAGACAGTAACAGAGCATACAAGCTGACAGTCATGAGCTAGCAGCGAATGCAATACAAAGACCAGACACATTTTGATGTACTACATCTGATCTGAGTGAACAGAATCACTGCACTATAAAGTAGGAAGGATGGGTTTAGCTGGAGCATGAGATGAAGAATCGATTCAGAAAATTGTGAGTCCCAACCTTTGACAGTCAAATCTGCACTGCAGCGTACAGAACCAGCATCGTTGCTGACTTGGCAAGAGTAAATTCCACTCTGAGCGACGGCCACTGAGTAGAGCTCTAAGAAGCAGGACGTTTCATCCACGCCTGTGAAGCATGTTGGCCCGGTCATGAGCTCTGTGTCGTCCTTGAACCATTTGACCGTAAAGGGCGGCGTGCCCGTAAACGTGCTTTTGAAGCGAACTGTGGCATTGGGCAGAGCCGCCTGTGACTCGGGCAGCAACACAAAGCTGGGAGGCTCTGAAGGCAAGACAATAAACCGGGTTTAAGAGGTACTCACCTTTGTTTCAGAACATTACGACCAGTCAAACTGAAGAGCAGTGTCTGACCTTTGACCCTGAGGGATCCACTACATTCACAGCTCCCAGCTGCATTGGTCAGTTTGCAAGAATACGACCCAGCATCAGGCCTCTCAAGCTGTTCGATTTCCACAGACACGGAGTTGTCCTGCTGGATCAGTTTGTGTTTGACACCACTGGAGATTTTACTCCCATCTTTCTGCCACTCCACAGAGATTGGGAGGGAACCGGATATTTTACAGCAAATCTGAACAAATGAGCCCAGAATCTCCTGCATTTCTACCAGTGGTTTGATGAAGCTTGGAGGAATTACTTGCTCTGTCACCAAAAGAGGAGTAAGAAGGTCAATATGATGAATCAGTGTGTAGCTGATGTAGCTCATTAGTCGGGATGGTCGCACCAACCTAATACGACCAGTTTAACTTTGCAGGAGCAGCTGCTGATGTGGTTTGACACCTCAAACACATACTCTCCTTCATCTGCTTTCTGCGCTCCCTGAATCTTTAGGCTGCTGATGCTGTTCTCAAAGACAAGCTTGTGCTGCCTTATGGACTGAAGCTCCTTGCTATCTTTCATCCATCTCACCTTGAGCTCAGGTGAGCCTTTCACCTTACAGTCCAGACTGACTGGATCTCCGACTGTTACCTTGATTTCCTCAGGCTTCTCTAAGATCTGAGGGGGTTCTACAACGCAGAGCAAAGTCAGGATTAAATCGATTCCTTGCTTTAATATTCACTCACCAACCACTTTATAGGTACATCTTTTCTATTGCATAATATGATATGATGCATTTAGGATTATATCATGTCAATATGGACCAAAATCTCAGAGGAATATTTCAGGCACCTTGTTGAATAAATGGGATGAAGAATTAGGATATTTCTGAGAACAAAGGACCCAACCCGGTGCTAGCAAGGTGTACATAATGAAATGGCTTTGTAAGTGTGAAAAGTATGGAGTAAGGATTGTTGGTTGAGCAGATTACCTTGAACTGTGAGAGTGCCGAAGCATTTATCTTGCCCAGCCTCGTTTATCACCTGGCAGCTGTATCTGCCTGAATGAGACGCTTCACAGGCAGAAATCCTGAGAGTCGCCACATTGTTTTCAAAAGTTCTCTCAATCCTTGGATCCTCCAAAATCCAGCTCTCATCTTTCTGCCATTGGACAGAAAGAGTTGGAGAACCCACAACAACACACTGAAACTGTGCCAGTTTACCCAGGACCGTAACACTGTCCTCAATCCTCCTGGTAAAGGTTGGAGGTTCTATTGGAAAAAATAATGTGAAGTTAGCGGTTTTCACTTCACAAACTAAAAATAGGGGACTTTTACATCTAAAGAAACCAACCTTTGAGGCTTAGAGTTGTTTTACAAGTGCAGGTCCCAACCTCATTAGCTACAGTACACTGATATTCACCCACATCTACACCGTCACATCTGTGGATCTCTAGGGTCAAAGTGTCATTTATCTGGGAAAAGCCATGTTTTGCACTGGGCTTGATCTCTTTTCCATCTTTGTGCCAGGTTATCTCAAATGGACCTGTTCCGGCAATCTGGCACTCAAAAGATGCCGTTGAACCCTTCACAACATCAGCTGGAGAAAGTTCTTTAATAAAAGTTGGTGGTTCTGAGACGAAAGAAGAAAAACTGTCATATAACTTTACCTCAAGAGGTAATTCTCTAGTAAATATTTGATGCTATACATGTGTTTAACCACAGAATTGTAGTGAGTTAGGTCCATTAGGTCATTTAGCTTCAAAGAGACATCTACTAAATAGAGCATGAAAAACTCTCTACCAATTTAACTTTAAGGATAATTTCCTAGTGTTTGGATTCTCGACTCTCCAGTCCAACAAACCTTTCACTTTGAGCTCCATGCTGCAGCTCTCACTGCCAGCCTCATTGCGAGCCTCACAGTAGAAAAGACCCCCGTCTTTAGCTTCAGCCCCGCAAACCTCCAGAGTAGCCACAGAGTTTACAAAGGCCATCTTGAAGCGATCACTGGCGCTGATCTCAGAGCCCTCCTTGAACCAATACATGTCTATTTCAGGTGTGCCGGTCACCTGGCACTCAAACACTTTGCTTTGCCCGGGACGCACTACGGACACACGGTCCGGTGTCCGAGTGAACTTAGGAGGCTCTGAGAAGTAAAATAAAAAGCCAAATGAGCTGAGGTATAAATAATCTTTAGAAACTATCATGATGCGTACAGCTGGGGCTTAAAATGTGAGATATGAGAATTTTCTCTTGAGCTACTTTCAAATGGTTTAGACCTCTGGTTCTCAAACTGTGGTATGTGCATGATTTGTGGTATTTGAATTGGATTAAAAGCTTTCAGAAGAAATGTTGGTTTTAATCAATTCTGAGGTAAATATGAATGTAGTAACTGTTATGTAAACAGACATCAGCTATTTAATTGATGTGTTTAATGACCATAACTGCTAACAGCAAGTTTGTCAATATTTACTTAGTTGATACTTGTTATAAAATTATTGAGAACCACTGGTCTAGACTTAATGAGTAAAGCATCACTATTCAGAACAAGCAACTACATAAAAACAATTACAATCTGTAAACAAATTAAAATGTGTATCTGCAGGAGATTCAAATATAAAGTTACGACAGAGAACCTTTGACGAACAGCGTTGCTTGGCAGGAAGTGGATCCCACATCATTCTGAATTTCACACACATAGTCTCCAGAATCTGAGCTCTTAGCAAAGAAAAGCTCCAGTGAACTGGATGTGTTGTCTTTAATCACAGAGCAATCAGCACTTGATAAAATCTCTTTCTTGTTTTTAAACCATTTGATGTTCAGTGGGGGTGTGCCACAGAGCAGTACATTAAACTGGACCTTTGATCCAGGTAACACATTCATGGATTCAGGCTTTTCAAGAATGCATGGTGGTTCTGAAACAGAGAAGCAATTCACTGCTTGTGAAGAAAATCCTTAGTTAACAATAAAACTAGACAAATCAACCATTTCAGACCTTTTACGAACAAGATTCCTGAGCACTGGACTGTCCCTGCTTTGTTTTTGGCGATGCATGTATAACTTCCACCATTTTTAAGGTGAAGATCAGAGATTTCCAGGCAAGCAACATTCTCAAAGAATGTACATTTATGTCTATCATCAGCCTGAATCTCCTTCTCGTCTTTGTACCATTGGACAGTAATCGGCAGGGAGCCTGACACAAGGCATTCCAGATGAGCGAATGATCCTTTAATACCTTCTGTTTGCTTCAGTTTTCTCGTAAAGGATGGAGGAATTATTTGATCTGACATGAATAACATAAAAACAAGGGTTACAAGTTGCAAATTCGGATGAAAACAAGCAAAGTTTACTTTAATGTTACCCGTGCACATTAAGCACTGACCAAGAACGGTGAGCGTGGCCTCGCAAGAACTTTGTCCAACGTCATTAGAAATCTCAAAGGTGAATTCACCACTGTCAGTTTTCTCAGTTTTGAGAATCTTGAGCACAGAGCTGGTGTCTGTGGTCTGTACTTTAAATCTCTGGCCTGAGGTCAGCTCCTTGCCGGCCCTAAGCCATTTGGCCTTCAGTGGTTTTGTACCAGAGAACCTGACCCCCAGTGTGGCCGGATCCCCCTGAGTCACACTGATGGACTTAGCCTCTTCTGTGATCTTAGCTGGTTCTGATACATCAAGAAGAATTATTTTAAAGAGAAAATTAACATTTCAGGAGAAGCATCTGGTTCTTGTTTACTTGCAGTCATTCATATCGGTTCAATCCCAATCTGTTCCCTTCTAACAAACACTTGGACATACCTAATCTAGCCGGGTTGTGTAGATGTCTATTTTTTTTTTCCAATAAGCAGTGGTTGATGGTTGAAACCAATGCTAAATGCTAACATTTTGTATGTTGAGATGGTTTTTGGAGATCTGATCAATAGCTGTTAGGGCAATTACCTAAAGGAGAACTGTATAACAAATACTGACATCTAGTGGTCAAGTTAAAAAGAATATGAATTATATGGATCTGGATATAAACTGGACTTGTTTGTGTTGCAAATTGCCTTGACATGAAGTTTGTAGTGGACTGTTGCTATATAAAAAAATCAGAAATGAGTTATTGCTACACTTTGCAACTTCAGGTTAAATGTGAAGACACTGGCTGTTTCAGTGAAACCTCTTGCTTGTTATTTTATTCAAATATGAATGACTAAGATTATAACTACAAAATGAGAGCGCAAACCAAAAGTAAAAGGTTTAACCAACCTTTGACTGTCAGAACAGCAGAGCATGTCTGGCTACCAGCCTGATTCTGTGCCTGGCAGGAATATTTTCCTCCATGTTTGTTGTGCAATCCGTTAATGTGCAGCAGGGCAGCCTTGTTCTCATATGAAATGTTAACATTTTCAGCTTCTTTGAGCTCATGGTTGTCCTTTAGCCAGGTCACAGTAATGGGCTCAGAGCCCTTCAGTGTGCATTGGAGAGAAACATCACTGCCCACCAATGAACTGACATTTTCAAGCTTTTTAACAAAAGACGGTGGTTCTATAAGTCAAAGATGGACATTATGAAAATCTCAAGATATCACATATATCAAGTCTGAAAGTCTTTGACTATAGATTAAAGTTTTGGACAAAATATAGGTGCATCTAACCAACCTTTGAGTGTCACTTGACATTCACAGGTTGACAACCCCACTTCATTCTCAACAGTGCACTGGTACAAGCCAACATCTCCAGCCTCGACCGCCTGCACTTGCAGAGCCACCAGATCGTCTTTCACTGTGATTTTGTGTCTCTTGTCATTTCTGATTGCCTTGGCGTTTTTGTAAAATGACACAGTGAAAGGAGCAGAGCCAGAGACTTGGCCCTCCAACATCATCTCAGAACCTTTCACAACATCTTTGGCCTCCAAGCTACGTACAAACACCGGTGGTTCTAGAAGACAGTAATGATGTCGGTCAGCGAGCAGAAGACTGGACTGAATAAGTATAATACAAAGTTTACAGTAATCTTTGACTGAAAGTTAAATAAATCAAACTATCTTTACAAAAACTGCAATTAACCAACAAAATTCAGGAGATCTTCCTGTAGATGAACCAACCTTTGACAGTAACTATACTGCTGCATCGATCACTGCCTGCTTCACTTGATGCAACACAGACATAATCGCCACTGTCCCCAGTTGTACAGTTCAATATTTCAAGAGTTGCTTCTACATCAGACACACTGATTGTATATTTAGGACTGGAGCTGATCTCCATCTCATCCTTGAACCATTTGAAACTGATGACCGGACTGCCTGACACTTTGCACTCCAACCTGATGGAGACGCCACTTGTGACGAGCTTGGTCGCGTCAAGCTTTCGTACAAACACAGGAGGTTCTGGGAGAAGAGGTTAACATTCATTAGAGGACACAAGGCTTGTAAGTGTCACTTCAATGTCAGGGATTTAACGACACAGTTATAATGAGGACAAGAACCTTTCACAAAGAGAACTGTGGAGCAATCCACTTTCCCAGCATCGTTGGACACTTGGCAGATGTATTGAGAGGAATCACTGGGTTTCACAGAGTGAAGCTCCAGAGTGCTGGAAGAAGCATCTTTCTTTATAAAATAAATGCCTCCAGTTACAACCTCTTTTTCCTCTTTGAACCATTTAACAGCCAAAGGAGCAGTTCCAGTGAAGGCTGCTCTGAAGGAGACTTTGGCTCCTGGTATAACATCCTGGTTTTCTGGTTTCTCTGTGAACTCTGGGGGCTCTGGAGGCCATCAACAAAAAACAAATAGTCTTGTCATGTTAACATGAAATTCTTCAAACGTCACACAAGAGAAAGAAAGAAAGGGAAAATAAGATAAAGACTCATAACCTTTGACGTAGAGCGTGCCACTGGTTTCTTTAAAGCCAGCCGAGTTGGTAGCTTTGCATTTGTAAACTCCAGAGTCTGCCTTTTCCAGCCGACTGACTCTCAGTGTGGCAGAGCTATCTTTGAACTCTGATTGAAATTTGGCTCCCAACTCTATTTCCTGGTCATCTTTGAACCAAACAATGGTCATGGGTTGGGACCCAGACACCTTGCAGTCCATGGACACATCATTACCAATGTTGCCGTCGACTCTTTTCAGGGACTTGGTGAAAGTTGGAGGCATTATCCGATCTGGTAGTTGAAGAAAAAGCACCTCATTTATAAACACTGTTGTGTTGCGTCTGAAAAGAGTTGTTCAACTAAACCCAAGAGAAAATCATATGCTGGACACTGTCTCTTAAGTTTAAAGTATTCATACTGATTTACTTTCAGACCACAGTCATCAAAACCAACTTCCTTCTACATCTGCCATGGAAAACCAATCCAAGGCAAATGGACAAAGAGTTTAATTTAGCAAGTCATCAAAACGTTGCAGTAATCACCGCTGGTTCAGCACTTTGCAATTTGCCTCTCAAAAGCAGCAACTTTTGAGAGGTAAAAAGTGTTGCTTTCTAATAATCTGGTACACAGAGTCCTTCATAATGTTTGGTATTTATTTTTCTAAGCTTCCCCGCTCTTCTTTCCTGTATGAAATTATTAATCTAACATTTCAAACATGCTTAAAGTGCACATTTCAGCTCCCTCAAGTAGAAAGTACAACTTTTTAATCACAGTCAGGCTGTTTTGGACAATTGGTTTTCCAGATACTTGTAATTGCTGGGCTATGTTTCATTTCTTTTTACTGTGATGTGGAGCATTTCTATCTTACAGAGTCTGTAGTTGTTCAACATGAGAAGAAAAGCCGAACAAATAAAAGTTAAGTCAAGCAATTATCAAACTCAAAAGCAAAATCAAAGGTGCAGAATGTCATTAAGAAGAAGATCTAACATGGTGGCCTCATGAATCCCAAAGGAAAATCTTCACTGCTGTCATAAGAAGAATCATCACTATGGTAATGTAAGTGAACATTTGAGGATCAGCCTGCAAAAGGCAGCTGTCAGAGATTACTGTCCACAGACGGTTCCAATTAATCCGTTTATCTAAAATTGGGTCATGGGATTTGGTACAAAGAAGAAAATCCTAAAAGCCCTCCCTTTCTTCAGAGAAGCTCTCCAGCCCATTTTAGGGGATCCCAAGGTGTTCTCAAGGCAGAAGGGATACATCGTCTCTCCAGGGGTTTTGTGTCTTCATGTTTCTTCATAAAGGAAAGTGTAAGGGCAGAGAGCTAACTGACTGGACAGGTGCCTGCATTAGTGCAGAAGAGACTTTTATCTGTCCATCCCTCTTTTGATCTATCCTACAGTCTCTCATCTTGTTCCAATACTGAGACCGTTTTACAAAATACAGAAGCTGGTGTCGATAGAGCCTCAGAAACAGTATTGAATTGTCATGTTAATCATGTCTGAATTGTTTCACACTGACAATCGGAGTTTAAATTCACAGAAAAATGGATCAATGTCCCAAACATTATGAAGGACCCATATATTGTACATAATTTGTAGAATAGCAAGCTAACCTAAGACAGTGACTGAGCATGTGCACTGGTCTTTCCCGACTTTATTGGACACTTCCATCTTGTACTCCGAAGTGTCTCCTTTCTCCGCTGTCAAAATCTTCATGGTGGCTACGTTGTCCTTCAATGTCATCTTGTATTTCCGCCCACTTATCATCTCCTTCCCATCTTTGAACCACTTCACTTTCAGCTCTGGGCTTCCAGAGATTGTACACTCCAACGTGGCTGAGTCCCCTGCAGTCACACTAATGGACTCTGCAGGTTCTACAATTCTAGCAGGTTCTGGTGTAAGACAGATTAGGTGGTTATTAAGAGAAAGAGATTTGTACAATGTCATCTGCATCAGAGATTTTCCCTGACCTTGCACAGTCAGAGTGGCTTCACATTTTTGCTGCCCAGCCTGGTTTTCTGCTTGGCATGAGTACTTGCCACCATGGTTAATGGCCACTGCTGTTATAGAAAGGCTTGCAACATTGTTCTCAAAAACCATCTTGATATTTGGATCATCATCTCTGAGTATTTCAGAGTCTTTCATCCATTTAACAGTGATGGGAGCTGAGCCCTTTATGGTTCCTTGTAGCTTCACTGCATTTCCCAACACTGCTGTAACACTTTCAATTCTCTTTGAGAAAGATGGTGGCTCTACAAAAACAAGTAACATGTTAAAATCTGAGTTCCAGGTGCAGCACTAATCCTCAGCCTTTAATGGGTTTACCAACCTTTCAGCTTAGCTGAGGCCTTGGTGGTTACCTTCCCCACATCGTTGGAAACGATACACTGATAATCTCCAATGTCTGCGCTTTCAAAGGTCTGGATCTCTAGTCTTGACAGAGAATCTTGGGAGATGATTTTATACTTATGATCACCTGTGATGGGCTTCTTATTTTTTAACCAGCTGATGTCAAAAGGAGCCGTTCCTGCAATCTCACACTCCAGCTGAGCTGCTGCACCTTTCACAGCTTCTACGGTCTGCAGATCTTTTCTAATGGATGGAGGCTCTGAATGTCAAAAGATTAAAGTGTGTGGGGTTAAAACTAATATTTTCTGAACTAAACACAGAGAATCATGTAAGTCTCTCTCAGAACAAACCTTTAACAGCAACCACAGTGCAGCAGCTCTCACTACCGGCATTATTCGACACCTCACATGTGTAACTTCCACTGTCTGTCACCAGAAGGTTTAATATTTCCACAGATGCAACTCCGTTCTTAAAGGTGATTTTATATTTCTCTCCATCACTAAGCTCTCTGTCATTCCAGAACCAGTGGATGTGAAGTTCAGGTGATCCTTTAACACTGCATTGTAAACGTGCAGCTGCACCCTGCTTCCAGGTAAACTTAGGCTCCATTTTCCTGACAAAAGCAGGGGGTTCTGAAAGAGTGTTAGGAGACACTGAGACTTAAAATCATTGTCAAAACAGACACAGAAGAACATCAGCAAAAAACAAAGACAAAAGGCAAAACAAAGGACAACATTGCAACACATTAGCAGCAGCTTGCAGTTCGGATAGACCACCAAAAGTTTTTACCAGCAGTGATCACCTGCAGGTTCTTACCTTGAACTGTTACCACAGCCTCACAGGATGAGCTCCCAGCCTCATTTGTGGCTGTGCAAACATATTTCCCAGAGTCCTTGAGCTTGGACTTGGGAATCTCAAGAACTGCCACCTTATCCTCAAAGGACATCTTACAGTCCATGCTCAGGTGGACTTTTTTGCCATCCCTGGTCCAGGAGATGGTCACCGCAGTGTCCTCATCCACCTGGCACTCCAGTTTTAGTGGGTCATTGACAGCAGCTGATGTTGGTTCAAAGGTCCTAACAAAGCTGGGTTTTCTTATAACTGTAAGCTCTGTGGTAAAAGTAGCAGTGCCGACACTGTTGGAGGCCTTGCACAGGTACACTCCCTGATCAGTCAATTCGAGACTTTTAATGTGAAGAGAATACTTGTTCTTTTCACTTTTTATGACATAATTCCCTTCAGATGCGATGGCTATGTTGTCCTTGTGCCAGACAACCTCCATTGGTGAAGATCCAGTGAGTGAGCACTGGAGAACAGCTTGTTTGCCCACAAATAAGGTCATTGGCTCTGGTTTTGAAACAAACACTGGGGGATACATCTCTATGGAAAGCAGGTAGGACATACACAGCGTTTAATGAGTAGCAAAAAAACATCAGAAACAAACCAAACTTTGCAACTTAGTGAGGGATGTGGATTCAACATTGAGGACATTTTAAACCTCTGCATAAACATGTTGGTTCAGAGTCAAACAGCACCTTCCAAACCATACTGAGTCACATTAACACAGAACATGAATATAATTCTCTCTCTCTGTCTCCAACACAAACATGCATAGAAAATGAAAAAGGTTCCCACTGGGATCTTACCAGTCACGATGAGCGAGGCGGTGCAGCTATCGGAGCCGTGTTGGTTCGAAGCCTTGCAGGTGTATTCACCGCTGTCAGCCTTCACAGGATTCAGGAGCTCCAGTGAAGACCCCGTGTGGCGGCTGATGATCCGGTACTTCTCACTCTGTTTGATTTCAATGTTAGATTTGTACCACTTGAAGGTCACGTTCGGCGCATCCTCGGTCTCGCAGTCGAACTTTGCATGGCCTCCAACGTTGATCTCTACAGGGTTGATTTTCTGCCTGAAAACAGGTGGCACTGAGGCACACACAGAGACAGTGAAACATAGATGTTAGCTATGACATCCACAGCTTTTGTTAAGTAAAAAAAAAACTGACAGGAGCATGAAAGGTGGAATGTAACAGCAATGGAGGAAGGCAGTTCAGCAGTGACTGTGGAGGAGAAAAAGAGCAGGAACATTAGCCCCATGTTTTCACAGAAGGTTCTCATGGGGCTAGGGTTCCAGCTGAAAAGAGGAAAATCTTTGTGAAAATGATGCAATGCCAAGTTGAAGCCCTCAAACATGCAGAAAGTCTGGCAATGTAGCAAGAATGAACCTATAAAGACTGTGACAGACCAACCTGTTGATTCTTGCATGCCACCGTGATCCTAAAAAGGCTGTGAAGTGTCCCAAAGACCAGTGACCACGAGAATCAATACTGAAAGATGGTAATAAACCACAGGACCACAAGGTGGTCTTTGCATGGCTGTGATGGCCCTGGTCTTTAGGACATAAAGATCAAGAAATGATGTGGGACAAACAAAACACAGTGAGTTAGTACAATCCAGTGCCCATGCGGAACCCTAACAGTGCTCATGCTGAGCTATGAAATGGATATAAAACCAAAGTGATAAATACAAAGTACTTAAATGAGAGACGCTTGGAATGAAGAAATTCATGTGAATTATTAGTTGCTCATAGAAAATGGATGGGTGAATGAATGGTACATATATTTGTCCTGTTAGCAAACCTCTTGGGACCACAGTGAGTCTTGAAGATGTTGTTGTCCTGCCGGCTTCACTCTCAGCCTCACAAACATATTCTCCTTGATGTCTCTCCTTGACAACTTTGTTGATAACCAGTGAGTATGTGTCATGGTCTTTGAAACACTTGAACTCTTTGCCAGATTTCACCAATTGGCCATTAAAAAACCAGCTTACTTTTGTTGCAAATTTAATGGTTGTAATAAAGGTGACTTCACCACCTTCTTCAATAGCTAAGTCCTGTAGGGAGGTGACTATTTCAGGGTATTCTCTCTGCTCTGGTCTGGATAATGTGACTTCCTCTTTGAAGATCTCTTCCCTGTGCTCCTGCTGGATGCTTACATCTAGTGTTTGCTCAGTGGGGATGGTGGCAAGAGGCAGGGCAGTAGTGACAAAAGCTGCTCCCACTTCTTTTTCTTTACTTTCTACCATAACAGACCTCATTTCTTTTCTTGATACCTGAACCGACTGTTCAAAGGCCACCTGAGTCTCTGTGGTTATCTTGGTCTTAGATGAGATGGACTTTTCTACCTTTGCTCTCTTGGATTCTTGAACTACAACCTGCCCCTCTTCTGCAGGGCATTCAACTGTGACATCAGACTCAATCTTAAGTGCAGCAGCCTGAGATTTCGCAGCTGTGAAATCTATGGTACTCTCTGCCACACGCACGGACTCTACCATTGTAGAAAGCATTTGTTCTGACCTGGCTGAGGAAACATGAGCCCTCTGGGGTTTGTCTAGCTGCATGGTGCCTGGTTGCTCTGAGGTAAGAACATGAGCCTCCTGGTACACAATAGAGTGGAAAGCCGCCTGGAGTTCGGTCCTGAGATCAGCCTTTTGCGGGTATTCACCTTCAAAAGCTAGTGTGATCTCCATGGGGGCACCTGTTGTTGTGATCAGATATGTAAACATAGACCGTTTGGGTTCTCGCTGAACTTTGACCTCCTGCACTTCCACAGCCTGTAACTTTCCAACAACATCAGCCAGTAGGACTGGCTGGTCGCTGGCAACAGCAGACTGCAGTGCCTCTCTGAGCTGATGCCGTATATTCAGACTGGAAGGTTTAGGGATTTGAATCACAAACATCATCTCTTTGGGGAGAGCAGTGCTGTCTTTGGATTCTGTTGCCATTAGGGACAGTTTTGGTTGTGTGCTGACTATAACTTCAGTCGACTCAGACTTGGAGATCTCTTGAGAAAGCTCCCCTGTCAACACTTGCTTCTCATCCATCACTATCGACTGCCTAACGGACTGACCCTCATGGATCTGAACAGCAAAGTCCTGTTCTGCTGCCTCCAGAGAGATGCTGCTCTCAGTGGAGATCTCCTTCTCTTCAATCTGGACTGGTTCAGTGGGCATTTTAGGCTCTGTGGTTGTTAGACATTTAAACTTGTCCACACCTGACAAAGTTTCTGTGTGTCCTTCTTCTAGGACGTGACTGTCTGCTACACTGGTGATATGCATCACATTCCAGCGATCTTCTTTCTGAACTAAAGCTTTCTGGTGCTTGAGATCAACAGTAATGGGCGTCTCCTTTGGCAGCTGCATGGGCTGGTAGGAGACCTGGAGGATTTTCTGAGGCTTGGGCTCAGTTCGAGTGTTAGGCTGAACCCCGGTCACTGACAAATCTAGCTCCGCATGGTAATCTGCTGTGAGTTCTCGTCTTTCTTCTGAGACAGCTGCATGGCTCCTTGATTTTTCATGCTTTTGTGTTGCTACCTGTTCATTAGGCTTTTCATCTGTGAAAATGCCCTCTTTAGGCAGCACCTCTACAGGCATTACTGACTGGAGATGCAGCAAAGTCTGAGCCTCTTTTTGGGATTGAATGGCTATCGAGCTGGCCTTCGCTTCAAACTCTGATATGTCTTCACAAAAAACAGTTCTTTGCTCATCCTGACTTACACTGTGCAACAGGGTGGGACTCTTCCTGGTATCTGCCTGCTCAGGTGTTGGTTTTTCAGAACTGAAGCTCTTTTCAGATGAAAGGAGGTCTTGGTCTGTGATGACCTGCAGGTGCAGTACCTTCCCACTTTCTACATGTGACTGAATAGTCACTGCCCTGTCCAGACATGGCAGTTCTTTAGTCGGCTCAGCCTGCAGTATTTGCCTTTCTTCAGCATTTAAAGCTGCCTTCATTATTCTATCTTTAGAAAGTTGAGCTGCTTCTTCAGCAGGCATCTGCATTGAGAACCCTGTCTCCTTAGAAAGAGTCTGTTTGGACTCACTGATTGAGGCTAAAATAGGCCGTCGCTGTTCTTTCTTAATGGTGGATTTGACAGCAGATTCTGCTGTTGATAGTTCAGCTGTGTGGCCTTCTTCCATTACTTGTTTCTCTGTAGACTGAGCTGAATATAAAATTTTAATACCTTCCTTCACCCTGTAGCTCTTCTCCTGCTGTTGTCCAGGGATATCCTCAGACTGCTCTCTTACAATAGAAAGTTGCGACTCTACCTGATGCCCGCTGACCAGGTGTTTGGGTTCGGAGGTGGGTTTGACTTTAGCAGGCTGCCTGTCATGCAGAAGCTCTGTGCTGACAGTTGAAAGTGGGGTGAGCTCCTCTGCCACAGCAGACATTAATTTTGATTGTTTTTCTCTTGCCAGCTGCAGTTCAATAACCTCAGGACTCTGAATGCGGTCACAGTGCTGCTCTGTGAGGCCCTGACTCTCTTCCACAGAGGATGTAAATGCTGCCATGTGAAGCTGCTTCACAGGAACAGCTGATGCCTGAGGCGGGTGAGTGGGAACCACAGAAACCCTCTCCTCTACCTCATGAGTCTGAAGCACAGCTGCCTGTTGGGTCAGTGTCTCACGATGGATGGTTGCAGCAGAGATGTCCAGCTCCCCAAGCGAGGCCACCTGCTCACTAGGAATGATCTTCCTGTCTTCAGTACCAATGGTGTAAACCATTTGATCTGATCGGGTTTTGTCCTGGCCTGGAAGGCTGACCTGATACAGACGAGACTCGGTCGCCTGTTCTGATACTGACACCTTATAGGATTTTTTCTGAACCACGGTCAGCTGCTCCTCTTTGTGTGAAACGGAGACCGACTCCCCAAACACAACAAGCTCAGCACTACAGGTTGCCTCACCAAACTGGTTGGAGGCTTTACATGTGTATAGGCCACTGTCTTCCTGTTTGACGCTCTTGATATTGATTAGGCCAGATCCATCTGGGTTGGTTACTATGATGCAGTTTCTGCTGGGTTGGATTTGGAAAGCCCCTTTCAGCCATTTCACATCAGGAACTGGATCTCCTGTGGTTTTGTAATTAAAATAAACTTCCCCTCCCTCTGAACATCTAACAGGTTGGATCTGAACAGTAAATGTAGGTGGTTGACCTGTGACCTTAAACATTTTCTCTACCCACCTCTCTGCATGGCTGATGTCGGGCTTTTTCACTTCTAGGTATGTGGTGCATGTTGTCTGGCCAAACCTGTTGGTGGCAGTGCATGAGTACTCGCCCTCATACTCAGACGTAACTTTGGTGATCACCAATGTGTACTCCTCCTTCTCCTCTACCAGCCTGTATGCAGACGAGCTTTTTATCACCCTACCATTGCGAGACCACTGAACAATCGGCTTTGGAAAGCCGGACACCTTGACCGTAAGTCTGGCTGTTTCCCCTGAGGTTACGGCTGCTGGGGATAGCTGGCTGAGGAAAACTGGCTTCTCTTTTTTCTTCTCTAAAGTGGAAGAGTAACGTTTGGGATCTGGCTTGAGTTCAAGTGTTTTAGATTTCTGTGGTAACTGGACACCAGTGTAGAAGGTTTCCTCTCGTTCTTCCACAGTGGTGATGGTGGTGCTAGAACGCTCTGCGGGAAATATTGAGCAACACTGAAAACAATGTCCACAAATAAAACCTCATCATTTTACTAATTAACTCACAAAAACAAATCAATTAAGTCCATAGCTACACAAATTGCTCAATATGTATGTCATTTATTAGCACCACGTTTTGAAGGTTGGAAGAACTCAAGTGGAGTGAAAAGGACAACCATGTGACAGCTGGTACAGCAGCTTTAGACTCCAAACAGCTTTTACTCATTTACAAGTGATTAGAATGTTCTAGATTTCTCAAACAATATTTTTATGCTGCCCGTAAAACTCAAAGAATCCTGACTCCTTTTCACAATTTAATTCAACATCAAGTGTAATATTAATCTAAACTAACTTTCACTTACTTGTTTATCAGTTACACAGCTAAGATCGTAACTTTTAGATATTATGTTTCACTAATGTTAGTGAGGATCATCAACGCTACTAGTACAAATGACATTATTTATATGATTGCACAAATACAAATGACTAATTAGGAGCTTCATTTTAGTTATAGTCTTAAATTCACTAGTAAAAATAATTATATAAACCCTAACTGGTGAATCATTATCGAGTTTTTCTTTGAGAATATATGGGGGTTTGTTCAGGATTTAAAGCTGAGCTAATTTCTGATTTAATTTGCACAAAAAATTGGAAACTTAATTAGATAACACTTTGACAGGGTGTGCATAAGACTGACGCGACACTGCCATGACATAACAGCTGTCATGAAGATGAGGGAGTTTCCATGAATGCTTACGACTGCTGTCGTGAAGTGTCATTTGGTAAATAATGACAATTTCTATGCAACGTTGCATTAAAACCTGTATTAAAAGTAAATTAAAATGGTCAACTTTGCATTATAAGTATCATTATTTACCGAATGACACATCATGATAAAAGTGGCAATCATTCATGAAAACACAAACCATGACCAGACTCAAACTTTACATCAAACCTTTTATTATATAAACTCTGAGACAAACTGACATCTGTACAAATAAACCACACATGTTCATCACAACACCAGAGTTTCTTTTTTTTCTCTCGTTATTGAACACTCGTTCACTCCTAACATTACATTTATTTACAAAACATCCCCACAGTCGTTTTCTAAAAAAAAAAAAAATGTTTCACAGTGTCCATTTTTAAAATAACTTATCTTTCCTTTTCATTTTCATCTTGATTTATAATTCCACCAAACAAATGATACACAGGCAGTGAAAGCCTCAACCCCCCCAAACAAATCCACATTAAAGGCCACTCAAACCTAACAAACAAAATAATTTCAAGTCAGCAGTACAGAACATTTGAGTTTTCAAATTTATTTCAGATAAGATTGTTTTTAAGCTTTAATTTTAATATTACTGAAGATTAGATCAACTTATAGATTGATAACAGTAAGGCTTATGAGTAATAAATTATAATTTAACAAATATAGTCTATTTATAATTTAAGTCCTTTCAAATGAAATCCTGTCAGTATTTTCTGAATTGTGTCTTTTATTTCAAAAACATATATGTCTGTAAATACTGTAAGAACAAGGAACTTAAAGTGAACAAAATATCAAATAGATGTATTTATTTTATGTTTACTGCATTGTTGTTGCAGACATGCTACATTCTACCAATAAAACTAAACTTTAGTTAACACGTGACTTTGAGTGAAATGCTATAGTCGCAATTTCCTTTATATATAGTTTGAAAAATAATTTAAACAGCCTAACTTCAACATTCAATCTGTCAAGCTCAGAGTTACCAAAGAAAACATAAACCAAGACTTTTCGATCAAAGACTTAAACTAATATTGTGTTTAACATAAAGAGCAAAAGATCAACTTTCTGACTTACAAGGACAAACACTAAAACACTGTTTTCATCATCAGTACAACAGGCACTCTGCTACATGTCTCAGCTTTTGCTTTTAAATCAGTTCATATATAAGGCAGTGAAGCAAAGAAGTTCTCAGTTTATACCATAACCAAAAGTTGTCGTCACACAAATTTATGACTTCAAAAAAAAAAAAAACAAAAAAAAAACAACAAGAAATTAATTTTTAGCTAATTGATTTTAGTGCTAGTTATGGTAACCCAGTAGTTAGCAGTGTAACCACACTGCTAGAAGGTTCTAGTTTGAAATCCTGACCCAGGTTTTGTTTGGAATTTGGTAACTTCTGTTTCCTCTTGGTTACTTTTGCTTGGTGAATCTTTGTGACCAAACCTTACAACCTTAATATCTAGAAAATCTTCAGCAGTGCTGCTGTTTCTATGCAGCCAGCAGAGTTTTGGATTAAACACTTATACTCTCCAGCATCACTCTGAGTCACGTTGGTAATGAGCAGATTGAAATGACCAGCACTTTTCTCCTGGATTATACATCTACTGTCAGTGACCAGCTCTCCATCTTTGTACCACTGAGCTGTGGGGTTTGGTTTGCCGCTGACCAAACACTGGAGAATGACAGGGGTCCCTGCAGCTGCAGTTACGTTAGTCAGTGGGATGACACATTTAGGGGGGATTTCGGTCACCTGGAAGTGAAAGCTGCACATATCCGATGACTTCCCCTTGAATTCAATTTTTTCATCCTTGGCTGGCTCAGCAAACACATCAAAGTTAACACTAACATACTTCTGCCCTTGCTCACTGGTTTGGTGGTCAGTGTTGGCCACCAACCTCACTGCCCGCTGTGACTCATCAGGCTCTTGCTCAAATTCAAACTCAAGCTCGATTTCAGACACCTGTTCACCATCAAACGACGTGTTTCCAACCATCAGGTCAAACTTCTGGGGCTGGACTTTGGCACTTCCTAAGGACACAGCGGTCAGCTCCCTACCTCTGGTCTTCCCTGAAAAAGCCTTTGCACTTATCACCACCAGGGAGGCTCGACAAAGAGTCTCCCCAACAAGGTTTATCGCCCTACAAGCATAAACTCCACTATCCTGAGTCGTAACTTTACAGATCTTCAGGAAGTGGTTATCTCCATCGGAGGAGTGCAAGTATTTCTTTGTATTATGTGGAATTTTCTTGTCTCCCTTAAACCAGGACACAATTGGAGACGGGATTCCCATCAGAGAGCACTCAAACATAACAGTAGTACCCTCTGGGGTTTCCATGTCACAGATTGGGTTGATAAACCTTGGAGGCATCTCTGTGACCTCAAATGCTATTTTCAAGTCATCATGCTCTTGAGTGACAAAATCCACAGCACCCTCCTCATAAATACTGGGCAACACATCCAAAGATATGACCATGCTCTTGTTGTCTGCTGTGTACTCAGGAATGGTGATGATCTTAACCTGCTTCTCAAACTCCTTTACCTCATTTTCATCCAGTTCTACCTCTAGCAGAATCTCCTGAGGGGATGGAGAACGAGAGGAGTCGTTCTCCTCCACATCAAACTCCATCACATGCTGATGGGTGACAGCAGGTGGTGCTGGCATGAACCTCACCTCCTGTGATACAACCACCACCAGAGCAACACTTCTGGCTTCCCCAACATAGTTCACAGCCTCACAGATATATTCTCCCTGGTCAGCCTTAGTTACATTATGAATCACTAGCGTGATGTTATCACCATCTCTGTCCATTCTGACTCTATCGTCTGCCACCAGCTGGGTTTTGTTGAAAAACCACCTTACATCAGGGGAAGGCAGGCCAAAAACCTCAGCATAAAATGTCAGTGAGTCATTTTCAAACACTCTTTTCTTAATGAGAGGCTTAAGGAAAGCTGGAGGGATTCCCTGCACTTTCTCTGGAAGGGTGGCCGGTCCTAGTGACCCTTTGCCCTGTGAGAGAAATCTGCTCTCATCCAAGCTTACGCCATTTGGATCGGTTTTAACACCCTCATCAGCAGGAGAGTTGAGGAAATGAACCGGTGAGAAGAACTTCTCGGTGGAGTCTCCCGTTGAGGGTCTCTTGTGATGTACTGGAGAGAACGGAAACTCATCCGGTGTCATAAACCCACTAGGTCTGTCAGAGTTTGGAGTGTGAAAGGATGGTGGTGACTTGAGAGTGTGAAGGGACTCTGCGATTGGTTGAGACACCTCGGTAGAAGAGCCTGGGGTGAAAAACCTTTCAGGTACCTCTGCTATCTCTTCACTCATAGTGCTGCCAATTTCTATGGACATCTCAGACTCGGGGGTGAGTGGCCTACCCCAGTCTGTTGGAGGGTTGTAATACTCGTACACAGCCCCGAAAGTTACTTCCTCCTCCTGCATGGAACCTGCTGCCGCTGCTGCCCCTCCCTGAGCCTCAGCTGCCACAGATTCTTCAAGAGTATCTCCTTCCTGTTCTGGTGGAGCAGCTAGTACATCAGGTGGTTTAACTTGGGTGTTTATGTTTGGGTTTCTAATCATTTTTTGGGGTTCAGGATTCACATGAACACCAGTTCTACCAATTTTAGCTATTATTTCAGTTCCATCTTTTTCTCCAGTGAGAGCTTTCTCTGATATTCCTGTTACATCAGTCTTTGAGTCTGGCATACTGACAAAAATGCCACTGTCCATAGATGGTTCTGTGATAGACATAAACTCTTCACCACCACCTACAGCCTCCTCACGTATTTCCTCTAAAACTGATCCCTCTTTGAACCTTTTGACCTCCTCATCCATGTGAGTTCCACCTTCAACCAATGTCTCAACAACTTCAGCTGCATCAAGACAAAAAGATGCTTCCAAACCCACATTTGGGGGTAGAAACTGCCCCTCAGTGTCTAAATGTCCAGAAATTGTTTTAGCTGCTACACCTTCCTCAACAGGCGCCCTAACAGAACGCCTCATTACAGGGACCTTCTCAGGCTTGAAAGGAATGAAACTACTGGTTCTGTCAAATGGCTGTTGTGTCTGATCCCCAATCATCTCGACATCACCAGTCTGTGTAGGATCTTGGACACAAACTGGTTTCTGTGGCCTTGGTCTCACAAGCTGTGGAGACTCCTGCAGCTCTTCCACAAACTGTTTCACACCTGCTCCTTGTTCAACACCAGTGACCTCAGAGGCAT